CCATAAGCCATAGTTAAGCCACTTATAAGGCAACTTAGCTATCTTGGGGGCCCCATCCTGTAGTAGGAAAGCTTCCAAATTTGATGTTGGTGAATGTATTATCCCACGACCTGCAGGTCCTGTGTGGGGCCATGGCCATTAGTTTCCTGGCACACGTGACTCGAGACCCTTGCCCAGAGATGAGCAGGCCCTTCGCCACCGTAGTTGGAGAATGAAAGAAGTATTTGCTGATGCTTTACAACCTGAAAGTCTCACCATGCCTTCTCTGTGGGGTTGGGGCTACATGCATGACCATCAGCTTTCTTCCACAAGATCATGAGACAAGTGAGTCTTTTTCGAACAAACCTGCCACAGAGCATGACGCGGCAGCCGACGTTGAGGCCAGAGGCTCATTCCCCACGAGCTGATTGCAACTGCTGAAGCTGCCCTATGGGAATCTAGGCTACTCCCTAAAATGCCAGGATTAATCTTGCAAAGCTATTGATGATGCAACTTCTGGGGAGCCCAGGCTACTCCCACCAATGCCTGCGGTAGATCCTTTTGGGACCATTCCACATGCAAACAAACAGAGAAATGCAGGCAATTGCTAGAATGCCTGATGAAGGTCCTTTGTGGCCACAAACGATCTGAAAACAGGGGAATCCAGGCAACTCCCACAAATGTCTGAGGCCAGTATGTTAGAGGTCAAGCCGAACGGGGCTTGGTCAAAGAGGAATCCAGGATAATCCAGGCTACTCCCGAGAATGCCTGTGGTAGGCCCTTTTTGAGGCCACACTGAGTGTTTAAGGCATCCAGGCTACTCCCTGGAATGCCTGATGATGGAACGCTTGTGGCAGTGAATGATGGTGGTTCCATACAACCCATAGCGCTGCCTGCCACTTCCAATGAAGGTATTCCTGCATGGTATGAATCACCAGCTGCTTGTGCACAAGCAATCCCGGAAAGACCTGAGCCACTCTGCCAGGCCGTGCGTATGCCATGGGACATGATGCATTGTGGTTTCACCTTGAAGCATTAGGTAAATTGCATCCGAGCATTGATTCTGAAGTCTTCACTGACTGACCATCAAGCATTGCTCTCCACATTGAACACGTTTCACAACCAAGGCAAGAAAGCTTTGTTTGCCGCAGTATGCTCGCATTCGCATTGGTATCCACTGATTGCCATCAGCAGCCAGAACATAGGGTCTTCACAGAATCAAACCCCTTTGCCCAAGCTCTCCCAGGATGGCATACATGTGAAATGCCAAGTGATGTTTCGACCTTTTGCACTGCCACACACCACAAATTCCACATGCATCGCGATGGGTATTTCAAGCAGCAGGAGGGTCCACACTCTCAGATGGGCGAATTTGCTGAGGCTATGGGCCACCAGGTCACCTGGTTAAAGCCCTCGCAACTGAGTTGCTGAAGCATGGCATTCCACCAGCCATTGTTGAATCCAGGTCCAGTGATGCCATCAAAGCAATTGGCAGTGAGCAAATCATCGCAGCCCTCAACCATGGGCAGCCTTGGAAGCAGCTCAAGATGCTTGGCAACAACGCCAAATTCCAGTTTGCGATGCCAAGTGAACTGGCTACTGCAGTTGAGAGTAACAAGGGACAGCCTGTTGGGGGTAAAGGCAAGGGCAAATCCGGAAGGCAAGTCCAAATCCCACACACCAATTGTGGAGTTGGATCCCAACAAGCTGCAGATCCTTGAGGGTACGTTTTGCTGCCAAGACCGTGCATTGCCCCAACGCAGGCCCAATCAAGTCGGTCCACTCAGCAGTGGGGTCATTCTGATGTCTCACCAAGAAGCGGAGCCTTATCTCTTAGGACAGGTCAGCAAGTCTCACAAGAGCCCTTAGCCATGGCAGTCTTGGTGAAATCAGGGGGTGACATCACCATGGCGCTTACGCACACACCGGTTACCATCCCATGCAGGTGTACCATTGACAGTGAGCCTGTTTTGGCTGATGCAGTCCTTGTTCAGCTTGGCACAGACATGTTGAGAAATCTGTGGGTAAAGCGGTAGTCCACATTGACCACTTGAGGTGCTGACTTTGAAAATCTTAGCCTACAAGAATGCAAAGATGAAACCAAAGGAGACTTGGAGGAATTCTGCCAATCTCCCATCAGACATCTTGTTTCACTCCTGCCGAAGCCCAGAAGATGCAATGAACCCAATTGCCGATGCGAAGCTTGGCGCAACCCTGAGGGACTTGAAGTTAAGAATCCGATCTTGGAGGTGTGGCGACGACAGTTCCTCCGAGCGGGATTCAGGCCCTGCCCTGCAGCTAAGGCTGAAATTTTCTTGGTGTGCCTACGTCTTCTTCCACAGGTGTTGTTAGAACCAATGTTGGCTGTCAGCGGCACTTGCGGGGCCTATTGTGAACTTCGCACTGCAGATGGGACTGAATCATGTAAGGCTACACCGTGGTTTGGACACCCAAACATTCCTTGCAAGAGATGCTCCACCTTATGCAGACAAATCCTCCTGCAGTGACAGGCCTTGCAAGATTGGGTGATCGCAGAGGGCTTCGTGTGAAAGCCACCCAGACAAAGAGCATACACCAGTTGGTAGGTCCTGACTCTTTTGGGGATGGTGGGTTGATTGCCAATATCATACCCAAGGTGCACTCACGCATTGCCTTTGGTCCCACCACCATGGTTTGTAGCTGAGAAAGTTTTTGACACGGTCATGCTGGCGTTCCGTGCTTTTGAAAGTGAGTTGCGCAAGGCCTCTAGAATGCATGCCAGGCACAGAAGAGAACAGAACCCAAACCTCATATTCCAGGACATTAAAATGCATGCCTCCAAGGGAGTTGATGTCTTGACTCGCACGGCCACAGCAGAAGTGATTGAGTTTATAGAGAGGAGGAACAGGCTGTTGTTCTCAGTCGTGCAGTTGATTTTGACTTGACCAAGCCCAGTGATTCAACATCCATGCTGAAGCAGATTGCATCTGGGTAGAGGATCTCCAGGGTCTGCAAGTTGGCCTCCCTTTGTCGCAACCCGGCCATGTTGGTAAGGACTCTGAATTGTTTCACTTGTTTCTTTCTGCATGGGAGGAAATGTGGGACAGACACTGTTTCACCATGCAGAGAGTACTTGCGGGCCGTGTCACATGCCTGGCCAAAACCACAGAACCACAGGATGCACTGGACTTCAGACCCATCACGGTACTTGGCCTCCTTTCCCGTTGCTGGGGCACACAAAATGCCAAGAAGGCAATCCGGTGCCTTGAGCCAGCCCTCCCTACGGGCTTTGTTTGGTAGTAGACCCCACTTTTTTGCGGGACAAGTTTGGTCTCACCTTCTTTGGTCCATTGAGCTGGCTTATGCATCTGGCCAATCATCCGCATAGGAGGGGCTGGCACAAGGTAAAAAAAGTGAACCATCGATGCCTGAAAGAAGATGCCAATAACCATCTGCCTAGGCACGACAGTGCACACCCCTCAGGCAAGCCACGAGCTGAACGCCAGTTCACTCAAACTTCCGTTGATCTGAAAGTGTCGTGGCATTGAGGCCAGGGTCCCAGCCCAAGCACGCAGTATGGCGGAACGGAATTCCTACCAGTGCACAACTGTCCATAATTATCGCATGTCCACGATAATGCCGCTAAGGGGCAGGCAAATCAAACCCGCAGACATTGAAACCAGTTTTTGAATGCCTGGAGCAGTTTGTCCAAGCCATGGACTTGTTTTTGGACCATTTGAAAACCTCCACTTGGTGCATTAGTGGGGCGGAGATCTATGCAATTTTGCATGCCCTTCAGAGATTGTGAGAAGCCATCCCCACAGCTGTGGACTGACTGTGCGGCTGTTGTTCGTAAGTTTCGTAGATTAGTGGCAGGACATACCCTGAGTGTGAACAGTGCCCATGCAGATCTCTGGAATGAAATCAGTGTGTGCCTGCAGAATTGGCAGGCGTCAACCCATATCACCAAGGTTGCTGCGCATCAGACACTCGAGTTGCTATTGTTGAAGCGTGGTGCATTAGGCACAATGCCCTGGTGGACCGGCACGCGGTTCAAGCCAATGTGAGCCGTAACCATGAGTTTTGGAGCTTGCATGGTAGGCATGTCACTGGGTGTTTTGGGATTAAACGCATCAACCGTGAGGTTCAGAAGCTTCAATGGGCCGTTAGCCGTGAAGTTGGTCAGTCTGAAGAGCCCATGCATGTACATCTGGAACCATTGCCGACCCAGCCATGGAGGCCATTGCCCCCTTTTGCTATCCCAGAAGGTGCTGTCAGACGGTACGGCGATGCGTTGGTGCGAATAATAATTTTGAGCTGGTTCTGGCAGGTGATTGACCGTGGAGATCACCAGATGGTTTGGGTGTCTCACTTTCAACTTTAAGCTGATTTCATGGGTTCGATAGGACATCCAGGTCCGGTCCACAAACAGCGCCGGCTTGATGGAGCAACCTATAGCCTCCAAGGGCACGGATTTAAACAATGCACCCGGTGGTTTGTGAAAGTTTGGAAGGAAGCCTTGCGCCATCAGAACATCTCCCTTGACTGCGCATTTGGCAAGCCCTGTTCTCAAATGGTGCTGATGCACGCGGGGGTGGTTGCATTGCCGTGGCCGAAGGAGAGGCTAGCAACTGTGGATCGTTGGATGCTGAAATGCTCCGCTACCACATTTCGGAGGCAGTCGAAGGCAATAGGCGCTCTGCCATTGATCGACCGCATGGCTGAGTTCCCAGAGATCTGCGTTTCTACAGCTGGACTGTAGTTGTGCCCAAGACGGGCAGCGTCCAACCTAACGCTGCCCGCAAAGGAAAGTGGGAAAGTGGTGGTTTCAACCATATTTTATTTTGGGATGATGATCCCCAATGTTTTCCCCCACATCTTTGTGTGGGGTTCTTGTTTTTGATTCTGTATCCCGCTCCTCCTCCCGCTCCTCCTCGTCCTCCTCCGCCGCCTCCCTGTCACACACAACATTGTCACACACCATATTTCACACACACACAATTCTTTGTCCCACACGACTTTGTCGCACACAACTTTGTCACACACTCTCTTTCACACATCACTTTGTCACACACACACACCTTTGTAACCATCTTTCACACACACACACACCATCTTTGTCACATACAACTTTGTCACACACCACTTTGTCACACACACACACAACTTTGTCACACACCACTTTGTCACACACACACAACTTTGTCACAAACAACTTTGTCACACACCACTTTGTCACACACAACTTTGTCACATACAACTTTGTCACACACCATCTCTCGCACAAACAACTTTGCGTGGCAGGCGTGGCACTTGGCGACATTTACCTTCGTTTTGCGTGACAGGCGTTGCACTTGGGGACATTCACCTTCGTTTTGCGTGGCAGGCGTGGAGCTGTCAGACATCCGTTCTCTCTTTCCGTGGCAAGCGTGGCACTTGTGGCACTGGGCTGGCTCCGGTGGCGCGCTTGGGCGGCACTTGTGGCACTGGGCTGGCTCTGGTGGCGCGCTTGGGCGCCGTTAGTGTGCACTTGAAAGCGTCCACCTTCGTTTCACGTGGCAGGCGTGGCACTTGGCGACATTAACTTTCGTTTTGCGTGGAAGGCGTGGAGCTGTCAGACATCCGCACTCTCTTTCCGTGGCAGGCGTGGCACTTGTGGCGCTGGGCTGGCTCTGGTGGCGCGCTTGGAGCACTTGGCGACATCCACTTTCGTTTTTGCGTGGCAGGCGTGGCACTGTCAGACATCCGCACTCTCTTTGCGTGGCAGGCGTGGCACTTGTGGCACTGGGCTGGCTCTGGTGGCGCGCTTGGGCGCCGTTAGGCGACGTCCACCTTCTTTTCACGTGGCAGGCGTGGCACTTGGCGACATCCACTTTCGTTTTGCGTGGCAGGCGTGGCACTGTCAGACATCCGCATTCTCTTTGCGTGGCAGGCGTGGCAGTGGCGCACTTGGGCGCCGTTAGGCGACATCCACCTTCTTTTCACGTGGCAGGCGTGGCACTTGGCGACATCCACTTTCGTTTTGCGTGGTAGGCGTGGCACTTGGCGACATCCGCCTTTGTTTTACTTGCATCCAAAATGTTTTTGCAGGTAGCTTTGACCTTGCATCGTTTAGGTGTCTTGCACTGTACATGTGTTCCTGTCCCACGCAGACTGACGTATTGTCGGCTGTCACTGTCACCTCGTTAGCCGGGGGTGCGGGATGACGCGGTCTTGTGTGCTTGGGGCCGACGCTCGGTTTCCAACCGAATATGACGGCAACGGCAATCGCCTTGCCGGGCACATGCCGATGGTCGGCATAAATGAAGCAATCTGCAACATGCCAAGGCAATGTCCAGCGGGAGGCTTTCAAATCACAGGACCTGCTGCAATTCTGGTTCGTCTCATGTGTTGTACTAAGCAATGTGCAATGTGCTCAGGCTGCGTCAGGTGGGAGGCTATATAGTTTGTCACAGACAATCTTTGACACACACACACAACTTGGTCACACGCAATCTTTCACACTCATAATTTTGTCACACACATCTTACACACACACACACAACTTTATCACATACGATCCTCCACCACCTCCTTTGTCTTTCTTCCTTCCCCGTCCCGCTTCAACTTTTGCTCCTGCTTATTGGAAGAAGTTGACTTGTGGGGTTATCCGGCCCTTTTTTTAAAAAATAAGGGGCTTGAAATGGTAACTGATGCAAAAGTGATGGGAACGGTAAAATTTGACAAAATTGACGAGACATGCTGGAACTGCGTGAATGGTGTGAATGGATCAAGAGCGGCATTTGGAAAGCTCTTGCATAGGACTGTGCCCTGTGCCTTTTGGGGACATCGTCGCAGCGCCCAACCAGATTGCCATGGCGAAAATCGACCCAGTTGCCCTCTTCGCGAAAGACTTTAAGGCGAACTGGGAAACTTGATTTGTCTAGACATCAGACCTTGGTATGCATCGGAGGTTGAAACTTAACCACGAGGCTTGACCTTGCAAAACGTCCATTTGGACTTCCTGTTCATCTTCAGCGGGGACAACCATAAATGAGGTACCAACGGAACTTAAACAGTATATCATCCATTGTTGATTACTACAATAGCATACCATTTTGAACTGTTTCCACATGGGCACCCCCCTGGTCTTTATGCGAAGCAGCCAGGTCTTTCGGAAGGTGGTTCAGGAATGTCCAAAAGAGTAACTTGGCACCAGGACCAACGTGGTTGTAGCTTCTGCGCCGAGCCCATGGCATTCTCTTGATCTCATGGATCATCATTTTCCCTTGCGTGCCCGGGCAACTGTCCCCCAATTTTGGAATTATGCTGACACTGAGGTTTGAGAGGATGATTGAACGCCGACGCGAGCACATGGAAAAGAGAACGGAGAATCAGCTTGTCACTATGATGTTCAATATTGACAGGTCTGATCCAGATAGGACGCTGGGCATAAGTTTGAAGTTGCTGTTGTGGTAATGGGTGTTAATGGATCTTGCTATTTGTTGTTTGCTGTTGCTGTTGCTGTTGCTGTTGTTGTTGTTGTTGTTGTTGTTGTTGTTGTTGTTGTTGTTGTTGTTGTTGTTGTTGTTGTTGTTGTTGTGGTCGTCGTCGTCGTCGTCGTCCTCGTCGTCGTTGTCGTCGTTGTCGTCGTTGTCGTCGTTGTGGTCGTTGTGGTCGTCGTCGTCGTCGTCGTCGTCGTCGTCGTCGTGGTCGTCGTGGTCGTCGTGGTCGTCGTGGTCGTCGTGGTCGTCGTGGTCGTCGTGGTCGTGGTCGTGGTCGTGGTCGTGGTTGTGGTTGTTGTTGTTGTTGTGGTTGTTGGTTGTTGGTTGTTGGTTGTTTGTTGTTTGTTGTTGGTTGTTTGTTGTTTGTTGTTGGTTGTTTGTTGTTTGTTGTTTGTTGTTTGTTGTTGTTGCTGTTGCTGTTGTTGTTGTTGTTGGTGGTGGTGGTGCTGTTGCTGTTGCTGTTGTTGTTGCTTTGGTGGTGGTTGTGGTGGTGGGTTTGTTGCTGCGGTCGTTGTGCTTGTTGTAATTATGGTGGTTGTTCTTGTCATTTTGTTCTCCCAAACCTGCGGGCCGTGAACTTCACTAAGGACCGATGGATTTCCTGAGGTCCACAAGTCAATGAGTTGTGATTTCTCGCGCGAGACAACGGCAGAGAGTCGTGTCGAATGCAGGCTCCGTATGGTTGATCAGAGCGTTCTGTCCTTGTGAAGCGGAACATTTTATAAATATGATGGGCTGGTGCGGGTCCGAAGACGCAGGATTCCCACAGCACCAACCTTGAAACGGGCAGCCGTTTTTTGTTGCCCTTTTACGGCAAATGCCCGTCATGGGAGAAGGACCTATGGCAATCATAGTTCAGACAACTGGGGATACCACAGAAAGGCTATTATATGATTGTATATGATTGTATATGATTGTATATGATTGTATATGATTGTATATGAATAATGTCAACCCTGGATTAATAAACCCCTAGGCTATTTAATTGGGAAGGTACCATTTAAGTATCAAATAATGACTATTGGGGGAATTCCCCCTTAGTTAATGAACCATGGTTTATTAATCCGGGGTTGACATTATGGTTATTTTACATTACTCTACTGGGGGACATGTTGTTAAACGCTATTGTCTTTTTGTGGTTTCCTAGTTTGAGATAGACCCACATGTTGGCACCGGAAAACTGTGCTGTTTGTGGGCGACTGAAGGGCGCTCGTCAATGAGTCGCGGCTTCAGCGTGTCAGGCATTTTCTTGTCCACACCGGTTTGTCCAAACGGGATTTCAAACCCGATTTATAGAAACCAGTTATACCAACAGTTGGGATTTCAGGCTACGCCATGTTTGATATTTGGACAAACCCATGCTTTTGTTCATTTATAATAGACTGCGGTCCATTTTGGACCCATGTGCCCTGTATGTTCCAAGCCCAAAGACTGCGATTCAGTCTTGCGCCTCGGATCCATGCGAAATAAGTCAACAGTGTTGAAAATCATTGAAAATCCCTGTTGGTTGATGATTATTGAGGGTCTTGCTACCCAATACATCGAGGATCATCATATTCCATTGTGGGAATCCCCATTAAAACCAATCAGTAGATTAGAGTGACAGAAAGTTTTGAAGGCTACTCAAATGGGTTTTAAGTCGAGGTGCATACTGTAAGTCACCGACATATGCAACTTGTATTTGTTTCCTTTCCCTGAAAACCGTCGCAACGGCTGCGAGACGTCTTTGGCATTTCCCTTTCCAACTCTCGACCTGTACAGTGGAGGTATAAGCAGATTTGGGTTTGTCCCAAATTGGATGGGATCCCACCATTTTTTTGGAAATTTATTTTTGGGGAAGATGATAGACCATGAATGACCATGATTAATCATGATAGAACCTCAAATTCTTGGGTATCCATGATGGATGGCTACCCTAGTTTGGGATTAACCCAGCACGCCTCCACTCTTGAGCTGCTGGTTCGAGTTGTGCAATGCCATCTCACCTGGTTTGAGGCATGCACGCCTCACCTGGATGTTCGGGAGTGCACTGCTAAATACATCTAAATAATACCTGTTGCAAGAACACAAGGTTACAGGCTGACCATGAATCTTTCATCCATTTCCATCCGGTTCCACACTTGCCGGGGGGTCGCTTGTTGCCTCCCCGCGGGCTGGCCTCTTCACCGATGCTTCAGTGCTGCAGCATGATAGGCTTCATGATTCATGAGCGTCCCAAATCGTGGCACCTTTTTCTCGGCCCTTGAATTGGAGATTCGCCGATGCCGCATTTGTGGCCTGGTTGAGTCATGAGAGCCCAAAAAAGCAATGATCCGCATGAGAGGCCTAGCTCGACGCGAAAAATGACTGGATGCAGAAAAATCTCCCGGACAGACCCTTCCATCCAACGGCCGCATCTTTGAAATGGCTGAGCATGGACAGGGACTTAGATGGAAAAAGCATGAAAAAGCCCGCTGGGTCTGGTGGCTTTGGTGTGACGATGAGTGAGCACAGCACATAGAACAGAAGCAAAGCCACCGACAGAGTGCTTGAAGCTCAAATTGATCCCCAAATATCATCAAATATCTAAGCATTCCTTATTCCCACTCATACCAGTTGCAATCTTAGACTTTCAGAACTGCAATCACTTGGTACAAGAAACCTTCAATTTCTTGGTCATCATTGGCGTCTTGCAGCCGTTGAGGCATTCCAGCCTCCGTCAGCCGAGTCTGCTTGCTCATCCGAGGGGCTAAGGGGGGTACCAATGGGTCCACATTTGAGTCCCACCTAACTCCAACCACCACACTGATTTGAGCCTGTCTCGAGGGCATCCGAACAGTCGCTTCTTTCGCCGAAGAATCAGATTTTCGCCTTACCAGCCTTGAACATTTGGGATGGGAACATTGGAGATTCAGCAAAAAAAACGGTTTCAATCAATGGATGCCAAGGTCAGATACGCTGGAAGATGCCACACCCCTGGAGTCAGAGAAAGCTCCATGTAGCCATGTCTTAGATGAGTTTCTGACCAACATGTCAGAAGACCAGGATCAAGCCTGTCTTAGGCTTTCGGATCGGCCATGCGACACCCTGGTTGCAGTTTCTTGAGAATGGAACAGCCCAACAGCACTCAACGTTTTGGCACGCTGAGTCTTCTGAAGAGTTTTTTTCTTCTGAGGAAACACCCCAGACATACTGCCAGTAAATACCAAGAAACTGAATTCACTTCAATGAGATCCAAAGATTCAGTGTTTCAGGCCCCGCCCAGGATGAAGATAGCCAGGAATAGCCAGTAGTAGATTCATCGAAGTGGCCCCAGTCAAGGCCTTAAGCAAATTGGAGGGCGATGAGCCTGAGAGGCCGCGCCCCAGGCCATGAAACGCGTTTTGTTTTTTTTCATTTTGGGACTTTGGGAATCTTTGGGGGACACCAAACACCTTCATTTTTTTTTGGCCGTTGCCACGTGCTTCAGCGGTTGCTTTCTCTTCCATTCCTATAGTTTTGGGCTTTTGTTTTTTCGTTTGCAGCACTGAAATTACTTGGGATTTCCTTCAGTCATCATGAGCCATCGGGATTTGTTGTGATGCCGACCAGTCGCAGCCTTTGATTTGCTTCAATACACACGCACTCGTGGCTTGTCCATTGTGGACCTTCCATTGAGCCTAACTTGGATTTGCCCATACAAACCTATATTGTCGGGAATAACGAGCGTATGTTTCAGCAAGCGCTGAACTTTGACAATCTTAACTCGCTGCAATGCAAGCTTCAGGAAAAACAAGCTGAAGCCCAAAGGAGCAATGAAGGTGCCATTGCGGTATAAAAAGATATGTTTTGAGGGCAGTTGCATACAACATTTTTCAACCGGACTCGACGCCTGGGGTTTCCGTATACCAGGAACAGGAAGAGACCAGCGAAGAGGACAAAGAAAAAGCCAAGGTGTCACATGAGAAGCCATCAGTTGCATCCAGTGGTATCGAGCTGTGAGAGTCGAGATCAATCCACTGTGCAGGATGTCATTCGAGATACCTTGAAAAAGCTAGAAGCTGAAGGCAGGGAAAAGGGAGTTGGCTAGGCAATGACAGGAGGATTTCACAAAAAAGCAGTCGTTTGATGATCATGTTCATTCCAGTTTTCTTCGTAGAGGGGACCCTGGAACTTTTGCGATTTGATTTGCCAGAATTCTACACCTAGATGCGGTTGATGTAACCCAAGTCCAGATTTGGAAACGGGCTGAATCAAGGACGACACTTGTGTTGTGCTACCCGCAGCAGGAAAGCAGGGAAAGAAAGGGAGCAAGACCAGAAAGACTGCAGCGGGCTCAGGAAGAGTTTTCAGTTATTTCACTTATTGGAGGGGCCAACTCTTTTTTCCCCCAAGAAGTTTTATCAGAAGACTGGAAGAGGAACTTGGAAAATGGCGACTCCTTGGCCCAGTCAATCTTACGCATGTCAAACGGCTTTGTCTGCAAATAGGGTACTCCATCCCATGGTTGGAACCTTCATCTCTAACTAAATAAGATTGCAATTTTAATGGGCATGCGGTATACCGGTATACCCATTTTTTCGAAAAAAGACTTGGCGATATATATATATACACATATATATATACACATATACATATATACATATATATATATACATATATATACATATAGATAGATATATATATATATATATATACATATATATATATGTATATATATATATATTATATGTATATATATGTGTATATATATGTATATATGTATATATATACATATATATACATGTATATATATATACATGTATATATATACATATATACATATATATATATACACATATATATACATATAATATATATATATACATATATATATACATATATATATATACATATATATATATACATATATATATACATATATATATATATGTATACATTGATATATTTATATATATATGTACACATATATATATGTATATGTATATATACATATATTATATATCACATTAAATCCCCGTTGGCTTTATTTACACCCCGTTTTTTTTGGTTAAACCGTTAAACCCCCAATTTTCAGGGCGCACTCAAAAACTCGTCCGTGCCGCTGCCAAGATCGAGAAGTTAAAGGCATTGCTCGGAGAGGCCGTTCATCGAGAGTGCCACCATTCGTGGTACCCGGAGTCATAGCTGGTCAATGGATGGCCAGATTCCCCAAAATGGCAAGAGGTTTTGAATGCAAATATGACCCATCCCCACATAGCTGGTCCGATAAATCAAAATGCCATAAATCAAATTGGGGGTAAGACCGAGTAAGACCCCATTTTTTTTTTGCGACAGCCACATCCTAAAAGCATGAGAGTCACTGAGAAAGAGCACGACGGCCGCCTCCGAGTCATTGCTTGATGTTGGATGTTGGGTGCCCAAATTGATGCCATTGTTGTTGTTGTGTTTAATTTCTCCCAAAGGTGGCCCTTCCGTTAATTCGACCTCACAGGATTGACCATGGCAAATCGTTGCAAAGGGTTTCCAAAATCGCCACAGTTGGAGTCATCTCTCCCAAAACACATTGCCTCAGGAGGACGAGGAGGAACCAGAAAAAATCACAGAGGAGCAGCAGATTGGGAACCCAGAGCCGAAGTTGTTCCATTATTTTTTTTTGCTCAGCAGTCATTTTCATATTTTATGTATATTGTATGTGGAATGATCTGCATAATTCTGCATAATTGTCAAAGGAAGTTTAGTTAGACAACTTCCGAGTTACGGACAATGATCATGGTTAGCATTCCCACTATCATGTCAACCACATCATCAAGTAGTTGGGAAGTGTAATTGTTCGGAAGCGTGAATTCACGGGTGAAAACACTCTCCGGTGCCAAACCCTGTGTTTTTTTGGACAATGTGCCTCCTGGGGTCGCCGAAGTAGGGTCTCTGTTTCCGCGGGTTCGGGCCTCGATGTGGGACAGTTGTCGACAAAAAGTGCACAGGACTGTAATGAGAGCTCGATTTGCACTTGAACATGCTAAAAAAACTGACATTCTTGGAGCAATTTCGGAAGATGAGGTCGGATGGACGGTCATTTGTACAATTATATATAAACATATATACGTATTTATATTATATTATATTATATTATATTATATTATATTGTATTACATTACATTACATTATCTTATATTATATTGTATTTATATTATATTATATTATACTATATTATATTATATTATATTTATATTATATTATATTATACTATATTATATTATATGATATCATATTATATTGTATTATATTATATTATATTTTATGATATTATATTATATTATATTATATTAATATTTTATTAATATTATACTATATTATATTAAATTAAATTAAATTATATTATAATATAATATATTATAATATAATATAATATAATATAGTATAATATCATAAAATATAATATAATATAACAGAATATAGTATAATATAATATAATATAATACAATATAATATGATATAATATGATATAATATAATTTAATAGAATATAAAACAACATAATACGAATATAATATAATATAATATAATGTAATATAATATAATATAATGTAATATAATATAATATTTTTCTAGCCACTTCATACTCTGTACTGAGCGTGGCTACAACGCAGTGACATCTGTCGCAGCCAGACTTGGGCAAAATTCATACGTACATGGATGGAAGGAAAAGTGCCTCAGCTGGGCTGGGGGTACATCAAACTGGAACCACAGTGACACAGCAGATGTGTTGATTTTTTCGCTGAGGTCTCACTTGGATTTCGCCAAGGCACTGCAAGAAGAGCAGAAGCGGAAAATCCATGTGGATATGAAGACTGTCAGGCCATGGCTGAGCAGCACAAATCCTCTAGATTGATTAAGAACATATAAGAATAAACATATTTAGAATATTAAAATTGATGAAAATTGGAGATTCAGAAAAATCCTTGAGAATTTACTGGACTCAGGGCTCTGAGTTCACTTTGTGTCTGGGTAGCGGTTCGACGAGAGCTGCTTCAAACATGATCGTAAGAGAGCAAAATCAGATCTGTGCAAACATGCAATTCATGTGGAAATGCAGCGCTGGAAGGAAACCATGTCACTTCCAGGGGAATCCCATTTCCCGATAAATCTCCGATTCATGTCCTGTCCTGTACCAAAAGCAAATGGTTCATTGTTTCGACATTTGCAGGAACGAATTTAAGCGGGACTTCGGCAGTGATTCTCGATCCCTGCTATGCAGCGGCTGCAAGATGGTGGCAGGACGTTTGAGTAGCGAGTTGGGTGGCCCAGGTGGCCCAGTTTCATTGGGTTGGACATCTCACAGAGCGCTCAAACATGGGATGTTAAGAGATCCATTTACCATCCAAACTTACGTACAAAATGGTGTTTCTGAGCGTCCAAAGGAAACTATGGCTTTCACCCTTGAAGATCCACTTCACAGTTCAAATGGCGCTCGAGGTTAGACACTCACGATGTGCACGAGCAGGACCTTGCACCATAAACTCAACAACCTCTGGTAATCAAACATGGCTGGCTGGTAAATCCCCGAACGAAAATGGAGGTTTTAATCTCTAAACATCATCTATGCGGATTTCGAGGGTATTGTTGCTGTTCTTCTTATCATCATTATTATTTTGATTATTACTTCTGAATATTTTCTTCTGCGTATACAAGACGAATGAGCTACACCTTCCATTGTTCATCATTTTTCATCCATTTTGTATGAATGCAACCAAAGGTCCTATCACACTCCTGGCATAATGTCTATTCCTCTCCTCTTATTCCCGATGTTCTCCGACGCAAAAAGTTATTCTGCATTTTACACACACACACACACTCCGTAAATGGGTGTGTCTGGAAATGGTGGATACCCCCCCAAAAAAAACATTTTTTTAACAGGGAAAAGTTCGATATTTTCACATCAGATGCATCCACTCCTTGCCCGAGGGCAGCCCGTTGTGCCAGAGGAGAGCCCCGCACAGATGTTGGCGGCCAAACGAAAGGCCATTGATTCCACCTGTAGCAGCCTCCGACATTTGCAGGCTGGTGGTTGATGTGGTTGATGTGGTTGATGTGGTTGATGTGGTTGATGGGTGGAAGTGTGGGATGGATGATAGATAGTTGGAAAGTTGGAATAAACATTGGGATGAACGATTTCGTGAAGGTGAACATTTGGATCTGGGAATTTGACCTATACCTAGCAATGGACCACATAGAATGGCCGGGACTTCATGGCTACCTGCAGCTTCATTTGCAGATTCACCTCCTGCAGGCAGTGAAGCCTGACGACGAGTCAGGTAGCGCTCGCTTCGAGGCTAGTGAGGCTCTGTGCCCCGCTGCTGAAATGCACGTCACTCCAAGTATTTGACTCCAGAATTCTCTGAAAATTCATGGCAAGCATGCCATGGTCACTTTTTTTTTTAAATGATATCAAAAATAGAATGATCCATCTCGTAAGATGACCGCCCTTCTTGAGGACATTGTCCGTTGCTATTTGCTAGTCCCTGGCATTAACCCCCAAATGCACATTTCCCACACGCATTTCCCAGACATTTTTGTTGCATACCCCTTTCAGACATTTTGTTGCGCTGCAAAACTTTTTTTGTGGTAAACCAATGTAAACCAAGCAATAAGCCGAGTAATGTGAGTAAAATGGCATTGTCTTACCTCTGGTAAACTAACATAACTATGGAAAATCACCATTTTTCATGGGAAAATCCACTATTTCTATGGTCATTTTCAATAGCTATGTCAATTTACCAGAGGGTATCAACCATTAAATCACATTAAATCCCATTAAACCACCATTTTCCTATGGTTTTCCCATGTCAATTTACTGGAGGGTAATAAACCTCTAAGATCTCCCACACCTGGCAAAAAAGTCCAAAAATCCTTTGGCAGGTCACTGGCGAAGGCGAACGCGAGGGTAAACGCCTTTGTGCCTCAGCGGCTGATGATGTTGCCGATGATACCCGTTGGATGGAAAGGACTTGGTTCGTCCAAAATTCCGACCTGGCCATTTCGATCTATTTTCATGGGGAAAATATGGGGAACATGATCATAACCAATGGATACCAATGGGATTTTGGGCCTATTTTCAAACACTTGGCCCATTGGAATAGGCCCAGGGTGTCTCGCCCAGCGAGGTGCTGCGATTTTGGAGGAGTCGCGATTTGATATCTTGGCCAGGCCAATGGGGGCGGTTGCCATCTGCATCGGCCAGAGGTCTGATTCTACCCATCCATATTCACAATAGATATATATACATATATGTATATATGTATACGTATATATTCAATGTATATATATATATATTCAATGTATATATATACATATAGATATATTCAATTTGTGTATATATATATGTATATTCAATGTATATATATATATTCAATGTGTATATATATATATTCAATGTATATATATATATGTATATATTCAATATATATATACACACTGAATATACATATTATTTATACATAGGTGAGGCGTTTGCTTGTGATGCTAAATTTGTCTGGTATACATGATATATATGTCTACATATGTATATATATATATATAATGTATATAATGTACATATATATATATATTTATAAATATTCATGCCCATATCCATATCCGGACCATCCACAAATTTATTTTAAGACTTGACGAAGCTTTTCATCTATGTTCAATTTGTGTTTCAGATAAACAGGTGTTTTCCCATGATATTCCTAGATCTATAACCATTGATAGTCATTGAATCATGGGCTTTTCAGAAGGTTTCTTTGGTCCATCCCGGAGTCCATCCCGGAGTCCATCCCGGAGTCCGTTTTCCAAGCCGTTTTCCAAGGCTCATCCAACGCAAGATTCCTGAGATGCAACAGTTTGGGATGGGTGAAAAGCCGGGCTCCCAGAGGGGAACAGACGAGATGATCGGATGGTTTTTTGGATGTTTTTTTGATTTAAGAATATCCAAAGTGATATCCAAAGTGATATCCAAAGTGACATCATAAAATGATTATTTGATATTATTTGGATCCTGATTGACATAAAATGATCATCACCTCTGAGGCATCACCCCAACTGGGAGCGCTGGCTTTGTGCTGAACGCATGCGTCTGTGTCCGGATACCTTGGACATCTTGGAATTTTGTAATGCTAGGGGGATGCAGGGTGGACCCATCTTCCACTCATTTATGAACTATGAATCATTATGAATCAATGAGAAATTTCATGGTTTTGCAGGGACGGTCGGTGAACCAAATTTCAATCACCTTTTTTGTGCCATAATTTTCTTCATGATTTTGTCACTGGCAAGTTAGCAAGTCCTGCTGTTCTGAGAAGAACCTGAGGTAAAAGGAGCGAAGTGAGACATGACGAAGATGATGAGATCGATCAAGATTTGTGAGCGCTAATGACCATCTATACATAGCTGCGAACCATCCCTGGTTCGGGTCACAGGCGCTGGGTATGTGGAGCTAATAGTTGAATGCAACTGAACAATGGGATGGTCTTGCCACGAAATTGATTCCGACATGACAAACGCAGGAAAGGTTCACTGCAACTGCTCTCAGAAGTTTCCCAAGAAATCACTGCAGGATCCACAGGTTCGGCGGGGCGAATTCACCGCAGCCCATCCCATCTTCCCAGTTGATTGGGCACCCGCAGGATTCAGGTTGATTATTTGATTTGGACCACCAACAGAGTGTGGATGACAAGTCCAGTACCATTTCGATGTCGTGCGTTCAGCTCAAACAAGAGGGCCACCTGCTGAAATCCGATCTGAATGGGGAAGGGGATTCGCAGCTATTGAACCTACCAACGTCCACGACAATAAATTTTGTGAAGAGGATTCACAGCTCATGACTTCATGAATGTCTGTCTCTTCAGAAATCACCCAGATGCCCAGCTTGGCTCTAAGGGCACATCATTGCAGCTATTGCATCTGAAGCCATGAGAAAAACATGCAAAAAAGACGGAAATTCTTTGATTAGCAAAAATCAGTGACTAATCAGACATGGACATCCAGCTTCAGGTCACTGGTTCATTTCTGGCTTTTGGTACACCAGAAATGGGAGCCGCTGGCTGCCAGCTGGATGACGCTTGATGCCCCTTCCAGACCTGTGCCCAGCTTAAGCCGTTGGATGAAAATTAACATGTCATGGGATGCCTGAGCCGCACTCTGATATACTGGGAGTTTGAAATCTAGTGGCCAGAACAACGGTAGAATCATCCTGGACACTTTTTTGGTGTTCAGGGGATTCCATGATGTTCCGATGGTTGTCCCGAAGTGGCGTGGACATTCATAGTGTGAGAGAACCAACGCCAAGTTCAGGTTGCCAGAGTTGAAACGACGGCGGAACTCCTCACAGGACCGCTTTGCAGGGTTATGGGATCAAAAGATGTGCTACCAGAAGTGACCCATAGCCAAATCTGAGTAGAGGACTTGCGAATTTCATCACATTTGGATAGATACATTTTAGGTATTTCAAAGCAGCTAAGCATAGAATTTGATGATCAAACATGATCCAAAACCTTGGCAGGAGCTGCACGAAGATATGACAGAGGCACTGGGGACCTGGGGACCAGTGAGGCTACAGCGAACATTTACGGTAGTGGAGAGCATGCTATGAGGATTGGCTGTCGCAAGCCTATGATGATGACGATGTCCCAGGCAGAGCGCCTGGCCTTTTTGAAGCGATCCTTGGCACGAGTCACTGGGCCGATGGAAGGGGAAGATAGGAGGGAATTTCATCGGGAAACCCTATGACTGGCTAAATAGAATCATAGAATTCGTTGAACTACCAGAGGGTATAGCATGAGTATTTATTCAGTTTATATACATTTAATCATCAAGACACTTACACAATCGTATTACAATTATACAACTTGCATCAACTTACAAATATTGTATAATATGGTCACATGCTGTCACTACCATTACTATGCTATGATTCTGAGAGGACATGCAGACTTCGATGGATCAATCTATTTTCTCATCGACTCTTGGGGGTTGACGTCAATAAACCAGACTTTTTCCCATTGACAGGGATTTCCACCGTAAGTTTGCCCCTTACCTGGCAGGCACGTGCGCAAAATGCTGAAGTGGAAATTCTCCGGCAACAGCAAGAGCGTGACTTGGCAGAGGCAGGACTGAGAAATATCCAAATTTTAACCAGCAAAAAATAGGGGATTTAACACGATCTAAAATTGAAAAATGGGTATACTATGGTTTGCAACACCATGGTATACCTCAAATTGTGGCCTTCGCTCGGAACATGAGATTGCAACCCTGTGAATTTCGGGTTTTCCATGGGTTTCATATTTTCAGACAAAAGCAGCTTCACAGCCTTGACAGGCTTACGTTCAACGCCGACATCAGCAGGTGGCTTTGGGTCGATTCTCTCTGCGCTGTCATCATGACAATGTGTTTTTGTTGCGGTCAAAGAAAAGACCGCAATCTGGCCATATTTGGCCCATTTCTATCCATTTCTATTTTCTATTTTTATTTTGATTTCTGTTTCTACTTCTATAGCAACAAAGAGCGGGCTTCTTCCAGGCGGATGAGAGACGAGAAGAGCGTCGTCGAAACCTTTCTCACCTCAAGGTCAGGGTACCTTCATTGATCCTATGGGATTGCCTCATGTTCATGTGGAAATCACATCGCCACGTCACGGCATTTCCAGCGCTAAACATATCTCAACAGCTGGTTCCTAGCAACTTCCAAGTTCATAGGCCCTAATTATATCTAATTATGTGATACTGTGATTATTATATATTAATTATTATCATTTTTTTGTTTCAGGTGTTCTTTTTGTTCCAGCCTACCTCGGATTTTATTATTCCCAGTTGACTCATGATAGTTGGGGTTAAGACCAAGCCACCAAGCATCCAATGGCCTGGACCAGGCTTTTTGCTCAGTAGCCACTCTGGCCACTTGTGGATGGGTCAAACTTCTCAACTCAAAATGGATGGGAAAATCATGGCAAATCATGGTGCAACTGCATAAAGATGCCCCGTGATGATGATCCACGATCAAGGCTTGCGCGAAGGTGGAACCCATACCCCTCATGGTGGAGGAGGCTTGGAGAAATTCACCGAGGTGGATGCCATGGAGAGATGTTTTTTGACCATGTCTGTCGCGAGATATGAACTGCGGAGGATCCAAAGGCTTCCTCACTATTAAAGCAGCAACCATCACTTCGACAGCGCCTGAGACTGGTCCGGGAACCGGACCAACCCGGGCTGATTCAGTTGGTATCCCTGCAGGTTGGTGCTTTTGCAGATTTGGGTTTGAAAGATGGTTTGAAGAGTCTTCGCCATTTGATCGTTCGAACGTTTCTGATCCCAGAAATCTGCTATACACATGCAAAAATCATCATAAAAAGTTACACTGGATCCTGATTTTTTCCATCTCCAGCACTTTTGCCAAAGCAGCGAGTATCTAGCGATGTCTTCCTCAGGTCTTAACTCCCAAAGTTCCTGACTTAACACGGCCGAGCTCGGACCGCTCCCTGTCACCCAGGCACCACAACCGATTCTGTGAAAAATGGTGTCATTAGTTAGCATCACTTCAGAAATTCTGAATTTCTCAATAAATGGTATAAATGGACATTTTCATTCCGATTGAGACTTGGATTTAAACAGATTTGAACAGATTTCAGCGCAGATCTTGTCGGGATGTGGTGAGGAAACCCGCTGTGCCTCGCACCAAAAGGAGGCCGAAGCAGCCCGCTGCAGAGGTGGGCCGACTTCGTGGGAGCAGAATGGGAAACGGTTGCTAGTTGAAGTCATAACATGTGGGAAGATCATGGGATACAGATTGGATATGGTGGGATATCATAATAGATATCACTGAGATTCACTGAGATACAAGATGAGATGGATTTGTCATTTATCCTGATTTGTCCAGGTGTTTGGGTCAAGATGAGTGACCCAAACCTTCAAAACAGCTGCAGGTGCCCTCGGCGCAAGATCCGCAGATGCCGAGAAAGGACAGCTGATGACAGCTTGGTTTTGAACCCAACTGGTTTATCCTGGTTTGTCGGTGAGGAAAAACACCATTTATGAGGCCACCTATCCACCAGGTAAGTAGACATGATCGCCCCTCTCTCCAGGAGTTGTTGAGAGCCACCCAGCATCAGCTCTTGAAGTCGTAGCAGCCTCGTTTCCGCGTTTAGTTTCCAGATGTTTCCAGTGCGCGTTTGCTGGTTTCGGTTCCAAGATCTTTCAACTGAGGTGTGGCTTGGTCATCTACAAGCAAGATATGAAGGCATGGTTTTTCCCCACTGCACCTGGATGCACCTGGATAAAAAATTCCTGGTGGTGCCAGTATGTGCCAGTGCTAGGCGCACTTCAAGAGGATCGTGGAAGCAGTATCCTGGCCACCTTGGATTCCGATCTGGGATTCTGGTCATTGGGGTCATTGGGGGCTGGGGTTGTTCGCATGACATATCTTGACATATCTTGACACGATCTTTAGACGAAAGCTGCTTTGCTACAGTCAGCGTGGCTTCAAAAGCCATCAACTCAGGTAGAAGTCGACCAAGCAGCCAGTGCCGGGCAGCAGAAGTGCCATGGCTATCCATGGCTGGGGACATGCAGTGCTTCTTGTTCCTGAAACGAAAAGGAATCCCAGTATGGGTTTCTGTAGTTTGCATGTCCATTAACCAGCATAGATGATATTACTGTATACTCTGGAGCTGACGTGCTAGGGTGTCCCAGTGCGAAAAGCCGCATTTTTGTCTGACCTCGTGGAGCACGTGCTGGATCAAACCTATTCAGCTATATAACTATTCGATGTTCATAGCACCAGGGTCTTGACCAATACCCTCCAGCAATCTAAAATGGCTATGGACAATGGCCTATTTAGTTCAATGATATACCGTTGTATACCGTATTGTATGAGCATGGGGATTTTCATGGATTTTCCATAGCTGCCATAATGGAAATTATCAGAGGGTACCCAATTATGCCCCTTGAGGACTGCGATGGCCAATTTGGCAAGGCATCGGGAGAGATTTGGCAGACGTGGTTTGGTCGCGCATGCAGAACTCATGATATCATATGGCCATGTGGTATCTTATACATACATAATAATATATATATGATTATGCATACACATTACAAAATACATATATGCATATATACAATATATATATAATATGCATATTTACAATATATATATAATATATATATAATATGTATAATATATATATGTATACAATATGATATATATATATATATAAATGTAATATATATATATATGTAATATATATATAATATCATATACATATACATATACACATATATATATAATATATAATATATATAATATATATAATATATATATATATGTATACAATAGACATATATATAATCGACATATATATATATACATATATATATATATAACATAGATTTAATAGACATATGTATATATATATATAATAGACACACACACATATATATATATATAGAATCCATCAAACTCCATTCTTGGTCTTGAGCGTTCTCTGGACTCAAGAACTTTTTGCCCAGTTGAGGTTGAATCCGGTACAAATTAATAGTTCAATCATCAACTGCTGAGTCTGCGTTCAGCCGTTTCCAGGCCAATTCTCTCTGAGAATCGCAGCCGGAGGCATTGAGTGCTAGTGGCAGAGCCTTGTTCGCGGCAGCCAATTGTTTTAGTTGCTCAGACATCCTGCCATCAAAATGGCTGGATTTCCGGGGGACACAGGGAGCTGCCCAATGCCCCGGTTTTTTTTTTGTGCATCTCCAAAGGAGAGCCACTCTAGACATGTTGCGTTCAGATCGCTGTGTCAAAACAGTCGCCTTGGTTGTTGAAGATCCTTTGCGGCCTCTACTGGCTTGATTTTGACAGCTGCACTGAGGGAAGGTGTTTTTCTTTGGGATCTTGAGGCTTCACGAGGTTTCTTGAGGGTATTGCCATTGGAAGTTACATCAACAATCAAGCTCTTCGAAACTCTTGCACCATTTTGGGCGAAGAAAAACTAGCACTTAGAAATCAAGACCTATACATTTACACAGTAGATGTAGCCGGTGGGTTTGAAAGACACGTGATGGTCAAAGAGGTTTTCCGATGATTTGAGTGCTTCATATAGCTTTGATGGCACCATGCGGCCCTTTTTGTTGGAGCTGGTCACATTCACAGATTTTGGCCCGAGCGGCCCACGCCAGCCTTTGCACCATCGAAAAGAAGTCACAAGTTGGGCATGTAGGACATCACCACATCAACAGTCAAGTGATTTAATTGGCCTGATATTGGCCTGTGGGGTGTTGTTGAATCCCGGTTTCTCCCGGAAATTTCAGTGAAGCTTCGTCAGCTTGCTCTTCGTGTCCCGATTGGCTGTAGCCAAAACCTTAAGCCCGCACATATGATCAACCACCAGCCTATTGATTATTGTAGATTGAAATAAGGTTCCGCCCCCTGAAAAAGTATGCAGTATGAGGGAAAGACAAGAACACACCATTTCCACACTCTTTGGAGGCCTTTCTAAGAATTCGGAAAAACAATACAGACATCAAGGTTTTGCCAAAAAGAATCCAGACATTGCCACTGCAGTTGCACCCGTTTTCCAGTCGCATCCTGCAATAAGACTGCCGCGTCTAGACGCGTGCAGCTGCTTGCGACAGAGGCCGGGCCACAGATTTGAGGCCACAGGAGCCCAACGATAAGCACCTCTTTAGGGGTGTGGTTTTTGCTAAGCAATGATGGTAGAATTGGGGAGATTGGGCATGGTTTATCATTGGCTTTACCTTTTTGGGCTGTGGTTTTGCAAGGTGAAGCATGGCAAATGGCACTCCGCCAGCCGGTATTTGCGAGTTGATGAGGTGGCCGTCAATTGGTTTCCGTCATGGGGACCCGTCATGGGGGGACCCAATGGGGACCCAATGGGGACCCAATGGGGAACCCACCTGGGAGGATTGACCCTGTCATGACCTGCAGGGCGCTCCAGAACTCCGACAATGCGATCCGCTCCGAGGCAGAGAAGAAGCTCATGGAGGCGGTCAAAGGACCCCCGGTGTGGTTGAGAGGGGCAGACGCTGGGGACCGGGGCTGTTGGAGTCTGAGCCGGTTGAAGAGCAATTTGCATTTGGAGGAGCACCGGATCAGCTGGTTTTAGAGCTGCTGGCTGTGCTGGGAGCAAGCAATGAGAGCCTCAGCAGCAAGTTGGGCAAGCTTTCAGCAGCAATCACCAGCAAACCAGCAATCATAGGCTAATTTCCTTTTGGATCAAGTGATGAACGTCCAATTGACAGAATCAGATGAGTTGTCAGCCAGCTCTTTTCCATCTTTGGGATTTGTTAGAAACTGATAGGGTTCGATCAGCCCAAAATCTAAGATCAGCTTCTGTGGAACTTCGTCAAGAAGCCGTGGTAGTACTGAGGACCTTGGACGGGAGAGCTGAGGGCTGGGCTTCAACCAACAAAATCATGTTCATTTAAGTACCCTCTGGTAAACTAACGTAACTATGGAAAATCACAATTTTTAATGGGAAAACTCACTATAAATGGTCATTTTCAATAGCTATGTTAGTCATTACCAGAGGGTATCAACCATGATGTTTCCATCATCAAAATTGCAATCAGCCACAATCTGATTGAAGCATCAAAAAAACCAGTCAGCATCAACGACTGGGATTGGACCATGAAGCAACAGGCATCTAGCCAGAAATACGTAGATTTTGCTGGTTACATCCTGCAGAAATCTGACTTGTCACGAGGAAATCTCCTATTGATTGCCAGGGATTGCGAGAGGGTAGCTGCTTCAACACAGTCAATGGGACAGCTAAAAGACCAACTGAATGTGTGGTGTGCTTGGTGAATGGGACAGCTACTTTCCCTGCCATGATTCACCGCTTAACCACCAGAGATGTTTTTGGACATTTGACTAGGGACTAGCCAAAGCAAGGCATATGTAGTGGAGTCACATCTGGCTTGACACATTTTGTTTTTCCTGGATCTTGAGAAACAATACATAACTTAACCATGAGTATATAATGATAAAGTAACATTGTATAAGTATATAACCATCCTTAAACATCCTTTCCCAACTTCCCAGGGGGCACTGTGTTGAAGGTGCTGTCCTCGCATATTTTTCTGCAGGCAATGTGCTATGGAGCATAACTCCAAGAGTTGCTGGAAGTCTTTGCAGAACACCACGAAGGAGGCACGAGACTCGACAGAATCCCCAACTGGATGGTTTGCTGCTGGAAACACGACAGGAAAACATTTTTTTTTTTTAAATATGTTCTTTTAGGGTCCTTTGCTGTTCGATGTTTGAGTCATATTTGACATATTGGATATATGTTTGACCCATGACTGGATGATGATGGTGATGATGATGGTGATGATGCCTGTTGATCTCTGCTTCCCAATTTTGGCAGGCGTTGAAAGAACAGATCTTGGTGTCTTTGACCAAGGACTTTTTTCGCTGGGAAGCCATGAGCCGACTCATAGGGTCTTCCAGATAGCTACAGCGGCTAAGAGTATCAGATTTTGATCTCTCTTGGCCACACGAACAGTATGGCTATGTACTGCTACACAAGTCAAGATGTTGAGAATGGGTGCATGCACACAACTCCTATCAACAATTTTCGACAAACAGGTTTTCATGACTTAGGTGTGTCTAAAAACAGAGGATTCACTCTCATTCTAAGGCTATTTTAATATAGTGAAAATCAGGACGAACCAATGTTTTTTTTGAAAAAAAAAGCAACATTTTCAGACAATCCCACATATCAATACCTATGATATTCATTGAGTAAGTATATCTCCATCATGCATTTTCGACAGGACCCTAGCTTACCAGTTCGGCGAAATGCTGCGAACGTGGTGAGCACCGTAGCATCCACCTGTGCCAACAGTTACTCTGAGCTCGTGAAGGAGACGGGGACCGACGGGGACAACAGTATGGAGGTTTCCCAAGATATGGCTACCCCAAACCATGCGTTGTCCCATTGACTGATATCCATTGACAATAACCAATTTTGGATGATATTGGGGTACCACCATTTAAGGAAACCTCTAGATGTTTGATGCAGAAAAAACTGATGTTTACTGTACGGAAGAATCGAAGAATCTCTTGAGAAATAGGACGGCAGGGAGACCGCTTTGGGCAAAACTTGTGAGGCTCCAAAGCCAGGGTCAATGTACAAGATCTATCGGAATCTATCGATATCAGCGTTCCTTTAACATGTTGGGCCCCAGCAGCAGTCCTCGTTTTCTGCTTCGGTTTAGCAGTGTGAGGAGTGGCCGCGATTGCTGCTGTTCCTCTCGGAGACCATTAGCTACTTGGATTCATGGTGAGTGGTGCAGAATCATCAAAATGCATGCTTTCCAACATTGCCTCAGAAGCGGTGAGTAGAGGACTTTGTTTCTCTAGGCACTCCAACTAGTACAGGATATCTTTCCGCCTCCAGGCAGTTGAATGTACTCAACAGAAAACCTTACATTGTCTTCGAAGCAGACAGCTTCGAAGGAATCACCAGAAACATGCTTCAACCGTTTGCAAAGGCATGGGTGTCAAAATTGTCCTGGGCATATGCCGTTTGTCCGAAATTTCAATCAGCCGAAATCCCATGGTTCATCATCATTTTCCAATTTTTATTGACCACAAATCATGTAATCCATGATTTTTCATGTGACATCGTAATTTCTGGTTGTTAAATGCGCCATTGTCTGACGAGTTTTCATATGTTGGATCAGCCTCCCTGTTTGGCCAAGGCTCTGGTCAAGCGCCGCAAGTGACGGCGTGTCTCAAGGTGCCGAGTATTAGTTTCAGCTCTGTCGTGGCACCAGTTTGGCTACATCTTTAGCTGGTGGTAGTTCCTCATAGTTCCTCTCTCTTCGCTAAGAAATGTTTCACAGAACGTGCTAAGCTACTCCAGTGAAAGATCAAGTTCTTGAGTCCTTTGAAATGTACTAGGACTAGGGGCTCCACCCCCCATCATTGCATGACTCAGCAGAAACAAATGGGGGATGTCGTGGGCCCGAAAATTCCAACAGTACCAGTTTACGCTGGTGAAATCCACTAGTTATGGTCAAAGTACCATTTTCTATTCATTTTCTATTCATGTCTCACTTGTAAAATCCCAGTTTCCTATTGTTTAAATTTTAAATGGGTTCAGCAATGTTCAGCACCTTTTTTTTTTTAAACTCAATTTTTACGTTGAATCTCCAATGAAACTCATGTTGAATCCAAGGTGCTCACAGAGTTGGTGGATCTCATTGGTGAGGAGCTCCTGAAACAGGGCCCACAGACGGTGCGCGGACGCTTGATGTTTAACGAGGGGATATACTGTACAGATTTACTGAAACATGATATTTATGAAACATATTTATGCATTATATTACTATTATGAAATGTATTTATGAATGATTCACTGTACATGATTATGGGTGAAAGATATTTATGAATGATATTTATGAATGATTGATGAATGGTCCCAATCGTAAACCATGTTTTTGTCAAGCAACTTTTGACCAACTATTACGTGGTAACCCCAAAGTGCATTGGTCAATGGTTATGTTCCTGGGTTGCTTCTTATTGGTTTACAATGTGGTAAACCCAACAATAAGCCTCCACATTTTGATGAATGGCTTGATTAGATAATAAGGGATATGGACGGCAGCGTGCGGATTATGATAATAGCTCCATGAATTATTCATGAATGGCTCATCATTTCATGATGGTTTATGATGTGGCCAGAATCCTCCACTTTTTTGTTGGCATATGAAAAAGCCACTGGTGCTAAAATTGGGGCGGGGCGATTTATTATTAATGATATGGGGATGTGACAAGGGGATCGGATATGGAGATCTCTATCTCATCTGTGGTCAATGATATGGTCGTTAAATGAGGCAGAACATGATTTGGGAATATTTGGGATATGATACGGGGATATGATGGGTATTTTACCATCAAACATGGTTTAAATCGGGATTAGTTAAACACATATGGCACCATACTTTGGGGGGAATGAACCATTGACTGCTGGATCGCAGTGGATATTAAGGATGGTTTTTGCTAAGCGGGAATCATTCCCAAAATGGCCGAACTTTCAGGTTGCTGAGTGATTGGTTTAATGGCTATTCGATGGTGATTTTTGATTTTGGTGTTTGATGAATGGCTTGATGAATTGATGATAAACGGATGATAATGGGTGAATGGTGGTGTACATTTTTTCTTAAAGTGGGAGTCATTTCCCAAATGGATGATATAACAAAACTGCTTCATTAGTGATTGATGATAAATGGCTTACAATTTGGTTTGGTTGATGACTACACTAATGGCTGGTGAAACAGCATGATATATGATCGACAGTAACGGTTTCACGAACAATATGGTTAGTGGTCGATTGCTTGAATATGATATTTATCTAGATTCGAATTCGAGTTTGGGTACAACCAGACCATTTAGAAACGAAAAATAATGATAGTTTCTCAAAGAGGACATTGCCCAATGGTTTACACCTCCTATTTTCAACTAATGATCACTTTGTGCAGGTGGCGTTGCTTCAAACCTGCTTGCAGAGCCCTCCTGGAGAGGCCAGTTGCGCCAACGTATTACCACTGCCTTGTGGTGGAAATTTCTTCCTCAGGTCAGAGCAGCAGCTGTACAACTACTCTTTCAGATGGCTGCATGGCTGCAACATGCTGCAACTTTGTCATCGACAAGACACTTTTCCAGTGGAGCAAGAATCGCTTGAATCTAGAATTCACCTTGGGTTACCTTTGGTTTTGTACTCGTAGATGCTTGCAGGTTCTTTTTGGCAGTTTGTAGATGGTAATAATGGTCGGCATCTACAAACTACATCATTTTACCCATGGTATGTCCCCATACTACTATTTCGTAGGTGGATTTTTGATGATTTTGCCACACTTCCCACACTTCATTTTCCCCACCCTACTTTTTCGGACTGAGGTGGAGGATTTAGAAGAAGAGGTCTTGACGCCTTTGGGTCAGTTTCTCTCAGAGGGACATGGGTGTTGTGACCGTGAGCTCTCTGCTGTTGTCCAAAGGGGTGGAACAGCAACTGCATTCCTGGCGCATTGTCAAGACCTGTTTTGCATTGTAGAAACAACAACAGTCTCCAGCAGGGCAAACTCAGGAAACTCAGGATACACAACCTGCTACGACTGTACACTGCCGTGCTAAAACCCGTTAACACCCTGTTTGAACCACTGCCCTTTCGCGTGGTTAAAAAAACAACTCAGATAACTCAGGTCCTTTGATGCCCCAGACCATTGAAGTGATCAAGGGCTTTGCAATGGCCTCAGAGCATGAAGATTGTCTGAAGGAAACATTGGAGGCCTTGATCTCATCTGCGGAAGAGGACCGGCACCGTTTGGGGACCTGATGGGGCAGAGGCTGTGGCATTTGTGGCTCAATGGGGCCACGGCATCACATGAAATATATAGATGTATATATATATATAGAAGCACATTTGTTCTGACTCTATCCAGTAATTTTTATCGACAACGGTCCTACTCTATTTTTCCAATGCACCCGAAAAAGTAGGCAGCATTTGATATTTGGGTTTGTCTGAAAACATAGTAACCATTCCATCCACTGGTTAATCATCATTTTCCCACATTTTCGCTATTAATGCCATTCAGTGGGGATCAATTCCCCATTTTCAGATACACTGAACCATCTGATATTCCGTTTCTCATATCTTCCCATGACATCCTCCCAGGCTTTTGATGGCTTTTGTCTATTGTATCCCATCGTTACCGGTGTCTTTTTACAGTGCTCCGGCTCGAAACCCACGGTGAAGGAGCCCGAGTTTTTCAAGGCCCATGGGCTACAACAGCTCTGGCCGCTCCTCTTGGAGATGTGCAAAGCTGATGCTCGGCGGGCGGTGGCCTGATGGATGGCGATGGATGACGATGTATTTGTCTCTCTCTTTTTTTAATGTGTTCATAATAAGAAACTCTTGATAATTGACAATATTGAACATAGAGGTGTTTGATATTTCAAATTTGATTCACATAGAGGTGTTTGATATTTCAAACTTAATTCACATTGTCTTTTTGAAGAGAGTAATTGTCTTTGCCCTGAGGCTGGCAGAAATTTATTCACGTGCGTATCATGTGGCATCACCCAGGACCACTGGGCAGATTCTGCAGTCAGACATAGACCCTCGGCTGAACGCAACATGTAGCAGACCCTTGCCCCTTTCGGCAAGTGCATAGTCAAATGGCTTTGTTTGAAAATAGGGCCAGCCAAATTCTCTGGTTTATCAATGTTTATCATCATTTTCCGCATTCAAAGAGTCCTTCTTGATCATTTTTAAGTATGGCTCATTTTCAGACATACCATGACAATCCATGACATACCCTTAAATCGATGTCCAGGTTTTTCAATCCAACTGTCAGCGGCCCCCCTCAGAGGTGCTATGGAGGCGGTGATGTCTTTTTTCGAAGGCCTCTGTGAGGATTTCTGCAAACCTGAGGTGGGGACTGGATTTGCGGAACTTTGAAGATTTTGAGCCCCCCAAAATATGATAGTAATATAGATATATCTACTATCAATATCATCAATATAGATCAATATGATAGAACCAGCTTATTGGGAGCCTGTGATGAATAGATTGCCACCAGGCATCCGGGGCGGGGTTTCTGGTCAGGGCCTACCCTTCTTGGAGCAGCTTCTGACGCTGAACATCCAGTGGATGTTAGAGGTGGAAAAAATCCGGCGGCGACAGGAACTAGGAGACCAATTCGGAAACCAACGAAAACCAGTTTCGAATAACATACCCTCTGGTTATGACTAACATAGCCATGGTATAGATGGCCCATTTATAGATGGTTTACCTATTAACAATGGTGATTTTCCATGGCTATGTTAAATAACCAGATGGTAAACTTCCTATGGTTTTCCTATGGTGACACTGTGGATTAGGTTCCTATGGTTTTCCATGGACTAGGTTCCACCGTTCCCTTCCGCATCAACAAAAACCCTGACATGAGTTGTTTCTCGATCTCTCCGTGGCATCAGGTTGAAACGAACGTGGAACTTTGGACGTCCAAGGCGGATGAGGAGCGTTGATATCCCACTGCTTGCTGCTCCCGTTTACCAATGGCGATCAATGGTGCCCATTTACCCATAGGTAAATGGTGAATTAAATGGTGATGAATGGTTGGCACCTGATGCTCTTGCGAGGACATCATTGATGTTCTTCCTGTCGTAGGGTCTTCAAGCACATTCTTGCATAGCTTGAAGCTCCTGTCCAGCTGAGTCAGCGCAGACTGCCCAGGAGGATGATGAGATAGACGAGGACATCGTTGACATCGGTGAAGAAAACCTCGACAGAATGGCCTCACACTGTGCAGAGAAGGACAGACGACAGAGATGACGGGAGGGTCGAATGCTGAGGTGGAGAGCTGAGGCTTTTGAAGTCTTGACTGTAACGTTTCTTGGCATTTGTATACAAAGATATATAGATAGGATTATATTATATAGGTATAGAGTATATAGCGACGGACAATCACTTAGAACGTATTTTGGAAAAAAATCTGTTTTTTTTTAATGCTTATTGGACGTTCTAAGTGATGAATCGTCTACGTTCTAAGCCTTACACTTAGAACGTCCAAATATCAAGATTCATCACTTAGAACGTACCGGGGAATTTAACACTTAGAACGTGTCTAGGTCAATGATGATAGTGGAAAGGCTTGTGAAATCTTTTATCTCTAAGTGTTGGATTCAGCAGCTAATTCCGTAGGAAACATAGACATAATTTCGTACCATTTGGCTTTTCGCAAAACTTAAGAATTAAGTTAGTAAAGACAAAAGGCATGCGAAGTGGTTCCTTGTCCTCCTTGCTGCTCATGTCAGGTATCTCACCAGAGAATCGCAGGAGGGCCGCAGGCAAGATGCAGTAGCTGAAATTGCCATGCTTGTGATCAAGTGTAGTATCTGCTCTCATTGCCGAACTGTTTGAACGTTTGTCTTGCATTTGATCAAGTGCAGTATCTGATCTTATCCTGCCTTGCGTGATTTTGCCAATTTTGGTCTCAAGAATCATAACCCATCCAGACTCAACATGGAGCGTTTGAAGCCTGGGTGGTTTTGACGCGTGACGTGGGTAGACTGGTTAGATGGCTCGGCAAATTTTACCCACGGAGACTGAACTGGCCACTTTGGCGTCCTTGAACGATGTGCGGGTCTACGCTGGTTTGCCACAGCCAGTGTGGGATATGATTTCGCTGTCCTTGGGCACTGTGCCTAGTCTCCGGGTGCTGGCCATGAATCCATCACGTGTCATTGGTGATACCGTGCAAGGGCTGCAGATTCCTGTGCTTGAAACCGATGGGAATCCTAGGTTGGACACAACTGGCAACCCTTTGCACCGACCTTTGTCAATGGTAGAGTCTCTGCAGTTCTCTTTGATGTGGAGAATTGCCAGGCAGGCGTATGGCTTGGAGGACTATGACATTTTTCAGCCACCAGTCGCATCACCTGCAGATGCATCAGCTCCAGCATCTGCGCCTTCAAGCGTGGGAAGCAAGATCCCGCCAAATGTCCGCAAAGTGAAAGTTAGCCAAGTTGCAGATCAGCTGGATGACACTGAACTTGAAGTCATGGACCAAGCAGTGCTGGATGTAGCGTTCAACCACTACAGAAGCAGAATGGGCTCTGAACCTTTGAAAGAATCCGAGCCAACTGCTGAGCAGGTGACAGTGTTATATTCCAGGGTGGTGACCCACAATGGATCAACATATGCTGACTTTTCAGTTCTCACTCCGTTTGGTCGGAGAGCTCAGAAACAAATGAAGGCGAAAGGTTTCATGCTGCAAGAAGACGGGTCTTGGAAACAGCTTGAAATTCCAGGCCCGCCAACTTATGAAGCTTGGTCGGCCTGCTGGGACATTTACAAGACTACGCTCCTGATGCTCCAATACCCGGGTTCCACAGCTACCGAGCCCAAGCGAGATGTGATCACGTGGTCATGCTTGGAAGAGTACTTCAATCGGATTTGCAAGTTGAACCGCACATATCCTGAATGTTGGCATTTACTGGTGGCTGCGGAGGATAGATGCCGAGGTGAACACCTGGGCAGATGCAGACGGCTTCTGGAAAGAGCTGCGTTGGAAGGCAGACTTCCTATGGACCTGGACTTTGACCCTCGGACTCCATGGGTGGGATGCTTTAGCTATGCGGCTCGTGATATGGACTTTTGGACTTCAGAAGTGATTGTTCCTGCGCAGAACTTTTTGGCTAGAGGTGGTGCCGGCAAGCGCATGTCCAAGGAAATTGCAGAGGATAGCGACGTGCCTCCGGCTGTGAAGGAAGCTATGGAGGCGTCAAGGACGAAAGGCATGCCTCGTCCCCATGGTCAAGGTGAGTCAAAGAGTGCCAAGCAGCGCAGAAATCTCAGGCAAAGATTTGAAGAAGGCTCGGCTCCTGCAAGTGGGGGCAGATCCAGTTCTTGGCAGAACTCCTCTAAAGGATCCAAGGGTGGCAAAGGTGCAATGCAACATCCACGGCGATATGGGCAACTTTTTGTCACCAACCGTGAAGGTGTGCAGGTCTGTTATGCATATGCGAAGGGTCAGCCCGGCGCTTGCGCAGAACCATGCAAGGACAATCGTGCTCATGCCTGTCAGCACTGTTTGGGTCCTCACCCAAATTGTCAATGCTCAGTGGCGAAGAAGGACAGTGGTGGAAAGGGTGGCGCAAGCAAGTGACAGGATGAGCAGGGTGAGCACCAAGATGTTGATGTCCCAGACGTGGACATTGATGATGTTCCTACAGGTGCCCACCTGGGCTCTGAGCAGAATTCAGATAATGTGGTGCTGCCTAGGCCGTTCAAGTTTGCTGAATTCTTTGCAGGCTGGGGCGGTTTGTCGACGGCAATGAAATTCGTCTCGCATCGCTGGATCAATGTGTCTGCAACGCTAGACGGGTACAGAGGTGCATGGAATATTCTTGATGATGAACATTTTGAGTCTGGAAAGCAAGTTTGCAGAGAAGTAGACCATGGCCATATGGCACCACCGTGCCGTACGTTGACTATGGCCCGGCGGTCTGACGAGCATGGGGTGGCAAAGATGTTGCGGTCAAACGATTACCCTGAAGGCTGGGGCGACCTTGAAGCTGTGGAAGCAAACCTTGTAATTGCCCGAATGGTGGTGCTGGTGTTGATCTTGCACAACCAGGGGGCCACGTTTGCCATTGAGAACCCTTGGATGTCATATTTGTGGCAATTGCCCATTATGCTCAAAGTTTTCCGGCTCAGCAATGTCGAATTAGTGCTCCTTCATCAATGTTGCTACGGGGCACCATGGGTGAAATTGGTTAGATCACTTTGCCACGAAGTCAGGCCTCATCTTCACACGTCTCTGGTAGGCAAAACCTGGAGTTACATTGACGAAGGTTGGGTTTGGAGAACCAGCCTAGCGGCTGAGTATCCATGCGGTTTGTGCATGGCATGGGCGAGTGCTTTGAGAGGTTGGTTGTTTTCAGCTCTGGGACAGAGGTGGCTGTCTGCAAGGTCAATGAAGCTGACAGGCAAATGGCGCAATGTTTTGGTACGGTGTTCGGATGATGCCAGTTCTGAAGAGGTGGTACACGCAGACAAATCCACTCAGCAACTCAGAGAGGAGGAGAATGCAAAAGCCTGGGGGGGCTTGAGAAACCCTAGGCATGCAGTGGCTAGGTCAAAGAATCTTCGGGATGTTGGGCAGCGTCTGCGTCAAGTGATGCTTCCGCTGGTTGCCGATGCCAATCTCTTGGAACTGGATAACGACATCAGTCTGGGAGTTACAGATCCCTGGGTGACAAGGGTAAGGGAAGCGCTCTGCGCAGAGTTTGGCGCAGTCTCAGTGGAGGAAGGCCTGCAGTATGACTTGTGGAACAAACTTTGCTTGCTGCCAAAGATCCGGATGCCAGTTGTTTGTCAGAATGGATCCGGGATGGTTTTCCTTTGGGCATTGTGCACGCCATTGAAAACACTGGAGTTTTTCCTGCTACTCAAACGGTTTCTGCTGCCATTGAAGAGAGTCGCATCCATGGTATGCTGGCCACCGATGTTGATGGCACCGCTACAAACTATAGCAGCTTCCAGGAGTCAGTGGCGCAGGCTCAAGAGCTTATGGATCAACTGGTGCAAACAGGCCGGGCAGACAAGTTTGAGACCTGGCAGGAGGTGGTTGAAACTTTTGGTGAGCAAGCCAAATTGACGCGGCTGGCCTGTTTGGTTAAAACCAAAGAAACAGGCGAAACCAAATACCGCCTTGTGGTTGACTCCAGACGTTCTGGAGTCAATGGGCTGATGACTGTCAAGGAACAAGTCATTCTACCAAAGATTTCTGATATTGCCCAGTCCATTCAATATCTGGCAAAGCTCAATGAGGGCTGGAGCGATATGTTGCTTGAACTGGTTTCCGTTGACTTCAGGGATGCGTTCCACATGTGTCCGTTGAGACCTGATGAGCGTCAGTTTGTAGTGGCCAAGGATTCTTATGGTTGGTATCATGTTAGCAAGGTTGTCCAGTTTGGGCTGTCACCTGGCCCGCTGCTGTGGGCAAGGCTTGCAAGTGCTGCCATGCGATTGGGGCAAGCCATTGTGAAACCTTGGGAAGCTGCCGTTTCAACATACGTGGACGATCCCCTCTTGACAGTCATGGGAGAATCGGCACGGGACCGTGCAGCCACGGTCTTGCTGTGTGTTGGACTGTGGCTGGCACTGGGGCTGCGTATCTCATGGAACAAAGCCGTGCGAGGACCTGTAGTTCAGTGGATAGGCTTCGAGCTGCAGCTGCACGGCAAGCAGAACTGCGACCTTACAGTTCGTTTGACTGACTCCAAGCGCAAGAAGCTGCTGGACACCTTGGAAGAAATAGGGAAACACAAGGGCGTGTTTCCTCTGAAGTTGCTACAGTATGCGGTTGGAGTTTTGGGCTGGGTCAGCTCTGTTGTGCCGTTGGCCAGACCTTGGCTGGCAATGTTGTGGGCAGCCATCACGCAACACAGAGCTCCATCAAAGAATACCACGTGTGAGAAAGGGCCTCATCTTCGTGAAGCAAGTTCAGCATGCAGTCCGATGGCTGACTGCCTTGGTCATGTCCTTGGATGGACAGGCCCCTGGTTTGCAAGTTACCTTTCGTAGCCAGCCAGCTTTGAGACATGTGCTGGTGCAAACAGATGCATGCCCTACAGGTATGGGCGGCTTCTTGGCTGACAACGATGCAAAATTGTTTGGTGCAGTGATTGGAGATCCCTCCTACCAGAGTGAGTGGGAGTTACTGGCAGTGTGGGTGTCACTGGAGGTTTTCTGCAAGTTTCTCCATCCAAATTTTGCTGGCTGTCAGGTGCTGTTAAGAACTGACAACACCTCTGTCATCCAAGCAGTCAAGTATTGCAAAGCTCGCTCTCCCATCATGTCTCAACTGGCGGCAGAGATTTCATTGCAATGTGCCATCCTGCAACTGATGCCCATCGAGGCGCAACATGTCCCAGGGTTGTTCAATGACATAGCAGACAGACTGAGCCGATTAGAAAGACAAGAAGATGTCCCGTTTCAGCTTCGTGACTGCACATGCTTGCCGGTGCCACAACGGTCGAAGACTTTGTTTCGAGCTTGGCCAGATTAGTGCAAGAAATTGTGGACACAGCAGCACAGCAAAGCAGTCTTGTTCTTTCATTGCTAAGCTGCTCAAACGTGCATCTTCTTGTGTCAGTTTAGTCTTCTGCAAGTTAACCGTGAAAGGTTAGTGCAATCCTCTCATTATCTCAGGAACAATCAGCCCAGACAATGCAGGCGGACCGCAACTCTGTTAAGGGGCAGGGAAATGGCGGCCCTTCAGGAAGTGGAGGGGCTATTTCTGCTGGCAGAGTGGTTGGCAGTGCTAGAATATGTCGCGCTCATTCCATCAAACCAGTTCATGTGTTGTTTTGCTATTTCACAAACTTGTTGTTGTCGCAAATCCAGTCATTGTCGGCCGTGGTTGGAAAGGCATAAAGGTGTCCAGGTCCAAATTTGCTTGCTTGATGATGTTCAGTTGAGTGTCACCAATTCAGTCGTTGTCGGCCGTGGTTGGAAAGGTATAAAGGTGTCCAGGTCCGAATCTGCTTGCTTGATGATGTCATAGTGGATCGGCGTTGTTGGTAAAGTTTTTGGTGTCTTGGTTTGATTTTCCGAAACACTGGTCGACCTTGGGTGTGCAGGCATAAAGGTGCTGCAGGTGTAAATTGCCCTTTTCAACTAGGTGGACCGGGGTTCTTGAATGGTTTGTTAGATCTGACAGTTCGATTGTTCGCAGCCGCATGGCTTGGGCATGCTCACAGAAAAGAACTAGAAAGCCGGTGGTCCCACTGATAAGGAGTGCGGATACTAGGGTTGTTCAATGTGAAATATTCCCTAAAGTTTTAGAGGCCCGGGCGAAACTGGGTTGGAATGATGCGAGCGGCTCTGTCGGTCAGTTTGCCGGTCCTGTGGTTCTTCAAAGCTTAGGAACGCATAGTGACAATGCTGAATCAGTGCCAGCTGACTATGAGCCTTCCGTTTGGTTGAACAAACTGTCCATGAGAACTGAGGCTGGAGAAGTGCTTAAGCGTAGACGGCTGAATGGACCGTGGTTTCCAGACAATGATAGTGCAGCTAGGACGAGAGGGTCTGCCGACTTAGCGTTGTCGGTTGCTTCTAATCCTGTCAGGGCCAAGAACGCCGTGAAGCAGTTTGAATCTCTTATGTTCAACTCGGGCACAGTGGCAACTAAGGACTCCTTGTTCACCTTGTGGTCAAAGTTGTGCCAGGCGTTAGGTTTCTGTCCATTACCTTTCTCGAGAGTCGATCATTGAGGTTGCGGCAGTGTTGCGTACCTCCGGATACAGATCGGTCATGTCGTATATATATGAAGCTCGTTCCAGACACATTAGAAATGGATACGCGTGGTCAGGGATGTTGGATTCTGCTCTGGCAGATTGCAAAAGGGCAGCTACTCGGGCCTTGGGGCCTACAACCAAAGCTTTGGAAATTAAGCTGGAATGGTGGGTGGACCTTGTCAAACAACATGGCTGGATCCCTTTCCCAAACGAAAGGTCTTCAGATGCGCCTTCTGGTGGGGTCCGTGCGTGGGTTTTGGCAACCCTGTTCTTGCTTGGGGAAACGGAACTGGCGGCGCTTACACTGGATACAGCGTGCATTCGTATTGACCATGTGGCTTTGACTGTGGGTTTGCATTTGTCTGTTCAAAAGAACGATCCTGCCGCAAAGGGCGCGTGGAGGTCTTTGGGGTGCACATGTGCTGTTGAGCCACTGGCCTGCCCTTTCCATGTACTTCAAGGTTTTATCAACGAGCAGCTGAAATCGCTGGGGCTTCAACGCTTGGATGAAGTACAGGCGGGGCACCTGTCCTTTAATTGGTCGTTGTGGTCAGCCAGCCTTATTTGTGGAAAAGGCTGCGGTAATCACTGAACTGCAAAGATGTGTTGGAGTGCTGGTGCAAGCTTTCCCAGACCTAGAGTTGGACCAAGAAAGGGTTACTGGCCATACATTCAGGCGCTCAGGTGCCAAGCAATTGGCTCGCAAAGGCCTTGCTTTCTCTGATATACAGTGGATGGCAGGTCACAGTTCAAGCACCACTTGGAGCTATGTTGAGGAGGCGTGGGAGGAAGCACCTCGGCAGTCATTGCGGTTGCATGATGCTAGTCATGTCTCTGAACTGTTGACTGGGCTTGCTTCTCGTTTGAATCAGGTTGGGTCTGGCATAAAGGTTTGTGAAGAAAATTGTTCGTCATGGAAGCCTTTTGCCTCGCCTGATGTTGCTTTTAAATTCGATTTAAGATCGAATGTCGTCGTGCCTTAATTCCATTGAAAGTTTGCAACTTGCGCTCATTAAAGTTGCATGACATATGCAGTGAGTCCTGTCTGGCCGGGGACCCAAGAAGCTGGACCACCAAGTGTGGCTGGAAGTGGATGCTGGCAACGGGATCTTGTAAAACTTATTTTGAGTCTGATGAAATTCCAGACACCTTTGCAATGCTGTGAGATATGTAACGACATTGGGTAAAATGATTGGTCGGATAAGTGGAAGGTTGCTGTGGGGCCAAACTGTATGGACAGAAGAATTCTGTTGCATTCAGGTTGGGCACCCACAGCAGCCTGGGGCATCGAGACCATGCATCCGACCCATCTTGGAGAAAACAGAGCGAGAACAGGCGGGTGGTAGGGAGGGCTGAGCATGACTGAGTCTTTGCAAAACTTAAGAATTAAGTTAGTAAAGACAAAAGGCATGCGAAGTGGTTCCTTGTCCTCCTTGCTGCTCATGTCAGGTATCTCACCAGAGAATCGCAGGAGGGCCGCAGGCAAGATGCAGTAGCTGAAATTGCCATGCTTGTGATCAAGTGTAGTATCTGCTCTCATTGCCGAACTGTTTGAACGTTTGTCTTGCGTTTGATCAAGTGCAGTATCTGATCTTATCCTGCCTTGCGTGATTTTGCCAATTTTGGTCTCAAGAATCATAACCCATCCAGACTCAACCCCACCCAGCCCTTTCATTCTCCCTTGGTTGAGCTGGATGGGAAGGTTGCTGTGGGGCCAACCTGTATGGACAGAAGAATTCTGTTGCATTCAGGTTGGGCACCCACAGCAGTCTGGGGCATCGAGACCATGCATCCGACCCATCTTGGAGAAAACAGAGCGAGAACAGGCGGGTGGTAGGGAGGGCTGAGCATGACTGAGTCTTTCCTCCCATATGATTTGCAAATATTGGCGATCTTTTATCTCTGGAACAGTATACCCTTTGGTGCTTTTTGGGGATTCTGATGTTCGAAGTGTTGGATTTCGTGCCACGTTCTAAGTGCCATTTCTTTTTTGGAAAAAAAACGTTCTAAGTGATTGTCCGTCGCTATAGAGATATTGTAGATATAGATACAGAGATAGATATAGATATAGATATAGACAAAGCTAAAGGTATACATTATTGTATATTATGTTGATTGTAGAGGGATTGCACACGCCAGGAGAAGTTGTGAGGGAAAGGAAGATACAAGTAGCACAGGCCTTTCGCTCAATGGAGACGATTTAAAAATCAAGAGGTCAGGTGGCCTGACAAAGGAAAGGGCTGAAAACAGCAACATCTCACAGCAAAACAGGGAGAAAGTGATGCCAACAACTTAACCTATGCACTTCTTTTCTTTTGGGGCGCTGCGCCCTCCAATGCTCCCCCTCCTGCTCCATTGTTGTGCTTGGCTAAGAAAGGGGCAACATTGGAATGCTGTGTACCTAGAGCCTTACACCAATAGCTTTAAGAAATGGTAAAGCCTTCACACAGCTCATTAAACGTTGAACCAATCAAACCTACAGAAACTCCAAGCACACTCAGAACCAACCCTGCATTACCACTAAGCCACCCTAACTAACCGTAAATAAAATTCAAACCAACTTTGAATAAAATCAACCTTAAATAGACTTTAAACCACACAGTAAATAAACATTGAACCAGCACCAAGTAAACACCAAACCAACCCTCATAAACCCTAGACCTGCAACACCAAATGAACACCAAACCAGCACCAAATCGACCCTAAATAATCCTTGAACCAACTTTACATATATACTAAGCCACCCCTAAATAAACCCTAAGCCAACCCTAAATGAACCCTAAACCAGTCCTAAATAAACCCTAAACTTGAAATAAATCTTAAACCAAACTCGAAAAAAGACCAGACCAATCCTGAATAGGCCCTGACCACCGCTAAATAATACCCAAACTTCAAACCGCTTCTAAACAAACCCTAACCAACCCTAGATAGACCATAAACCAACCTTAAATAAAACCTAAGCAACACCTAACAATTCCAAAACCCCAAATAACGCCTAAACCCCGAATGAAACTTCGGGCGAATGTCTGCTTTGAGGGATAATTGCAAAGGAGAAAACGTTGCAAATATTGCGCAAAAAGACATTCAATTGCCAGTATGCTGCAACTGTTGTGCTGGCAACGGGGAAATTGAGAAAACTGAAATAACAACAGAAACCGGTTTCATTTTTATCATGTAGCAAATACCATGCAAACAGCAAATTGATGCGCCAAAATGCTATACACACCATGCAGATAAGGGATTTCAGCTCAAATGATGCAGCTAACATTGCGCAAATGCTGGCTCGAAGATGTTGTGCATTTTACGCAAAGAAGATATCCAAGGTCCAGAATGTTCCAGATATTATGGGAATTGCAGACGTTCGCTCCAAAATACTGCAAATGCCACCTCAATAAGCGAGTTTAGCTTGAAATGTTGCAAATAGTACCTTGCAAAGTACAGATTCTAGCTGATTCTAGCTCAAGAATGCTGCAACACGCTGCAAACCAGAGATTCAAGGTCCAGAGTGCTGCAAATTCCTTCCAAAATAGTGATTTTAGCTCCAAGATGCCCACCTTGCAAAATGAAAGATCTTAGCTTTAAAATGAATAGCAAGGAAAACTGCCTCAGCACAAAAAGCAACAAAAAACACCGAAAAAAAACCGTAAGTCCTTGTCTTCGAAGCAGCTCCACATGCCATCCGTCATCAAGGCGCAGACGAAAAAATGAGCTGAGCAAATCCTATGTGCATATCTTTGACACATACGTGTACATTTAGGCTAAACTTACATTTGCATCGGGAATTACATATGGTTTTAGAATGTTTTAGATTTACACGTACATATCAATACGATTCAATACGTACTTACATATATCTTGCCAAGCTGAACACTGCAGGATGTGCTTGAAGATGCCTTTATGCCTGCGCTCTTTAAAGCTCCCCGGCGACGTGAAGGATGGACAGATCGGACCAAAGCAGGGTTCAGTAGAGGCCTAAATCATTGTGAAACCTTGTGGTTCAAAATACTGTAGGTCATTTACAGATGCATTTGCGACTTGCTATTGGACTGTAGATTGTTACAGCGGAAGCTGGTTTCTTGTGTTTGATCATCTTCATGTGAATCTCAACCAGTCCACTTGTCCAGTGAGGGAGTGCGTGATGGGTATTGATTGTTTCAAAGACACAGCCCCAGATCTCAGATATGTTTTGATTTCATGCCGCCTCCTCTGTCCGCAGAAGAAACCACCATAGCGAGGCGCTCAACTACTGAAAACAGTAGGTGAAACATGAGGAAAACCATCACTATCCTTACCAGCAGCAACAAAAACAGGATAATGGTCATGACACGTTATGACAAAAAAAACAAATACCTGCCAGCAAAAGCTAGGCAAAAACAATGAAGAGCCTGAGGGTGAAGCAGAAGGCAACATAACAAGTGACATGACAAGAACCTGGAGGACATTTAGAACAGAAAAAACCTGATGAAGAACACCAGTGTCTTGAGCATCGTAGAGCATCAATTCCTGAGGTATCATGATCATCGCAACACATATTGAGGTGATGCGCGCCATCTTGTCGCAGCAAACGGCCAGCTGGAAAGAGATCCGTTCCTGCGTCATGGCAGTCTCACAGGCGCCACTTTTTGGGGCGGACTGGGCCGCAGGGTAGTTCAAGAGCACAAAACGTCTAAACGGCGCATAGGATGGGGCAGAGGGAAGAACAGAACCGCGTATTAGGATGATTGCATTTTTTGCTTTCAGTGCTTCCTGTGGGCTTAAAAGCAACAGGGTGACCAGAAAGCAAGCGGATAGAGGCAGATTGTGTAAGCAAATATGGACATAGGCCGAAACTTGCGCACTTTCCGACGCAGTCCTTCCCCATTCAGACTCTTCAGACTCACCCCAGGGATCTGCAATCCTGGAAGGTAGTGGAGTATGTGGAAGAGGAAGCATGGATCGATCAGTTCCTTGGATTCCATGGTGACACATTTGGACATTGGGAGATGAGGCACAGCAGTCTGATATGGCAACAGCCTGTGGCATACTGTTGCCATGGCCACTGTCTCCTCAGTCATTTCCCACATCGCACTTGGAATCTGAAAAGCAGGACACTCATAGTTTTGGTAGCATTGGCAATGTTGATACCCTTGGAATCATGAATTTCAATTCCGACAAGAAGTCTTTTGGGTCGCTGTGTGGAACCCACTTTTTTCTGCGGAACGTTGAGTCGAGGTGTTTGGATTTTATTGGACCTCACCTTACCAATGCACATCCACGGGCCCGTTATTCTGCGTTCCAAGCACTGGGACAAACGGCTTATGATCACGATCCCTACGTGGCAGAGATGCTTGGATTGATATAATCTGTGGATGTAGACTTGGGGAATTGCCTCCACAAACGACATCACAAGATCACACATTTTATTTGGATTGGAACTGGCTTCCATGTCCACCAGGCCGAAGTACTTGCTACTTTCTCCAGAGTGCTCGCTATAGCCCAGCAAAGATTTTGTTTGCAAGATATATAGATATGCACCCCGTCAATGCAAAATGTGTTTTCTCAGGAACCATGCCACCACTTTGTTGCCAATGATAGTGTGCCTCAGATGCAATGTGAGTCAACTGCTGTTGGCAGTTAGGGCCAAAGCAAGACGTCCCTGGCCGACAGCCGAGAGGGTTCAGGAAATGCACCCATCAACGTTACAGCCTGCTAGATTTGACATGAAGATACTGCGATACTCTTTTTCTTTCGGACACGACTTGCCAAATGGTTGGATCCATCCATAGGCGCCAAAACAAGGTGTCCCACCGTAAAGTTGGTTTATGAACCCATCAAGATGCGCCAAGTATATCCACCATAAACCCCACTTTGGTGATGCCTAGCGTAGGTGGAAGAAATCTTCAAACCTATCCAATACAACCCCGTCACCCACACATTTCAATATTAATGTGAGCTCCATTGGACGAAATCACCACCCCCCCAAAGTCACGGAAAGATTGAGACTTGGGGGCGGATGAGGCGGGGGGTTCAACATAGAGTCTGTTGAGTCTGTTGCAGGGTTTGAATGTTTTGTTCATCTACAGTAGTTATGGTTTATAACTTTATAAATCTTTATAACTCATACAACCCGTATCAACTAGTTCGATCCATGGTATACTGACCACAAAGCCTAGATGTTGGAGTTATAAACCAACTTACATAGCTATCCGAAACCACCTATACATCCTCATTTTTTTGTTGCTTATTACAATACATGCTTATACGACCATTTTATATAATGATTAAACTGATTAAACATCTAAATCAAACCAGTAACTTAGAAAACTTCTTCCTGGAAGTTTCATCACCTGGTGAGTCATGCAGCCTTCTTTCAGGACTGGTTTAGATGACAGTAACATCCGAGTGGCCACCAATGCAGCTAGCGCTTTGGCCAGCATGGAGGCACGTGCCTCGTGGGGGTAAATTGGCCACCAATGGCATTGGCACGGTCTTGGGCGAAATGCTGATGAACTCATTGGTTTTTGATAATTTTAAACATTACCCTCTGGTGAACTAACATAGCTATGGAAAATGGTGATTTATAGTGGATTTTCCCATTAAAAATTGTGATTTTCCATAGCTATGTTAAATTACCAGAGGGTATATATATATATATTTGAGATATGCTTGCTGGATCTGGATGGGTTCATAAACATTCACAAACCAACTTGACACTGGCAAAGACCACTTGAACTCACTGATGTACAGCCTGGAGGACATGGATCCTGATGATCTTGAGCCACATATGGAGGGCTTGCCACTGGGCTTACAGTTACTGGAATCGCTGTTGCAGAGCATCGGTTCTGGGGATGGGTCAAAACCTAAAAAATGTGGTTTTCCCAGCATAATAAACCATCACCATGCATGGGCGCTATCAAAAGCATCCCCACATGGTATATAATTATATAGGTTTATGAGGTTTTCCCACATTACTCAGCCATATTTTGGAGGATGAAGATCCAGAACAGCCATGACTGTCATGTCCAGCCACTCAGGATGACTAGGCTCGTCACGAGGCTTCAAAAAGGAGACACTCGGACGATGCAGGAAACGTGTCTCTCTGTGACTTGGCTAATTCTTTAGCGAACAGAAACGAATCGTCGTTGTATGGTCTGGGTTTTGCCTGGTGACTCCTGAAAATGTAATATGTATATTAATTAAAAACAACATATAGTATGTATACATCAAACAAATTTATTGTGTGCTGTTTCACAGCGGGATTGCCAAGGCAATCGCTGTGGTGGGAGAAGCTGCTGCAGAGCTCTTTGAGCCGTACTACGATCACATTTTGTTGCTGGGACCCATTTTTTTTAAGCAGAAGTATATACTTGGAGCTGAAAGTCATCACCGATGACCCACCATTGTTGGTTCTATCACATCATATTCCCATGAAATCCCATTCCATCACCATTCAGATCCCATGAAAAGCAGACTTTTTCAAGGCCCTTCACCATTTTCACCTGTGTCCCTTGGTGGCTTTTAAAAGGCCCATGCTGAAGCAACTCATTGCCACCCCGGGTGACCAGCAGCGAAGTCTACGAGGGAAAGCCTTTGAGTGTGCCGCCCTTGGGGCCCTTGGTCGCTGCCTATGGAGATGACTTGGAATTGGCATCCCACTGGACTCAGAAAATTGGTCGTTTTCAGTATGAGAACATCAAAGAATTCATAAGAATTCTATCAAGCATACCAACATGTTGATCATGTTGATCCTTGCTGCAATGCCAGTTCACTGAAATTCACTGGTATAGTTTTACTTGGCTATTTAATTATGTATTTGATACAAATGAATAAATCCAATGGTTACATATATACCCAGACATGGTCTGTTCAAACCACTCACCAGAAGCTGGCGCAAAAAATCGGCTCCAGAGCCGTCCCTGGTCAGGTGCCAGCTTGCTCGGAGAGGGCGTCGGCAAGGAACGACCAAACAGACGTGGATCACTATCATTTGACGTGGATCACTATCATTTGGTTGATCAATAAACATTGGTAGTACCAAATGATAGTGATTATTCAATAATAAACATTTGATCACTATCATTTGGTTGATCAATACCAGTAGTACCGCACAAGGGGCGGAAGTTTCAAAAATGGCAAACCACGGATCCACGGATGGCAGAGATCATCCACGGCCTCAGACATTCCTGGCCCTGGTGCAGGAAATCTTTGCCAAGGATGCGCATGAGATCATGCAGATCATGGTGCAACACTTCAAAGCTGGATTCGCTGCAGATGATCAGACACGAGAGTACATCCATGAGGCGAAACAAACCTGGGGGATCAGTTGCGGATCAACATTTCCCTGACTTTTTCTAACTGGGATCTAACTGGGTATCAGTTACTGATCAGTTGTGGATGATTTTTCTACCCTCTGGTAAACTAACATAGCTATTGAAAATGGTCATTTATAGTGGATTTTCCCATTAAAAATGGTGATTTTCCATAGCTATGTTAAATTACCAGAGGGTATATTTTTCTGACGTAAGAAACTTGGGATGCCGATGCTCCTGAATGCCGATGGATGGCGAGTGGTTGGCTGGTGGTGGCTGGTAGCTGGCCATGGCCATTGCGAGGCAGCTGGACGAGTGGCGACAGTGTTAGGCAAAGACTTCAAGCCCTACATGTGTCTTGTCGTCGTGTGGATTTGTCCAAAAACGGTGTACAACTATGTATAGCCCCCTAATTCGACATTTCATGAAGATATATGGGGATATACCCTCTGGTTATTTAACATAGCCATGGAACATCACCATTTTTAATAGGTGAACCATCTATAAATAGGGCATCTATACCATGGCTATGTTAGTCATAACCAGATGGGATTTATGATTTTGGCATTGGATTTGGGGGTCCCCCATTTTCAGATAAACCCATTGAAACAGGGCAAGCAGATTGCAGCTGTTTCTGACTGTGGCTGACGCCGTGATTTTGAGCACGAAACCCCTGACATTGCATCGTCAGATAAGCATGTTGTGACCATTCCTACTATATATAATTAAATAAATAAATAAATAAATTAATATATATATATATATATAACTAGCATGATATCCATTGGACAAGGTTAACCGTTGGTGATCATTGGTGGCATTTGAGCTATGACATGCGACCATTCATACATCGATGGCACCGCCCAGGTCGTCCTTGTTGCCGAGTCTCTTCACAGTTCTCAACCAGACGCCTCAAGAGGTCGCTTTAGAGGAGAGCGAAGTCCGAAGGAACTGGGGAACTGGAGCAGAGTAATGACATACATGACATACTGTAGATAGATCCAGATAGATTCAATGGCGGTGAAGAGAAACACATTTGATTCACTTGATGAATGGTTCCCCTCTCATTCTTGCCCTCTCAGAAGGCGCTACAATAAAGAAGTACTTGCTATTCCAGACAGACCAGCCCTACAAGGTGGTGCCTCCTCCAGTTACTGCAGAAGGGTTTATAAACAATAGTAACTACAGATATATCATGATATCATGATATCATGATATCTATATTCTATATTCTATATTCTACTGTATATCTATATATCCCTATCTCAGCTCTATCTCTATCTCTATCTCTATCTCTATCTCTATCTCTATCTCTATCTCTATCTATCTATAATCATTGATATATCTAATATCTACCATAAACCCTGGTTTAGCGAAGAAAAACCGTTCGAGGACGACGACGATGAGATCACCCATGCCTTGGTCGATGGGAAGCTGGGGTCCCTGGGGAAGGATGGCCTGGGGATGGGTTTATAGAAAATCCTTCGAAATTAGGAGTGACACATCCATGGAAAATCCTGGTCCTAAAAAATAGGAGTGAAACATCCATGAAAGATCCTCAAGATTAGAAGTGAGACATCCATGATAGATTCACAAATTTGGAGTGAAGCATCCATGATAGAATCATAAATCTAGGATTGAACCATCCATGATAATTTCATAAATTCAACTTCAGGAGTGAACTTGATTTCTCAGCTGCAAGGCTGCTGGGCTTGAAGACGGTTGTCTTGGATGAGATGACGGAGACCCTCACCTTGATTGGATCATTGGTTGAGGCCCGGGCCGGAGATCTCCAGTGGGTCTCACAATGTTCGAAAAACTTGATGTCCTTGCTACGAAATGTTTTGCGTGCATTCAGTGCAGAAAGAACCAACTACTTTCAAAGTCCAGTCTATTTCATTCTTATGTCGCCTTTTTTCCCCACAATGTGGGTTTGTCTGAAAATAGGTCGGCCCAAAATTCCAGTGTATTATCATCATTTTCCCCTTTTAAACATGCAATTTGGGGGTATCCACCATTGTGGATAGTATCCCTGGTGATCAGTACCACAACTCCTTGCCTTCCAGAGGCTCTGGAAGACGATTTCGTGGACTTTTTGCCCGAAACCTGTCGGCAGTTGTTCGGTCCTTGGTTCTTGAGGGTGTTTGGGGCTGGAGATGGCTGGGGATTTAGCGCCAATTGCGAAGAACCATTGATCAACGGATAGCCAACAAGATCTGGGGGCATATATATATATATATATAGATAATCTGATATAATGCAAACTAAAATCAATAATTATGATATGTGGGTTTCAAGCTGGCGCAGATGATTTTCTCCTTGCAAGCCTTTCTGTCACAGATGAATTTCCTTGAAATTCCTTTGAATTTCTGCTGCGACTGCTTTTATGACACCATACAAGGCCAGTCTGAGGCATGTGATATAACTCTTTGCACAGAACGACTTGTTGGCACAACGGTACACAGGCAGTGTAGCTGAGCCTATATATATATATATATGGGGGTTTCCATAAATGGAGGTACCCCAAAATGGATGATTTAGAACGGAACATCCTATAAAAATGGATGATTTAGGGGTACCCGGGGTACCCCTATTTTAGGAAACCCGCATATATAATCATATATTTATATATATGAAATATAGGTCTTGCCACCACGAGGATTTTAGTTGGCACCTTTTATATCATTGTATTCCCAAACGAAGTCACGAAGTGGCCTTGCTCTGGCATGGTGAGATTCCAATGCTGATAGGATGCCGCTCCTTGATTTCGCCGTCTCAGATGAAGTGCAGGCTGGGCTGGCAGGGCTGCATGGCTTCGAACATCGGAACTCTGGAATCATACTTGTGAAGATGGGGAGGGGGGGGAAATGGTATTTCCACGAATGGAACATACTCCAATTTATGATCATTAAAAAATGATAAAGCATGGGAACATTTGGATTTTGTATGATTTTGTCCTCAATTTTCGGACAAACATAGACAAACCCAGACTGGATGATAATTATATAAGGGAAAAGAAAAACGTAGGAACCCTGCATTTTTTGTGTTGAAAGCCAAGGTTTCCTGTAACACAATACTTCCAACCAACCGAAAGATTGCCTTTGCCGTCAGGACAAAGCATACTCCACCTGGGAACACGTCCAGAGCCTAGCAGTCCTAGCAGCGCAGGAGGCATTGGTTGCATTTCATTTTAAACATGGGTATGGGTCAATACCTATAGATACATTTTTAGTGGGATGAACATCCATAAATCCCAGCTATTTTGGGGTTCACTAGGTACCAGGGTTTTGACCCATCCCCACATTGTCATTCAACCATCCCACATAGGGGTCACATGGGGGCCGTTCCGAGGTCGTCACTTGCGCCCGCGCTGCCGTAGATCATGGTCGTTGCGACAAATCCTTGGTGTGATTCCCCAGATGGAAGACATGGCATCAAAGTGCTCCCATAATGTCTTCATCCTCATCTAGCACATGTGCCTGAAGTGTGTATTTCACGTCAGACCTTCCGGAGTATGTTTTCATGATTTTAAATCGAAGTCTCCTGAAAAGTGCATTTGTTCCTCTTTGATACATTTTGATACTGTGATTGTTCAATCCTGTCGGCAGTGGTGATGTTCTTTTGGTAATATGGTTTGCCAGCAAAGTGCCCACTGATTCACTGACGTTCACTGAGATGTTGAGGTGGGGCAAGTCACCGGCGAGTTGCTGAAGAAGACAGCTGTGGCCTAAGGGGACCATAGGGGACGGCTGGGCACTGGGATAGCTATGGATAGCTGCTAATAGCTCAATGCAAATGGTGTCAAGTAATCCCATCCCGTAATTTTGTCAAAACACCCCCTCAGTCCCCTACATCCACCATGGTTTCTGGGGGGTGCTGATCCATACGAACGGGGGAAGGGATTTTTGGGCTGCAGGTGGCGATGATGACTAAGCTTCCACACGATTCTGCGGACGCCGCAGCGCTGACACAGCTGCAGGTTGGCTCTGCTTTTGGGGATTTGACAGACATCTTAATGGAGAAAATGATGACAACATGATGATAGATCATGGGATTGGGGATAAACATGGATAAAGCGATTCTCAAACGATGCCCCCTTTTGATCCCTTTTGCAATGTCACACTCTTGTTGCACCGTTGTAGCAGTTCAATTAGACGTACCGTCTCCTTACTGACAGACTTCACTGTCCAGCGTCCAGGGGCATGCCACTGCCACAGCTGCCATACTGAAAAAGGCCCAAGTCTGAGTGCGACACTGGAGATATAGGCACCCCATGGAAAAATGCTGACCAAGACGTGTTCATTACCATGATGAAATATGATAAAACCACCAAGTATTACAATAGCAACAGCAAGAATGACAATAGCAGCAATAGAACGATAATGGTAATAGCGGTAATACGGATCAACAGCACAAGAAACGCAAAACAATATCAAGACACATAGCATACATCTCGATGGTCCTCGATGATCACCGCCGTGATTCTTTTGCAGCCCATCCTGAGGCTGGTCCAAAGGTCTTGGCCAACCAGGACGTGTCAGATCTGGTGAAGGTGCCATGGAGTTTGGTCGATTTGGAACTTTTTGCTATGCAGATATATGGGGAGCCATTTATTTAGGGAATTAGTTTTTGTTAGTTTAGGACTAGGATAATTTTCTGGATTCCTCCCTCCTCTCTACTGTCCTGCTTTTCTGCTTCTTTGCTTCTCTCTGCTTCTCTGCTTTTCTGTTTTTTTAAAGCTTCTCTGCTTTTTTGCTTTTCTGCTTCCGCGCTTCTCTCTTTTTTTTGCTTCTCTGCTTTATTGCTTTCCTGCTTTGTAGCTTTTCTTTTTTTGCCTCTCTGCTTTTCTGTTTTCTTTTTTGCTTTGTTTTCTTTTCAGTTTTTTTTGCTTCTACGCTTCTCCGTCCGTTTTTTTGCTTGTCTGTTTTCCTGTTTTTTTGCTCTCTGCTTTGTTGTTTCTTTGTTTTTATTTGCTTCTCTGCTAAGCTTCTCTATTTTCCTCTCTGTTTTTTTGTTTCTATGTTTTTTCTTTGTCTGCTTTGTATTGTTTTTTGCTTTTCTGCTTTCGCTGCTTTTGGCCTTATGAGATTCGGATTTCATCATCATCACCATCCAAGCCCTTCAGGTTTTGGTGGAGCTGGTCTCCCGTGTGAAACTGGAGCCGGATATTCCCGTAGAGCTGGCGCCCAAAAAGAGCAGTGGTGCGGCAAAGGACAAGGCGCGGTGGTAGGGGGAACTTCTATGAAGTGCTGCAATAACTACTATACATGATGATATCTAATGATATTTCATAATATCTATATAATAATATTTGGTGATATCCAGTAATATAGAATAATCACCTAATCACATATTATATTTAGAATGCAATAGCCACTGTTTAATAGCTCATATCCAATGTCTGGTGTCAAACATCTAATATACAATCTCTATATCCACATCTATCCCTATATGCACTCGTATATACCGTATATATGTATACCGTATACATAAATACACAGCAATGAACTTACAACATAATCTAGATGGAGCACACCTGTCAGGATGACAGCGACTCGAGTGATAGTGAATCAGACGAGGGCCATCAGCTTAGTTGAGTTGCAGATAAGAAGCTGACTGCTGAGTGACTATGGCTGATCGTTGAGTGCCCTTTCGCATTCTTTGTTTCATATCTTTTGAAATATTACATCGTTGGAGTGTCAAATCGCTAGTGAAGAACCACTTCTGCATCTTTCAAACATGGGTAATTACTTCAAAATTCACTGGCTAATTCTCATTCTTTGACTGGAACTGCCGTTTTGTGGGGCCTACCCAATTTTCAGCCCATCCACACAAAATAAAATCCTCATTTACATGTGATTTTCCATTGACTCCTTATAATATCCCCAACAATTCCACAAGTTTTTATTGGTTGCAACATCCTCATTATATCCCGATTGCATCCCAATTATATCAATTATATCCATAGTTGGTTGAGTAAAATATCCCATAACCCATTCTACGGACCATGATTTTCCCCAAAGTATCTCCGTAAAAATGGCTTGCTTCATCTTGGCCTTGCTGAGAGGGTGTGCAAACCTTCATGACCGATAGGGGACGACCCTATATCAATACCCCTGTTTTGCTCGGGAGTCGCCTCAAAGTCTGTGAGCGGAGAAATCCAAACTCTACCGATAGCGGACGACCCTTTTTTTGCGCATGGTATCAAAATGGACACATTTTAAGTCCGCCAAAAAAATCTCCACAATATCTCCCAGGCCCAACACATCTCCGTTGCAGGGAAATCCCCGAAGTAAACGGAGGTGTCTAGCAACACCATCGGCTACTAAGCCCCTGTTATATTATATCTATATATATATATAATCCTTTAATATATTGGGGATTGTCACAATGCATGAACCTGTGAATCCTAGTCTAACTAGATCAAATGCTCTCCATTTATATTCTATAGACCATGATCAACCATCTTATCAGCATATAAACCAAGAAAAATATCCTCCAATAAGCATATAGAATATCCAAGGTCTAACCTATGATATTACCAGCCAGGATATATTGACATATATAAATACCATAGTAACTATAAACATATCAACCTATTACACCCAATAACATTTCACCAGCCCCAGCAGTAGTTGTTTCCCAGAGATTTCCCGACAGATTTTCGGTGCCAATCCCATCATATTCTCCACCAATCATCCCATGAAAATCCTAGTATCATCATTAATGATATGTGAATTATGGTATAATTATGTGATATGGATCCACTGATCATCCACTAACAATCCACTAATCATCCAACTATCCATATGTTTGATGACACCGGAGGGTTTGAAAACCGAGGCGGTGTCACTCCGCAGTCCGTGCGGTACAGCCTGGTGGACGTGGTGGCCTCGCTGATGAAAGTCAGCCGCGAGGAGTTCGTCCAGGCGGAAACCGGGCCACTTGTGGGACGGCCAGGGTGGATTTTCCGTTGAAATGGGGATTTCACCTGGAAATATGGGGTTTTAGCTATGAAAAATAGTGAATAACTGATCAAGAATGGTTGATGGGATTGAATGATGGGATTTTAATGGGATTCGACCATCAATTACTAGGAGTTTTGGGTGGTTGTGACTGTGGAAAATATGGGGATATGATTTGAAATGATGGATGATGGGTTGCTACAGGGGGTTAGTAAGCCAACTGGTTTATGATAACGGTTTATGGGGGATTATTGTAACACATAATAATAGGGATACCTGTTTACCACTCAGTATAATGGGATGGGATAGGATAGGGGTATTTCATGGCTCAGATGGAGATGGGTCAAAAAAAGAAGTTTCAAAACCAGAGATGTTGGGTCATTTTTGGGATTCAGCAACTCCAATTTATATGGGGCAAGTAGTTAATTTTGACCCACACCATAATTGCTCCCTGAAGGTGGGCCTGACGATGCACATGGAGCCCGTGCTCTCAGAGGGGGTCGCTTCTATGGTTCCATGCCAAACTGAGTATCTGCCCGGAGAACTCCATGATTCTTGAACTTGATGCACCATCAGAGAGGAGCTATGGTGATCAGTAGCTGCGCCCATGTAGGATGGCCCCCAGCGGTCGAAGCCTAGCCAAAGGCTTCTGAAGCATTTGCTGAACAATGGCAACGAATGTGACAGAAGTCAGAAACTCGACCAGACTTTGACGGATTTTCGGATCTGATCGTTGCTGGGAATGGATGCTGGAAAAAACATCTATGAACATCTCGTCCAAGATTGATATATATATATATTTATATTATATGCCTCAGCTCGAAATACACATCAGATATGACTTGGGGGTAACCTGTAAAATGCATGCTGAAGCAACGCCCAGGTTTGGCTCTATACATGGCTAGCGATGTGGTGGAACATCTGGGGGAGTCACAAACTCAGGTCCAAGACTTTACAGATGGCAACACTATGGTATATTTGATCTGGGTAAATTATAACGACCTCACTGCGACCTCACTGGAATCATGGTTAGTAAGAGGAATCATCCCAAAATGGCCTTATTTCAGGTTAGTGAAATATTGTAATTTACCCAGATTTGATCAATTTTGATCATATTTGATCATTGTTTTCCGTTCTCCGTGCTCTCCTCTCATTCTCTCATGTGCAAAACATGTGCTTCATGTTTGACCATGACTGACCATGACTGACCATAACTGACCTATCCGCCTATCGGATATCTTGTCACACTGCACTGACGAGGTTGAGCGTGCCATACTGGAACTCCTTCATGGAGATTGCCTGCCTCCTTCTTGGAGATCTGTTGAATCAGCAAGCTCCGGTGTCATCAAAAATGGCTGGCTGGGAAATCCCTGAACTAAATGGAGGTTCTAGCTGGGAACATCATCTATACTGTACTTGTAAATGGTGGATTATGGTGGATTTTCCAGGATTTTCCACGTTTGATTACTGGAAGGCTACATGACAGTACTGAGTAGTACCGAGTCCCGCGAGAGCGTGGCAGCCCCTCCGGAACCTCAGGTGGCTGCATCACAGACAAATCGCCTGTGATTCGACAGTCGGAGCCACAGCGAGAGCCAACAAAAATGTGCCCAAAATGTGCCCAAAATGCCCTGGAGAAATGGCCGGAAAGGCCAGGTCCCAATATGTGTTTAATAATCATTAATAATGTTTAATAATCATTAATAATCATTAATAATCATTAATAATCATTAATAATCATTAATAATGTTTAATAATCATTAATAATGTCTAATAATCATTAATAATCATTAATAATGTTTAATAATAATCATTAATAATCATTAATAATCATTAATAATCATTAACAATGTTTAATAATGTTTAATAATCATTAATAATGTTTAATAATCATTAATAATCATTAATAATGTTTAATAATAATCATTAATAATCATTAATAATCATTAATAATGTTTAATAATCATTAATAATGTTTAATAATCATTAATAATGGTTAATAATCATTAATAATCATTAATAATGTTTAATAATAATCATTAATAATCATTAATAATCATTAATAATCATTAATAATGTTTAATAATCATTAATAATCATTAATAATCATTAATAATGTTTAATAATCATTAATAATGTTTAATAATCATTAATAATCATTAATAATGTTTAATAATCATTAATAATGTTTAATAATGTTTAATAATCATTAATAATGTTTAATAATCATTAATAATCATTAATAATCATTAATAATAATTTTAATAATCATTAATAATGTTTAATAATGTTTAATAATCATTAATAATGTTTAATAATCATTAATAATCATTAATAATCATTAATAATCATTAATAATGTTTAATAATCATTAATAATCATTAATAATGTTTAATAATCATTAATAATCATTAATAATGTTTAATAATCATTAATAATCATTAATAATCATTAATAATCATTAATAATCATTAATAATCATTAATAATGTTTAATAATCATTAATAATGTTTAATAATCATTAATAATGTTTAATAATCATTAATAATCATTAATAATGTTTAATAATCATTAATAATCATTAATAATGTTTAATAATCATTAATAATCATTAATAATGTTTAATAATCATTAATAATCATTAATAATCATTAATAATCATTAATAATCATTAATAATCATTAATAATCATTAATAATCATTAATAATCATTAATAATGTTTAATAATCATTAATAATCATTAATAATCATTAATAATCATTAATAATCATTAATAATCATTAATAATCATTAATAATGTTTAATAATCATTAATAATCATTAATAATCATTAATAATCATTAATAATGTTTAATAATCATTAATAATCATTAATAATCATTAATAATCATTAATAATCATTAATAATCATTAATAATCATTAATAATCATTAATAATCATTAATAATCATTAATAATCATTAATAATCATTAATAATCATTAATAATCATTAATAATGTTTAATAATCATTAATAATCATTAATAATCATTAATAATCATTAATAATGTTTAATAATCATTAATAATCATTAATAATCATTTGTTTCACAAACTGTTTGGAATTGGCGAAACATCACTGGTTTCGGCCAATTTTTTCCGGCATCGACTTTCCGAGGCATGCAGCGAGTGTGGTGGGCCATGGCGCCAAAGTGGCCATCTTCGCAGGGATCCCAACGGGAGATTTTCACCTGGAGGGGGTAGCCCAACAGCTGGATGGTTTTTTTCAGGGAACCTCCTCCAATCATCCCATGAAAATCCTAGTATCATCATTAATGATATGTGAATAATGTGAATTTTGTGATATGGATCCACTAATCATCCACTAACAATCCACTAATCATCCACTAATCATCCAACTATCCATACCCTCTGGTAATGACTAACATAGCTATGGAAAGATCCACCATTTTGTAGCTGGGAAAATCCACTATTTCGACTGGGCCATTTTCAATAGCTATTTTGACATAACCAGAGGGTAAGATGGATGATAACTTGGAGGTAGCCCTATGCTATAGGAAACCAACCCGCATGATCCATTTTTTAAATGTGGATTATGATGAAAAATCAGTTGGTCCAATGAAAATCGATCCATTGGACCAGAGGCCCAGATTGCACCCGTTGCTGCCCAACAAGTGGCGCGTGTGCTGCAGAAGCACGGCGAAAGGTTGGGGGGCCCAGGTTTGGATGTCATCAGAGAGGTATCCCGGCATCCCCCTGGTTAGAAGAACCACCTGGCTGGCGGGAAGTGTCTTGAGGTATCTTGTGACTTTCACATTCACAATTTTACATGTACTATAGAACTGTGGAACTACAACTGCAAGTATGTATGTACATAACATATATGATCATATATGTATACTGTATACAGTATTATGCAGTAGATAGACATATACCGGTTGGTGGTTTGGAACATTTTTTATTTTCCCCGATAGTTGGGATGATGATCCAATCTGATCATAAAATTGGCCAGGGCATGCTCAGTGCGATACTGCGAACTGGGATAAATTCAGGACCCTGCCTTGATGGCAAGTGGCACCTGACATGAACGGACCCTTCACTGGGCACCAAAAACCAGGGGATATAGCGATGTAATGTGATTAATATGATAGTTAGCCCAGGTTTGCTAAAATAAATCATTTTAGATTATCATAGATTATGATATATTATAATAGAGTATAATTCATATATTACCATAAATTGTACTATAGATTATAATGACACACATTATTACAATGGACACAGTCTACCTATTACAGATGATCAATCCTTCACTTCCGCATGCTTTGAGGCATCGAAGACGCAGAGCACTCAATGCCGAGGCCCGGTGTCCAACAGATCAACACACGAGAAATGGGGTTGTTGATCATCAAGTCTTGGGAGTGATTGGGTTCTCTCGGAAGAAATGATGTAATCGGGATTTCCCACTGTTTTTAAAAGGTGAAGCTCCAAGAAATCCCAGTTTCTCATCTTTTTCTCATCATCTTCATCCTTTTTCATTGCAAAATGGCCATACCCTGGGGGCCCGGACCCAATCTGGAAAGGGGAATCTAGATGGGTTTTGTCCGCGACTGGAATGTACACACCCTAGTCATAGTCGGTTATATAGTCATCATATTCCCCATGAAATGGCCGTAAGTTGGGGTATGCTGAGATGTTTCAGGAGTTATTTAGGGTCAGTTGCTAAAGCTCAAACTTATGAAATCAAGCGCGGCTTTATATGCAGAAAGCCAATCCACTCACATGACACATTCCTAGCCCGCTTAGTGACAAACGTCTTGCAGCCTGGGAGTGAATATCACCATCCTTTTCTCGGTTTTTCCACCAATTTTCCCAAGATATTTCCACTTCTTGTTCAACTTCTTCAACTGACCACCGGATACGGTAAGTGACATCAGCCCAGGCGAAGCAAGTCGCCATGGCTGTGGATAGCTCCATCTGGGCCTTGGGAATGATCTGCGAACATCAGGCGACCTCACTGCGACCGAGCCCTGGAAATCATGTTTTTTTATAGGGAAATCATCCCCAAATGGCCGAACTATTCAGGTTAGTGACATATTATAATTTACCTAGATTTAATGGCTGTTTCACATTATGAAACTGGCATCATACCTGGATGATACGGTGATATAATGTGATAATATCATATAATATCTATAAAGTTAAAAATCATGATGTTTCATGCGAATTCACCGTCCCCCCAAAGTTGAATCTTAGGTGACGCCCCCCAAAATCGAGGGTTATTATGTACAGCAAGCATAAAAAAAATGGTTGAATCTCTATGAAGGTTTGGCCAGCTAGTGCTTTACTGTCATTTCTATTCATAAAATTCTGAACTAGCCAGCTCAACATCAAGTTCTGGATGCAAGGTATCTAAGATTGGGCAAGACCATGAAAGCTCGAGATGGCTGGCTCTACCCACGAGAATCACCAGTTGCTGGGAACAAGCCAGCTACAAAAATGCTAACTCGCCAGCTATTAAGTGTGCACGCACCCATTGCCTCATAAATGTTGTAAATGTATTTGACATGTCTATACAGTGTACATGAATTATCGCAATTAAATATGAATGTGCATGTCTATATATAGAGAGGTGTGTATAATATGTATTTTATATACGTATGTATATATGTTGTTATCGGCTTACAAGCGTTAACATATCTGAGGCATATCTGGGTCCAAAAGCCTCCCCGCGTGGGTCCGCGCCAGTGTCCGCGTCAGTGCGTAGAGGGTGGCGCAACTCAGGGTTTTGTGCAGATGTAGTTCGTGTTGTGCAGAGGCATTGTTTTGATTCGTGTTGTGCAGATGAATACAACAATTCAACAATCTAGCATGCAGTCCCATGCAAGCACAGGCACACACAAGAAAAACACCTGCACCAACACACACAGCGGCCCACAGTGAGCATTGATGCCGCGGACCCACGCGGACCCACACGACCACCCGGACACAGACCCAGATCCCGCACTGACTCGGACACTGACGCGGACACTGACGCGGACCCACGCGGGAACCCGATCCTGCACTGATGCCGGCCCACGAGCCCGAACTCAGAACGCTTGCGGGGGGATACGTCAAGGCTTTTTGCGTTCTGCGTGGGTGTTCCGCATGTGTCCGCGAGGGTTGTGCCTCAGTGCGCGCGTCAGTGCGGGATTGGGGCCAGCGTGGGTCCGGGCGGGATTGGTTCATTGCGCGGTATTGATACGGGGTCAGTGCGAGGCACCGGCCCGCGGGTTGCCACCATTTGGGTGTCTGTGTGGGTTGCGGGCGGCCTGCGCACTATCTTAGCAAGTATTCGTATAGAGTTGTGGGCATCGGAAAGGCGTCTTTCTATATATCAGTGGCTGGGTGAAAGGAAGCACGATGTTCAGGCATTGTGTTTTTGAAATTTTTGTGGCATGCTCGGCCGCTAAGGGAAGGTCTTCGTTTTTTTATGGAACCCGCTTCTGGAAAGAAAACCCAAAGGAAAAAATACATACTGTAGCGATTTTTCCTTGCTCCCTCAGGGCAATGATGTGAGCTGCACCAGGCTGCTCCGGCAGTGAAACCATCCCTGATGGACACTTGGGGTTGGCAGTTGCATGATGGAGCTGCGGGAAAGAGCACTGTGATCAAAGGTTTGGTTCGGGTCCGTAAAGGCCCTGCCATTGGACATTTGCTTACTGGGAGCGGAAAGATTCATGTTGACTTGAGGTTTTTCCTGGACCCCCTCAAATGGGAGGATACCCCTTGGGACTCTAAACCTTTTTTGACTTGGGTTGAAAGAAAGTATGGGGAAAGTGATGTTGATTACGCTGCTAGAGCCGCTAGACTGGCGGTTACTCATGGTGTTGCGCATGGCTGGCGACAGCTGGGCCTGAGGAGCAAAAATGCTCCTGAGGATCAGCCAACAAACACACCCAAGGTGTGGACTCTGAAAAGCGTTCCTCGTTTTTGGGATGGAAACCAAGTCACTAGCTTTCTCACTGCTGCCAATTTTGATGATGTCGAATTATTGGCCAAGAAGTGGGCCAAATTCGGAACTGACTGGGTGTTTCGTGCCAAGCGAAATGGTGATGGTTCCTACCTTCAACTTCTTTATGAGGGTAGTGATTTTGAAACGGGTAAATTTGTTGTTGCCTCACGAAATGCTCCGGGTCGGGTAGGTGCAAAGCCAACCAATCTCAGTCAGGAGCGCAGGGTTTCCTTTTTGTCCAAAGATCCCCCCGTTGATTCCCCAATTGAGGTTGATGATGATGGCGATACTCAACGGGTTGCTCCTACCATTCCTGATGAAAGCACTCAGGACGGGGAAAATACTGAAATGGTTACTGATGAAAATGGTGATGCCAGGGAAAAAAGACCCACTAGCACCGGGGTTCGTGAAAGCCCAGCTAAGAAAAAGCTCAAGCCTCAGCCTTTGCCTAGCGGAGTCTCCAGGGTCCCTAACGCTGGCGCCGGCGACTGTCTGTTTCTTAGTGTCGGAAAAGCAATTGAACTGAGTGGAGGCAAAGCCCACCACCACAGGTCAGTGAGAGCGGCGGCAGTCAGTCATATGCAGCGTCATGCGGCTAAATATGCCCTTTTTTGGGATTCGAAAATGCCTGACAACACTGAAGCCCTTGTTCGTGGTACTGAAGGTTTCGGCACCTACTTGGATACTTTGGCCCGCCAAGGTCAATGGGGGGGTTTTTTGGAGGTGGCCGCTCTGGCGGCCACGCTGAACAGGCCTATTTTTATTCTCCACGAAATGGGACAAATATATTGTTTCAATCAAGAGGGCAGTGAACCGGATTTGTTTATTTGGTGCAGTAACTTGCAAGGGCATTATGAAGCTCTTGAAGTGACTACTGAAGCGGCCTTGGCTATGAAGACCAAAGCTCTTCCTGCGAAGACTTCGGGCGGTCGACAAGCGAACAGAGGGGGAGGGAAAAGCCCAAAGACTGGATCGAGCAAAGACCGATTTGCCACTGAATCTCAGTCGTTTTGTGCCAGTTCCATTGGGGGAAAAACTAGGTGCAGTTCTAAGTCTTCTCTTGGAGGCAAAACCAGAAAGTCCTTGTTTCAAAGTTCCGACAAAAGGCCTTCGGCGAAAGGTTTACATGTCACTGCTCAAGACTCCTCCAAGGTCTTGGCTTGCAGTGGTAGGAATACGAAGTCAGTTGTCAGCATTGGTAGGCAAACTGCTGTTTCGCGCAGGTCCAAAGCTCCGAGTGGAAAAAAAAAGATGCCTCGTGCTTGGCCACCCCGGTTCGTTCCAAAGTTGCTTCGGTTGGAGGGAAGACTGCTATGGTTAAAACTCCTCTGCAGACCATTAGCCCTGTGGGGCGGTTTGTGACCAAGAACTTTCTCAAGCGACCGGCGGCTGCTGACAGTGTTTCTTCCAAGCGTGGAGACAAAAAGCAGTTGGAAAAAGGTTTGCGGGCTCCGCTTCATTCGGAGGGCAAAGCCCAATCTTCGGTTGTTTCCAACGTTGGACAGCCCGCCCGTGTTTGGGAAATCGCTCAGATGCCGGAGGGGAAAGGCCTGGAAGGTCACAATGGCAATCCGACTTTGGTTGGTAAAAGAGCCCCCAAAACTGAATGGACTTGTTGCTTGTGTGGGTTGGTTCTTAAAGCTGAGACTGGCAAAAGTCCCCTCTGGCAGAGACGCTATGACCATGTTAAGCGTAGACACCCTCTCGAAAAGCTCAAGGTCAATCCTCTTCGTGAGTACGTCCAGCCTGTTGAGGCCTCGGAAATGATCCCTGAAAATCAAAGGAACTGGGTTTGTCCTTGGTGCCCTAAAGCCCTTCCCTTTTTGGACAAATGTACTCATGATGCTTCGGTCAAGATGCACTACAAGAAATGGCACCCTCGTAGGAAAGTCACTGCGGCTAGAATGAACTCCATTAGGTGGAAAATCGGTAAGACGGATCCCTCTAAAGTTGTTAACTACGTTCGAGCCAAAAAGACACTTGGAGACAAGTTGCGCCAAAGGGCGGCCGACAGGCGACAAGCGTCTGTTAATGGACACAACTTGGTTCAGGTGCATGTTGACTGGGCCACCTGGGAACGTTCCCCTCGATACAAGTATAGGACTGGGGATGTGATAATGGGTTGTACCAACTGTAGGTCCACTTGTCATGGTGACTACAGGTTCAAACAACGGAAGTGTGTTGGCGTTCGAACTCATGCGGTTCATGCTCAGCAGCTTAGCTGGGCTAGGATGTCCAACGAAAACAAAAAAGCTTATGCTGAGGCCTGGAACATCAGTGTGAAGGAAGCGGAACAATGGTACAGAGTCACCACCAAGGGAAAACAAAGTAAGCTTGCCAAGGGTTGGGTCAGGGATCTCACTGATGAAGGGGTCGAGCCTAACCCTGGCCCGACCCCACCCCAGAAACTTGAGATTTTTAGCTTAAATACTCAAGGGGCTAATGGATGCTGGAATTTGCTGTCTGAAATGCGTAAACCCAAACAGCCTCGTGTCGTCTGCTGCCAAGAGACGCGTATGAGGCCACATGAACTTGCGGCGTTCAAGCGAGCTGCTTTCCGTGCCGGGTTTCACCTCTTTCAAGTCGCTGGCCGGTCGGAGGGAGGAGTGCCTAGAGGTGGTGTTATGATCTTGGTTGATAAGAGGTTGGTTTGTCAGCTTGTTTTTGCTGAGACTTCTGAGAATTCTCAGCTGATTGGTGTTTGGGTCGAGCATGTTTTGCTTTGGGCTTTCTATAGCCCGCCTCCTGCCGGACATGTGGGCGCTGATCCTCAATATGAGATTTGCGACCTCTTTATTCAAGGTTTTCACACTGCAACACCAGGCCGTCAAACGGCCTGGGTTGCTGTTGGCGATGCCAACGAAGTTCCTGGAGATAGCCTCCTGGCTGATTGTTTGCAGTCGTATGGGGGTGATTTGTTGGCTCAGGGTACCAATACTCGTTGGAATTCTACCAGGGAGGTTGACTGGTTTGTTTCCAATAAACCGATGCTTTTAGACCAACCCACTTGTTCTGATTTATTTTTGTCGGACCACAAGTTGATTTCCACTGTTATGAATGTGCCTTTGAGGGAACTCACTGTTGGTCGGTTGCAAAAACGCCCGGATTGGGGGAAACCTAAGGCTGTTCCCACTGAAGACTGGCGGTTACTTTTGGAAAATTCTTGGGATGTGGTTGCTGTTGATTTGCCCCCTGACATTTTGTCCTTACCGGTGCAAGAAGCGTGGGATGCTTTCAATGTTGCTCTGAATAATATGTTCAGGTTGGCTTTTCAGCAGTTGGCAGCTACTGCCTCCGATGTGTCTCTCCGTGAACTGGCCCAAAGAGCTGCCTCCAATAAAGCGGTTATGGGTACGGTTGGGAAATGGACTTCCCATTCTCTCATTCAGAAGGGTCCCCCTGAAAATCCTGGTTTTTTCAAACTGCGAAAACAGAGACGTAGACTTGGCAGACTTCACGAGCTTCGCCGTCTCTCTCTCTTGCAAATTCGTGAGCCGGCACTCGATAGGCTTCAGGTCATCTGGAAACTCATTGATAAGATCAATCGTGGTGCTGATTTTGATTCTCTCTCCCCGGATGACCTGGGCAGACTCGTGGCGCGTTGTTCTTCACTCATCAACTCTGAGAAGGGTGGCTTGAAGGAGTATGAAATGCAAAGTCGTAGGGAATTCTTGAAGGATTGGAAAGATAGGCTCCTTAGCAACCCTAAGGCTCTTGGCCAATGGCTCAGAAACAGGAACATGTCTTCTGAACCTCTCGCGGTCACCCACAATGGTTGTGTTGCTAAAACGCCGTTTGAAATCGGTGAGTGTGTGGCCAATTTCTGGAAGCAGTTCTGGGAAATGGCTCGTGATGGAAGCCCTGGACCTGAGACCAGAGACGAAGTCTTGAGGCGTCATGCCGTTACGGCCCAGGTGACCTGGAGAGACCCCACTTTGGGGGAGGTTCTGTATACTGCTCGGCTCCAAAGCGGAAGCGGGGGCCCCGATGGTTGGACCGGTGATCAGGTTCGTCACTTACCTACTAGATGTTTGGAGCTGTTTCGTTCTCTTGCTTTAACGTGGGGCCCCCGAAACCAGATTCCTCGTCAATTTCTCGAAAGTCGGTGTGTCCAGATCCCGAAAGGTTCTAAGGTCATGGGAGGTTGTATTAGTGCTCGGGACCTTCGGCCCATCACTATCCAAAGCTGTTTTTGGCGTCTTTGGGCGTCGGTCCTTTTGAGATCTGCGCCAATGAAACAATGGATTGCTCAGGCCATGCCGGCTGAAGTGATCTCTGGGTGCGGGCCAAAGGCTGAAGCACAAATCGCGGCTGCTTCCGTCCTCCATGGAGTCAGTGTCGATGGTTATGGTTGTACTCTTGATTTTACCAAGTGTTATGATTCTTTGGATCCGCGGGGTACTGTTAGTCTGTTGCAAGCTGCTGGCCTGCCTGACTCCTGGGTCAACACCCTCAGTATGGTTTGGACTCAACAGTCCAGGTGGATCCTGTGGGGTGGATGTGTCATGCCTGACAAGCTTCAAGCCACTGAAGCTACTCCCCAAGGGGATCCGTGGGGGCCTCTTGCCCTCCAACTCTGGATGGCCGCTGGCAATGGCTTCGTGCATGAGAATCTCACTCCTGATTTACGGAATGGCATTACCCGTATTTTCATGGATGATAGATCCTTCAGTGCGAAAACTCCGGAAGGTCTGTTGGAAAAACGGAGGTTGTGGGGCGATTGGAGTCATCAGGTTGGCCTGTTGGAGCATCCGGACAAAACTCAGTTTGTTGGTTCTTCTCAGCGTCATTCCAATGACCTTCGCGATGCCGGAGTGGATGCCGCCCTGGTCACTGACCAATGGGAAATCCTTGGGGTGACTGCTGCTCTCACCCGTCGTAGGGAATCTGCCAAAGAGCAAAGTAGGTTGGATGCTGCTGTCCGTACTATCCATCTTCTTTCCACCCTCCGGCTTGGTTACCTTAGGTTTCACGACACTGCTCGTGCCTATGGCATTAGTCAGTGTGTCTATGGATGGATCAGCAGAGTTCCTACTCAGCGTAGTGCGGATCGGGTCTGGGCGGCCCTGCGTAGAGGCCAGAGATCCTTGTACAGAGCTTCGAAGTATCTGCGTAGTATCTTGGTTGGGGGTTTGACTCATGTTGATTGTTTGGTTGGAGTTAATCTGGTTAGGGTTGTTCATTACTTGAAACACCACTTCCAGTTGGATTGGGATGCTAAACGTGGCAGTCCTTTGGATGCCTTTAAACAGTGGATGGATGATAAGGGCTGGCAAGTTCAACAGCCCTGGGTTTGGGCTATCCAAGGTTCTTTTTGTAAAATTGACCTTAGGCTGCCGGATGTGGACTGGGTTTCGGAGTTGCAACATAGACTTCGGGATGGATGGAGGTGGTTCATGTTTGTTAAATTTCTTGACCAGGACAGACATGACAATCTGGACTTTGATTATACCATTCAGGATTTCTTACAATTCGATTTTAAAGGTATGAGAAAGTTGTTGGATGTCAACTCTTCCTTTCGTACGGTGCTTCTTGGTGCGGCGTGCAGCCCTGCATGCTTTCAGAACGGAGGTCCTTTTGATACCTCTTGTATCTGGAACTGTGGTGGTCTTGGGAACTGGGACCATATATGCTGGGAATGTGAACTTAGACCCAGCAACCTGGTGGCGAATGACCCCATCCTTAAACGTTTCGGATGGTGGAAAATGGGGTGTTCTTCTGAACATGCCGTTTGGATGGGAAAAGTGGTTCAGACCATTTGGTCCCTTAGGTACCCCAAAGGGGATGGATGATCTGGTTTGAGACTGCTGGTGGGTCGTGTCTCCCTGTTGGGCTAAGGTTGCTTCTTGAAACCTACTTAGGTACCCGTCTCATTTTCTTAGGGTGGTGTCGCAGCGCTCCGGCGCTGCCTCCCTGTGCTGTTCTTGCGCTGCTGCCGGCGCGTTCTTCGACCAGTACAGGCAAAACCACCACCCACAGGGCAATGATGTGACAGGGGCATTTTGCCAGCCCTTTTGTAGGAAGGAAACGTGCCAAGGATTTGACACAGGCAGGTGCCAGGCACTTTTGCCAGGCGAAAATGCCACGCAAACGGGCCTAGTGTTAACGCTTGCAGGCTCATATCAATATATCAATATATCAATACATCAATATATATATGTGTGTGTGTTACACGTATTTAGTATAGATGACACATGTGTGTATATATATACGCATATATATAATTATATATATATATATACACGCATATATATATAATTATATATATACGCATATATATATAATTATATATATATATGTACACACACATCTTATTCAATGTATATATGTACGTATCTATACATACTGTACACACCCACACACACACATATATATATAGGTATAATTCTGTCAAACACATTGCACATATTGTACATATACAGTACACAATTAAAACAGGCGCGTCTTTTCTTGGGGGGGTGGGCTACCATATATATATATGCATACACAGTGTACATATACGTATAGATAGATAGATAGATAGATCGATCGATCGATCGATCGATCGTGTGTATATATATATATAATTAATTATATATATATATATATACATGTTTAGCCCTGTGAGCTGGCTCCAGCTCCCGTCTCCAGGAAACCAACGTGGGCGGTGACTCCTCGGTCGCGTGGAAGATGTGGCTGTCGCTGGCACCTGGCTGTTCCCAAGGGCCCCAAGGGCTGGGAGACGGTGTGATTTTGGGTGATTTTTGAAAACAGGATATCTCGAAAAGTGGTGAATCACCATTGATTTTTGAGGATTGTTACTATGTTGTATAATGTATATGTATATATATATATGATATTATATATATATGATATTGTATATTATATAAATACATTTGTATATGTATATGTATCTAAGAATATGATCTAATGTATTGTGTCTATGTTTGTGCAACCATTTGTTACTGATTTGTTATTGTGGTCAAGTGTCATGAGCCACGATGATCATCCCATCAGGTCTCACATGCCACCTCGATGTGATCGTGAAGTAGGTGTCAAGGTGCGCGTCACGGAACTTGGTGACCTGTCGTATCGTCAGAGATCTCAGGACTGTTTGTCTCCAAAAATGGGCTAGCCATTTATAGTTGATTTCCCAGCTAGAACCTCCATTTACTTCTGGGATTTCCTCCCGTCATGTTTGATGACACCGGAGGGTACCGCCTGGCAGGCATGCTCACAACTCCTTGGGCTGATGGCAAAGAACCACCCGGCCAGCGGGGGCTTTCTGACCTTGGTGAGAGCTGTGGTGCAGAGATAGATCACATATTATTGTCACATGATACATTATGACAATACGCCATACATCTATTAAATCTACTATGCACACACTATTTCAGATCAGTGTGGATCCAGACTATTTTCACTTAGAGTTTCTGCAATTGTTGGGTGGTCAGATCCGACAGGTTGTAACTGCGACAGAGCAGCAACCGCGAGTCACAGCGCTCAGGATGTGCCATTGGCCAAAGCGCGGTGAGTCTTTCAAACTCTTTTGCGTTTCCGGCTATCAACATGGGGGCTTCTTAGAATGGGGGATCCGCAAGTCACCATGGGTTTCAATACTAAAATGGTCTAATGATAATGACATATAATCACTGGATGATCTGGGGGTACGCATGGGTACCCACATTTTAGGAACCTCCAAATGAGCTACCCTTCGGATCGTCCCGATCTATGGAGGGCAGAGTATATTGGAAGTCTTCTGGAAGTCCCACGCAGGTCCCATCCCATCAAATGATTCAATGAATCAATAAACCGCAAGGTCTTGGCCATCCTTACTGAAGCCTACAAGCCCGCTCCTGAGTGATGAAGGTGTTGCTTCCAGAATCTTCCAGATGTTTCCAGTAGCCCCGGGAGATGGATGAAATTGGAGCTTAGATGTCATAGAAATTGACTCTACAGTAAGATCTGGAAGCAAATGCAAGCACCAGAGTGGCAGGGTGATATTATAGTTATTATAACTCGCTCCAGTCTCTTTGCCGACAGTGTTTTTTTGGGGTGTTCGAATGCCAGGTGTCTTGACCTAATGTGCGGTGCTTCAAGCCAGCTCAGGTCGAGAAATTCCAACACATCTCTAGATAAGGAGGGGAACGCCATCCGAGCAAAATCCACTGGCTTGGATCTGTTCAGATGGACACATATTTTCCCGACCAAAATTGCGATTTGGAAGGTATACCCTATTTTCAGACAAACGCACACACACACATACGCATATCATGAATAGAAGGTGCATAGAATCTGCATTTGATATGCAATGGAATCACCTAAACGGGGCAACTTTTGGAACTTTGGCTGGCTTGCACTCGGGCTTCTTCAACGGGCGGGCTTGACTGTATCAAAGCTAATATCGTTGGTGGCAAGATTGGCAGGATAGACTATTCAGATCTATTCAGACGGTTTCAGATTTGGTTCCAGCACCCTGGCTTTTGGTCCATCATGTTCCAACGGCATTGCAGAAGCCTCAAAGGAGATTGCTGCATCAATTGCACGTGCCGGAGCCGCGTCGGGGACCCTGATGGCAGCGGCATGAGGTGAGAGAGAATTCCTTGAAGAAATGGCAACTGTAGCAGCATTCAGGTCCGCCCCAGGCTATGAGTCACAAATGGAGTGCAGAGTGGTAGGGCCTGGTAGGGTTTCAACCAAGGAAGACATACCAAGGGGCAGAGCCTTTCAACATCTTTCAACTCGACGTGGATTCGGAAATGTTCATCTCGCCAGTTTCATGCCACTTTATAGACTGTTCCAAAACTTGGAGGATTAGATGCCATTTGGCTGCATCTACCCAAAAAAGTCTGAAATGGACAGATATAAGATGTGCACCAAAATGTGGCTGTTGGTCACCAAGTAATTGTGAAATATACCTATCTTGATATGTGTAATGGATGGGTGGATGGCTATGTGGTTAGGATGGGAGAGTGACTGCATGAGCTTTTTGAAGTCTTTTTCAAGTTCTCTGCTTTTCATCCTATTAGCAATATTTTATACCCCCATGACTGAATATATATATATATATGTATATATGTATTTTATTATATATATATATTGCAATATATGATACACATGTAAGTATATTACGAAATCTTATGTTGTATACCTTGTACATTATATGTACCATATATATATAATTATATATATATATTGCATGTCTTGAATGTATCATTTGTATCACATACACAAGAAAACATTCGCCGTGCTCTTCGAGAGGTCGGTCAAGAACCTTGCTACGCAGCTGGCGGACAGGCGAGAGCCCGAAAAACACCGCGACGAAGCGTGACGACGAACCGGGGTTCAAACATGGGTTTTAACCATGAACAATAGGGATTTAACCAATAATAATGGGATACCCTCTGGTAATTTAACATAGCTATGGAAAATCACCATTTTTATCCACTATAAATGGCCATTTTCAATAGCTATGTTAGTTTACCAGAGGGTAATCATTGAGGTATCATGGGACTTGATATGACTTGATATGATTGTTGGGTGTGAACCTGAACCTGAACCTGGGAGATTTTTCATTGCTTGGCCATATTTTCGTGGGAAAACGATGATTAAGAACCGCATTAGAGGTATGTACCCAATTTCAGCCACGCTAATATTTCTTCCATCCCTACAATGGGATGATGACTCCTATTGACTTGGAGATTTGAATTGGGCCTTCCAATTCCATCTGCCACAAATGGATCAAATGGGCACTTGATGAATCAACCAGGCTTCACTGCCTTGTTAAAAATGAGCACCAAGAAGTCTGGGGAGGTCTGGGAGATTTTCCCTCATCTTGGCATTGGCTCGAGAGCAAACAAGATTCCGTGCCCCTGCACGATTGGCGTGCTGACAACATGCAATGAACGAATACGAGTTGTCAGGAGAAACATGTTATCTTACAAGATAACTCAACAGGGGCGCACAAGGTCAGAGAAGTATCCAAACCTCTTGTTTGCACTGCATGAATTCATATGAACATGTACATTTTCCAGCTATCGCTTTAAGTAGTTCATGGCATCCTTTTCATTCTCGTGCACTTCTTTTCAGCACAAAGACCTACCAGCATGAAGCTTCCAACATATATTTGCTGAGAGTTTCTCAAGGCAGACAATTGCCAGCGCGATGTCTGCGTGGGGAAACTACACTCCTGGTGCTGCCAGCAGTTATGGTGACAAAGGAAAAGGCAAAGGAAAGAACATTTGGACGCTTCCTCTGCTTCCTCTTGCCAGAACATGTTTTGAATTTGTTTCTTTTTTCATTTTTTTCCCTGAAAGATGAAAAACACTTGGCAAACCCTCCACTGACTCGCTATGATGTGCTGCTGGGTAGATTTTTCTTGGTGAAGAAGACAAGACCTGCGAATTTCGGACCCCTGTGCCGGCGTACTAATTAGCTAGATATACAGCACTTTTCCAAGACCTGTTCTGAGTTGGTTCGTTCTCAGCCTGTAGGTCTGTCTTACAATGTAGGAGCCCCACAAATTTTTCTGTTTACACTTATTTTATCTTATTTTCCTATATTTTCACCATTTTTCACCACTAAAATCAGCAATTCTTGTGTCTTAACTCCCCAAATTTCAGACTCGTGTTGAACAGTTCCAAGGAGAGGAGAAAGGCTGCCTGACATCACCTATGCTGGTGAGACGTTGTCCTCCTGCCGAAAGGACATCTACAACAAACACCCAACCGTTCGAGGCAGCATGGAATCACCATGGTCAAGTTAGCCCCAACTTTCTTTGATATTTTCGGTTTTTAAGATGATCCCAGTATCTGAAAATTCAAATCCACATGTAGGCATAAAATCATATAAAATCCCCATAGCAATCCCGAAATGTGTTTTAAGGTGTTTTTTAAAATCATCAGAATTTCACCAACATCCAAAACCATCCCAACACACATCCAAATTTGCCAAATTTACCAAGTAGCTGTGCAGGCTGGGATGCTCAAACAGTCCATCTCATTCGGTTGGCCAACAACATTGAAATCCTCGAGGAAGATCGTCCTGTGGACGTCTTGGCACCGGTGAACACCTTAGACGTGTCGAGTTTGCCAGAAGAATCCATCAAGTCATTGAGAAGAGACATGAAGATTGAAACGCCCTCGCCCATTCAGATGCAGGCAGGGGCCCCATCTTGGCGATCGGCAATGGATAAACGATGATCAACGGAGTTTTTTTGGGTTCTGAATCCAAGCCAAAGCATTGATGTAACAGGCTGTGTAATGTGTAATCTCTGTTTGTGATGGGCTGGAGATGGCTGGAGTAGGCTTTCCACATTGAGGCTTCATGCTGCTACGACCCGACTGTGACTTAATTGGGATTCATTCCCAGACTTGGTAAACTCGGAGCAGAGTTTTTATGTGACTCAAGTGGAAATCCCATGGGAAATCCTTCATGTTCATTCCTAAAAGTATTTGGACATAGGATGACATAGGTGATACTGGGGTTTATATTAGGGTTTATGTTCATGCATGTTCATGCATTGTTTGCTGGTAGCCGATGACATCCCCTTTTTTTGTGGGGATAGGCAGTTCAAACCTATGAGACCAATTGATATTCATATTTGGTGGGGGTGAACATTCATTGACCCCTTGGTAATTTAACATAAATGTGGAAGCCATGGGCCAGCCATTGGCAGCTTGGCAGCCATAGTTCGATGATCTATATTTGTAATGGCGATGTTCCATAGCAAACTGCTGGATCACCAGAGGGTACCAACCTTTTTGATATGCACCAAAACACTTCGCTTTTGACATATCCGTTTTGTATGCCATGGTCACCTGGATTTGGTGGATTGGAAAAACCTATTGTATCCTATTGTTGGATTGTCATCAATCCATTTTCATTGGATTTATCATGATTTCACCTTATTTATATACCCCTTGTAAGGCTTGACATGTAACGTCATGTAGCTTGACCATGGCCCAACGTCATGTAGGTGTGGCCTGCTGCCATGAGTGGCCGCGACCTCATTGGAGTGGCTCCCACAGGCAGTGGCAAGACATTGGCCTATCTGGTGCCAATGTTCGAGCACTGCAAGGTGGGGCTGGGGGATGGGCAACATCTTCGGCGAGTCATGGCCACATCACCTGCATGGTCAAAGGTCCCTGTTGAGGATCGATAGGGACACCGTGGGCGAAAGCGTTTTTTTTAGCCTGTAAAAAACGCCTCAGGCGCAGGTGGGAGCGATGAGAAACGATGAAGACTGCGGACCACAGGCCCTCATTTTGGTACCGAATGCGGATTTGGCACGGCAGATCAAACGCACCTTTGAGAACACCTGGACCTTTGGCGGCAGAATAACCTGCGTAGGTGCTCGCGTAGTATAGGACCCAAGCACCCAAAAAACACTGCTCAAGTGGTTCAGGTTTGAACAATTAGCTGATACTCGGAGTTGTGTTGTCGGATTTGATCTAGCTCAGAATGATGTTGATGTTCAGTCATGTGCAGGATTTCGCGCTGCTCCTACAGGTCCTATCAACGTTGAAACGGAATAGCAGTCCAACAATACTCTTTAGGATTTTGCGAAGAAAGATAACATGGAATGTGGGGGTCAAAGCGTCAAAACTTGCGATGAACCTAGCAAAAGACACAATGCAAAGAAAGATCTTCATTTGATGGGTTTGCGTGCAGACATGGTCAAATTGGAGATGCTCAATTGAACTCATGACCTTCTACATCCTTCTACTGATTCACTAGTTGACAGTCTGACACTGGGCTACAATGATCCCTATTAAAACATATTAAAAATTATATAAATACACTTGGTGTCAATTGGTATAGCAGCAGCCAGCTGGGATTTTGGGCGGACCAGGAGAGCAAATCAGCTCCTGAAGATGGAGCTGATTATCCCAGGCGAAAAGCGCGAAAACTACCGGCCCTGCGAAATCCTGGTAGCCTCTCCAGGGAGATTGTTGGACTTCCTAAGGCACAATGAAAAGACAAAGTCCGGTTTCCTGCGAAATTTTTTCAGACGCACCACTTTCGTTGTTGTAGATGAAGCAGACTCTCTGATGGTCAAGGAGAGGGACAGGGACGGTGAGCAACACACTTTTGAGATTTTGAAATCTTTGAGGAGCGACATACAGATGTTGTATCGTGGCTCAATCACCGAATCGATGGTTTACCACCTTTTGTCATTTTTCATTATCTTTTCATGACCAGGGTGTGTCCCAATTTTTTTTTGGTTAAATCATGTTAAATCACACTATTTCATCGTCAACTGCCAATTTTTGATGGTAACCATGGCAATTTTTGCGGTGCGCCGAGGTATTTCACAGCCACCTGGGACGATCAGTTGCCCATGGAGATCAACAAGATCTTCCCGAGGAATGGCGAGCGGCCCATGCCGAGGGTTTCGTGGCGCAGGAGGTTCTCATTCCAGGAGAGATCAGAGGGTTATCCGGGTATCCCAACAACTATAGATGGTTAATGATGCTTAGATCCCCCATGTATAGCTCACTATAAAGTGGACATCCTTTGCGCTTATAAAGTGGGTTTCCGGTCGCCACTTTATATACCGACAATGGGGGATAAAGCCGTGTTTTGCGCGAGAAACATGCCCTTGGACCTGGAAGATGACTTTATAGCAACGTTGGCTTTCCAGTTTATACCCGGCTGGTTCCCCACAAGGAAACGACTCAATATATGCGGCAATGCATTTTATAGACCGTTGGTTCCCTTCAAAGAATGGCCATAATATGTCACACCATCCACTTTATAGAAACATGTCTCCCCAATGATTTCGGGCCAATATCTTTCTGTTGGGGCTGTATACATGGCAAAGCACTTTATAGAGTGAAACTTGCCCTTTAAGAAGAAGAATTTGTGCTGCATCCAGGGCACTTTATAGAAAGAAAATTGCGGCAGAGCATTTTATAGAGTCATGAGATACATCACCCAAATCACTTTATAGAGCTGCCCAGGACCCCATTCACCCTGAGGACCCCTTTCAAGGGAAATCTTCTTCTCTATAAAGTGGCCAGTCCAGGTAAAACCCCTGAAAAAACAGAATCTATGTTGGACTGGCCACTTTATACCCCCTCCCCAAACAGAGAATGCCTCTATAAAGTGGCCAGTCCAGGTAAAACCCTGAAAAAACAGAATCTATGTTGGACTGGCCACTTTATACCCCCTCCCCCAACAGAGAATGCCTCTATAAAGTGGCCAGTCCAGGTAAAACCCCTGAAAAAACAGAATCTATGTTGGACTGGCCACTTTATACCCCCTCCCCCAACAGAGAATGCCTCTATAAAGTGGCCAGTCCAGGTAAAACCCCTGAAAAAACACATTTTTACCTGGAATGGCCACTTTATACCCCTCCCCCAACAGAGAATGCCTCTATAAAGTGGCCAGTCCAGGTAAAACCCCTGAAAAAACAGAATCTATGTTGGACTGGCCACTTTATACCCCCTCCCCCAACAGAGAATGCCTCTATAAAGTGGCCAGTCCAGGTAAAACCCCTGAAAAAACACATTTTTACCTGGAATGGCCACTTTATACCCCAGCCAGTGGGCTCCAGGACTTTGACCCGGAAACGGAAGGGCTGACAACAAGGTAAAGGGGGAAAACTACAACGGAGAGGTACAACGGGAAGGCTACCACAAGAAAATGAGACATGTCACGTTTATATACGTTTATTGTTTTCAATGTGTCATATAGATTGGCGATGATTGGTATATTGAATATGTTGTAGATGTATTTGGAACATATGTATACCTATGATTCACACATCAATTTAAATATATATAAATCATAAACACATGCCAAGCCAAAAACTTTTAGCTGAGTATTGTATTCCCAATCTGTTGGCAAATGTCCAGCCGATTCACCATGCGTGACCCAACAAGATTCAAACTATGGATTGTTTACTTTTGAAAAAAAAATACTGGGTGAATCTACGTATATCTATGACGACAATCTCCCAAAATCATCCTAAAAATCTATGGACATCTATGGACCAAAACCACGGCCACATGCCCATCCTCTATAAAATGGTTTGCAAGAAAGTTCAGCTCTATAAAGTGGTTTGATCACGTCATTTCTGGCAGCCCCACCCTCTGTATAAACTGGCCGGTCCATGCCCATCCTCTATAAAATTGTTTGCAAGAACCAGTATTTTTTTTCGAAATTAAACAATCCATAGTTTGAATCTTGTTGGGTCACGCATGGTGAATCGGCTGGACATTTGCCAACAGATTGGGAATACAATACTCAGCTAAAAGTTTTTGGTTTGGCATGTGTTTATGATTTATATATATATTTATATTGATGTGTGAATCATAGGTATACATATGTTCCAAAATACATCTACAACATATTCAATATACCAATCATCGCCAATCTATATGACACATTGAAAACAATAAACGTATATAAACGTGACATGTCTCATTTTCTTGTGGTAGCCTTCCCGTTGTACCTCTCCGTTGTAGTTTTCCCCCTTTACCTTGTTGTCAGCCCTTCCGTTTCCGGGTCAAAGTCCTGGAGCCCACTGGCTGGGGTATAAAGTGGCCATTCCAGGTAAAAATGTGTTTTTTCAGGGGTTTTACCTGGACTGGCCACTTTATAGAGGCATTCTCTGTTGGGGGAGGGGGTATAAAGTGGCCATTCCAGGTAAAAATGTGTTTTTTCAGGGGTTTTACCTGGACTGGCCACTTTATAGAGGCATTCTCTGTTGGGGGAGGGGGTATAAAGTGGCCAGTCCAACATAGATTCTGTTTTTTCAGGGGTTTTACCTGGACTGGCCACTTTATAGAGGCATTCTCTGTTGGGGGAGGGGGTATAAAGTGGCCAGTCCAACATAGATTCTGTTTTTTCAGGGGTTTTACCTGGACTGGCCACTTTATAGAGGCATTCTCTGTTGGGGGAGGGGGTATAAAGTGGCCAGTCCAACATAGATTCTGTTTTTTCAGGGGTTTTACTTGGACTGGCCACTTTATAGAGGCATTCTCTGTTGGGGGAGGGGGTATAAAGTGGCCAGTCCAACATAGATTCTGTTTTTTCAGGGGTTTTACCTGGACTGGCCACTTTATAGAGGCATTCTCTGTTGGGGGAGGGGGTATAAAGTGGCCAGTCCAACATAGATTCTGTTTTTTCAGGGGTTTTACCTGGACTGGCCACTTTATAGAGAAGAAGATTTCCCTTGAAAAATTCCTCAGGGTGAATAGGGTCCTGGGCGCGCCGAAAGGTGTCAAAATTGGAGCCATTTTGGCGCGCGCGCGCGCGGCGCGACCAGGACCCCTTTCACCCCAAGGACCCCTTTCAAAGGAAAGTGTGTTAGAGGCATTCTCTGTTGGGGGAGGGTATAAAGTGGCCAGTCCAACATAGATTTGGTTTTACCATAGATTCTGTTAACGAGTTCGATATAGATATTTGTCTGGCTGTCGGTTTCGTTCGGTTTCGAAGTCATTCGAAGTCTTTTGGGTTCCCCATCGATGAGATCGATGATATTCCCCCAAGGTTTGAACGTGGCCCCTCAACTTTATAGACAATCATGTCGATGCTGCCATCGTCGCGATTAAGAAAATCATCGCTACTACAACGATCGTTGTTTAGCCGGAAATCCACATTATAGTGCCACTGTTCTGCACAAGTATTACTATCTGGATGTTCGGCATCTCACTTTATAGTCATGGGACATGTTCACAAGTACCCTCAAAAACCTGCATCGAGTTTTATGTTTTTACGCGGCCAGGCGACTTTATACAAACGTTGGATTTTGACTTTGTAGACAAAACATGTTGGCTTTCCACTTTATAGACTCCAGACATGTGGCCATTCCAGTTTATACCAGGCTATTCTCTATAAAGTCGGCCGCAAAGCATCTAGCGGGCTATACATGGGGGATATGCTTAGTAAATACATATATATATATATATGTAAAAGGTAATTATGTAAATATCTTCTTTATGATCTTTATAAACTTTGATAGTTGATCCCCCAGTTTGCATAGTTAATCCAGTCATCAGGGCACTGGTAGCCAATTAACTAGGGGAATAGTTTTTTCCATCAAAAATCAAGATGAACATGAATCATGATATTAATGGATCAATTTCATTCCCCTTTCACATTCAACACCACTATGGTTAATGCTCTCTAATATGTGTAAATTCCCTCCTCAACCATGGTTTCTGCGGGTTAATGTTAGGAGGGGACGGGATTTCTAGAAGCCAGTCCATGAAATTGATCCCCAGAACCTTGCTTTTGAAGAAACAAGCTAGCATCAAACTAGGAGGGACGAATAGCACCTTGTCAATCTTTGCTCCCGTTTTGGGAGCCCCTGAAATTCTCCATGGTCTTGTCCAAGCACAGGATACCCTGTTCCATTTCATGGATTGGAAAGTCCCTTTCATCACGAGTCAATGGCCATAAACATCCATAAACTTAGATATCCCTCAGTCTTGTACAAACGCATATGCACAATGGACAAGACTTAGCAAATTGCAATAAATCCGAGTCATAATGAATCCAAATTTGAATTAAGATCACTCTTGTTGGGTTCCCCTTATGGCGCTTTGCCCAGGCACATATTAATCTGCAACAGTTTTTCAAGTGAATCCCACACCAGAGTTCCCGCCGTTTTGGGGATGCCCGTATCAACCATCATTTGTGGTGAAGTCGTTGTGCACTAATTCCAGAAAGGATTGCAGGTCTTATAATTTACCGAAATATCTGGATAAATCACAGTCATTCAGTCACTACCTTGCTGGAATTTAACATGGCTATGGAAAATTGCGCATTTATAGATGGTTTACCGAGTTAAGATGCTGATTTCCCATGGCTATGTTAGTTTATTGGAGGGTAACCATAAGGCCATGAATCGGGATTGGAGCGAGCATGGGTCAAAATTGCAAGCCCAGCCGGGCCAGTTTTTGTCAGGTCATTTCAGCACTTAACCATCTCCTTTTTTGGACCCCATCTTACCCATGTCTACAGCATATTATGATTTGCTGATAATCTGCTGATATGGTTCATATTGGTGGTTTGGAACATTTCTTTTTTTCCATATATTGGGAATAATCATCCCAACTGACTTTCATATTTTTCTGAAGGGTAGGTATACCACCAACCAGTGGTTGTTTTGTGTTGTCTTTATGTGTTCATGATTTCGTTTGAGATATCCCGAAGCATCGTTAGGCGGGCGGGATAGGTCAGATAGGTCACAAAATTCCGTGGACCTTGATCATCCGATGGGCGCATCCGGACGTCCGAGGAACCGCTACTCAGTGTGATCGTCAATGGAAAGACGCTGTCTGCTTGCAAGAATGTCCAGCAGATCTTCCTTCGACGGAACGGACCAGATCTGGACAGAGATCCAAGAAGCATGTTTCTCAACAAATTCTGGAAGCAAGAGACTTGACGTGAAATCTGACTGTCGCCATACTATAGACCGCAGACCATCTTTGGGGAGGAACATCCAATTCCCAATGCCCACCTTTGACGTGGAGGCTTTCGGACTCTACCTTAGCTTGAACGCCGCCATATACGGAATGAGATATGGGCGATATGATGGGATATGAGGTAAGAGAATCATATTGAATTTACTGTACTCCTCATCCACTTGTCTTGTTGATTCCAGCATTCTTCAGGGTGTTTGCCACGACTAGAGCTTGCTGACTTGCCATTTTTGAGGACAGCGGAAAGAATGACGCCCTTCACAACTTGCTTTACTGGGCGATTCAAGACGGTCAAAAGCGAAACGATGTCGGCAACTCCAAGATCTTAGTCTTCACGAATGCCAAGCCTCTTGGATGAGCCCAGTGTTGGGACGACGTGGGATTTTGGGCGCGCAAAAAATGGAGACAAATTACTTTACTTCGTGTGATCCCCACCATGACATTTATACATTTTCTTACTGGCAAATCTTCTGGCATTCTATCTGACATATCTTCTGGCATTCTATCTGGCATTCTATCTGGCATTCTATCTGGCATATCTTCTGGCATTCTATCTGACATATCTTCTGGCATTCTATCTGGCATTCTATCTGGCATATCTTCTGGCATATATTCTGACATATCTTCTGGCATTCTATCTGGCATTCTATCTGGCATATCTTCTGGCATTCTATCTGGCATATCTTCTGGCATTCTATCTGGCATATCTTCCGGCATATCTTCTGGCATTCTATCTTTGTCCCATATCTTCCTACATGAGGTCCGGCAGGGAACACTTGGCGTGGATACTCGCGGTTGAGGTCCGGCAGGGAACACTGGGCGTGGATGGTCGTGGTTGAGGTCCGGCAGGGAACACTGGGCGTGGATACTCGCGGTTGAGGTCCGGCAGGGAACACTGGGCGTGGATGGTCGTGGTTGAGGTCCGGCAGGGAACACTGGGCGGGGATACTCGCGGTTGAGGTCCGGCAGGGAACACTGGGCGGGGATGGTCGTGGTTGAGGTCCGGCAGGGCACACTGAGCGTGGAGGGTCGCGGTTGAGCAGGAGGAGGAGGACGAGGCAGGAGGAGGCGGAGGAGGAGGAGGAGGAGCAGGAGCAGGAGGAGCAGGAGGAGGAGGAGGACGAGGAGGCAACTGACATAAAATCTAACAACCCTCACCTGGCAGGTGGGGAACAAATGCACGCACTCGTGATTCAAGCACAGCTCTGAGCGGAGATTTCAAACCCTTTGAGTGTCGAATATTAGGACTATTGCTGCTGGAGCAAATTTGTTTGCCTTCCTACATGCCACCACACCTTCATGGCTGTTGTGGTGTGGGTGGATTTCTATATTTGCAGTCTTGCATCAGTTTCCCTTCAAATGAGCATGATTTCAATGATTTCTGAAACATGAGCACACTCTTCTCATATCTTCTAAACAGTCTATGGGTCAAACTTGTTGCCCAAAAAAGTGGATGGTTCAATCCAACCTTGTGGCTCCATTGGTACTTTGCCCAGTGGTTGCCCCCATGTCCCAGGGAGACGGTGGCGCGCCTGACGGACCTCTTGAAGGAGAATGACCATCCAGTGGTGGGTCTCACAGGTGACACCTGGCAAGGCAGGGGGCCATGGCACCTCAATGGAATCTCTACCCGATAGAAATGGGAAGGTCATCAATGGTCCCAATGGTGGAGTGTTCACGATTTTCCATGTTCGATATGTTCGATATGTTCGATATGTTCGATATGTTCGATATGTTCGATATGTTCGATATGTTCGATATGTTCGATATGTTCGATGACACTGGAGGGTGGTAAACTCATGTAAATCATTGTAAATCAACGGAGTCAACGGTGAATGTGTTGACACATATGACACATATGACACATGTTGACACAGGTTGACACCATGACGCAGATCACATGTTGAAACTGCTGGATGTTCCACTGGACGCGTGGCACTGCACCACTGCTCTAAGGCGACCGGAACAGGATCGTCATGGATTTTGCAGATCCAAACAAGACGCTCGCTGGATGATTTCTGATTTCTGAGGCACTCAACTTGTGAAAGCGGTCAAAAAAACTGGACATGTTTGAGAGAAATGATAGAAATTCTGACTGAAGGAAATCACTCAAAGATACACACATATACTAAAACACATACACAACGTTTTTTTTAGCCTCCTTTGGACTTCCTTCCTTTCGCCCGCTGTGGGTCTCTCGTCTCATCAAGGACGGACAAGCTGATCCTGGTGACTACCGACATGCTAGGCCGTGGAATCGATTTCACAACCTGCAGGTGCACCAAAATGTGGGGTGTCTGAAAATGGGGGTATACTGGTACCGTTTTTATAGCCAGTTGAATGGGGAACATATGGGAAAAATGACGTAAGTTTTTGTGCAGCTTATTTTCAGACAAAAGAAAGTGAGTCAGCACTGAAACGGATTTCAATCCGTGTGTCAAAAAGTCCAACGATAAACCTGAGCCTGCACCCTGCAAGACTCGCTGTCAAGAAGTCTGGTCATTTTTGTGGTGATTGTTTAAAGTTCCACAGCGATTTGCCCTGCTTTGTGACAGTGCAGACTCATGGAGCTGTGCTGAGTGTTGCCAAGGTGCGTGATCCTCTACGAGTTTCCACACCACAGGAATCTGGTCTCATTTGGTCTTGAACGTTGTCATGGGTTCTGGCTCTTGTTACTCGTTCTAGTGGACCAAAGTGAGCCATTAAAAATACCTCGATTCAATTGGTTGGGGGTTCTACCGACTGGCTTATTGGGGATTGTTATATCCCAGAATAGGAATAGTTGCTAACCACATCTAACCACCATTAACCACCTAGTAAAATGGGATGGGATACATAGGATACGGGATAATAGGAGATTTTTCCATGGCTCAAATGAAAAAGACAAACAATGTATAACAAGGCCATGACGGTCACAGTTCATGATCTAAGAATCTATACTTGCAAGATCAGAAGGCAAGACAGGAGCTTCAAGGAGTCATGTCAATCACCAAACAACAACCAACAAGCAAATAATTCATGTCAAGAATATGGGGGTTTCTTCAAACGGGGGATCCCCAAGTCACCATTGGTTTCAACACAAAGTCATGGTCCAATTTTGGATGATTTCGGGGTACTTCCATTTTAGGAAACATCCATATGTTCAATGGATTGGATTAAGGGGAAATTTTACAGGAAAGCCCCATTAATTTAATGGGAAAATCTATGGTTTCCTGTAAATTTTCCCTTAAACCAATCCATTGATATGTCCAGCCCTGCAGGAACGGAGTCCGCGAATATGTGCACCGAATCGGTCGAACGGGGCGAGCCGGAAGGGAGGGATTTGCCGTGACGTTGTTGGATGAGCACGAGGGCGACTTCCGACATTGCAAGGATATCACGCAGGTCTTGGAGGCCTCGGAGCAGGAGACCCCCAGATGGATGGTAGAGGAAAGCTACAGTCACAAGAAACATCTCCAAACCTACTGGCGACGACAGGACCAGCTGAGGCCTGAATTTTGGGTGACTAGAGTTGTGCTGCACATGTCACAAGTACAGTATTAATTACTCGAGTATTCACAAGTGATGTAAGCCAATGCATGGTGATTAATTTCTTGGTTCATTTCCCAAACCTCATCACCGAAACATCTCCAGCTGAGCATTTGGCAGGGGGGAACCTGCCAGGCGCGAGCGAGGACCAGAAGACCGCGAAGATCCGGCTGAGACGGCTAATGGAGCAGAGGCATGGGTTGTTGAGCTGCGAAGATCAAAGTCATGGTGCCCGAAAGGTATACCCTCCGGTACTGGTAGTCAAACATGGCTTGCTGGAAAATGCCCGAACTAAATGAAGGTTTCAATGGGAAAATCATATATATATATAATATAATATAATATATATAAATGATTACGCGGATACAAATGGGAGATTTTTACCATTTCCAAGATTTTGTGGCCGCTTCACAGGCATCCCAGCACCTTGGCAGCATTGATTCGCCAAGTTTTCAAAGGCTTGGCACCGGAAAAACCCATCGAATCTAACCACTGACCGTATCAGGAGGATCTTCCGGCCATGAAGGTGTTGAAGAATCTTTGGGGCTGTGGAGTCTGCAATTTGGGTATGGATCAATACCTATTAATACCATTTTTAGTGGGATGAACATCCATTTACCAGCTATTTTGATGTTCACCAGGGGTGCAAGGTTTTGACACACTGCCATTTAAGTTGTCCTCCCTTACAATTTTTTGGGCTTTTCAGAGTCACTCCAACATCAATTTCCAAGGACAGAGCAGGGCGGCGAGGCATATGGAAACGCTCACAAGGAAGGCAAAGTTCCCTGTTCGCCATACTATTGCCTGGAACGACTGCTGGAAGAACTCGGTGCTTCGTTCTTACCAAGCCTCGAAAAAGAGAGGCAAATGCCTTCGGTTTTCTGATCCAGCTTGCCTGTTGCTGCTAAAGTGACTCAAGTGGATGTGATCTCAAGAGGTGATTGGATCTCCATCAGCAACATTTTGTTGGGAAAAAGCAGCAATGGAGCATTCATTGCATTGCCAAAATCGGCAGGGCCTCAAATGTTGAAGCTCCATGAATCTGGAATCAACCTGCAATTGGTCTTTGCAAACTGTTCAGCGCAGTTTCTTGGAAGATGTTGCAAGCTGTTGCAAGGACCGTGTGAAATCAGGCGATTTCGCCTCAGGACCGTTTTCTTAGATGGCTGCGTGCCAGAACTGCCAGAACTGAGTTTCCTTTCACGGCTGCGTGCCAGAAGGGCTAAAAATCAATGGTTTGGTTGGCGCTGTGCTTGAAAGGTGGGAGTTGAAACCTGGATACTGATGATACTGATACTGGATATATATTCCTTATATGGGTATGGATCAATACCCATTATTAATACCATTTTTAGTGGGATGAACATCCATTTACCAGCTATTTTGATGTTCACCAGGGGTACAAGGTTTTGACACACTGCCATATATTCCTTATGTGTCCACAGTGTTTTCAAAGTGTTCACCACTGGCATTTCACCATATGAGTAGTTAAGAATATGGCGCATAGCACTGCTGAGATTTCTGTGACTCTCGCCAGTCTCGTCAGGCAGCAGAAAAAATTGGAGCAGATCCTCAAGGATGGAGAAAAGGGCCAGAGCCAAGAAGCAATGCTTGGTTCGTGACACATCGTGACACTGCACCTGGCGATGTCATCTGGAGAGATCATTTCCCGATCATTTCCGAATATTTCCCTATAGCAACTTAGTTCAACAACTACAGTAGTTCAACTTACTTCAACTTAGTTCCTATAGTTCATCCTAGTTGTGCTTTCACAGCGGAGTTGTTGCTAGCGCTCGGCGTGACTCGTCCAGGATGCTGCAGTCAACATGGCTGTGAACATGGGGTATACTGTAGACCCTCCCCAAATGGTTGTTTTACTGGAGAAACAAAACCATTGGATTTTGGAATAGCCTATTCTCAGACAATCCAACATAATCCCACATGCTTCCGTTTCTGAGCTTTCATCGGGGGTCAGAGAGCTAGCTCGGTCAAGCGGATTTTTGAAGATTTGTTTAAATGGGATTGCAACGAACCATGAATGGTGGAGAATGGTGGAGTTGGGTGCAGGTCCTTCCTGGTTAACATCACAAAAAAGGCCTGAAACTTCAGGCTTGTTCAAGCGTCATGCGGCTTGAAAAGGTGCCAGTCTTTCTTGGCGAGACTCGATTTGCCCCAAGAGCTTGATTGTCCTTCGTTTTGTGTTGGGGTGGCATTTGCTGGATCTCTATGATGCCTTTAAAGGCATGAATTCTGTTCTGATTCAAAGGTGACTTGGGATTTGGCCAAAAGCAGTGCATTTTTTTCTCGCAACGAACACTTTGTCCCCACAGCTGCTTCCATTTGGGCTCAAAGCGATTGAGTCTGTGACGATCCATCCATATTTGGATCCGCAATTTTTTCGTGAACAAAGAAGGCACGTCTGCCTTTCATTTGCAAAGCTGGAATGTGTAGATGGTTATAGGCATTATAGGCTATACCCGTGAATCATATTGCGTTTCTTGAATTTCAATGTTCATAGTTCATGGCTTTGTCTAGGCATGGCAACTGCACATGTTGATGTGATGAGAACCCAACAGCTGTCGGCTATACCTTCACCATCATACCTAAAGACATATGACATCATCTAACCATTCTGGTCGGGGGTTCCCTGCAAACTGCCATCCAACCATGGTTTTTCCCATGGTTTTTCCCATGGTTTTTCCTGAGTCACGAGATGAAAAGCCTCCAGGATAGCCCTTTTGAGTGGCATGGGTGAATTTGCCCAGTGACTCGGCACCTGACCTCTGGACGTCCGATGTCTTCCCAGTGAGTCAATGGGAATAAAAAGGATCCTAAAATGGAGGTAAGTTAGTACCATATAAGACCATATTTTCTGGGGATATTCCCTGAAATTTAGGCCTGATACAGGCCTTATATATGGTAGTTACCTCCAATGTAGGTTCCTGAAATGGCCATTGATATAGTGGTTTGCAACCGCAACGCGGCCATTGAGGCTGGACAAATTCCTGACACAGGAGGGCAGCAGCAGCAGCAGCAGCAAGAGCAGCCTTTTACCTACGCCGGTCAGCCCTGCATGGTACGATCCAGAGAGCAAGAGTTGGTACAGCACCGCGGCCGCAAGCCGCAAGCCTCGGAAGATTTGGTGTTCCAGTCTTGCCAGTTTGGTGATAAGATAGAGTCAGATGGGCAAACAAACACATTTTGGCTCAAAATGACTTTCCAGAATCATGATTTTAAGGCTGCAAAATGATGAGAGGTGTCTTATTCCTGGATGTTCCTGGATGTTCCTGGATGTTCCTGGATGTTCCTGGATGTTCCTGGCCGCTGATTGTTTCAGCGAAGGTCAAGAAGATTTTAGTGGGCTTTCGAAGAAGGAAAAGGAGAGCTTGTTCTCGTGCGTCATGTATTGTCCCTTGGCATACTGATTTAAACACTTTTTTCAAATCAGGCATCTCACCCCCCTTCATATCAATTCTTCTTTATTCGCGCCCCCAAAGTGAAATACAGTGAATAGATCCTATGCAATTCCTATAGCATTCTTGTTCCACGGTCAGTATTCCAAGTCCAATCCATTACAATCACAACAGGGATTATATACATATTCAATTATTTACATATATACGCACATACATATTGATATTCCATGCAATATATTATTTAAAAAAATATGTAAACATATAATATTCCAATTCCATCCCCATATATATTATTATATATTCCATTACATTTAGAGACTTGGAATATATTGGAATTCCCCCAACATTCACTGTATAAACATATGGGGAGAGCCGCCGTGCAAGGTCAGTATGCCCCCACTGGCCGTGCTCGATGTCGCCGCTGTGGTGAAGACATTCAGCGGCCTGGCCATCGTACCATGAAGATGAGCAGTTGGATATATGAACCATCCAATGGTTGGATAATGTTGGATAATGTTGGATAATGTTGGATAATGTTGGATAATGTTGGATATACTGAGATGACTTAGATGTACTTAGTTGATATATGTTGATATCTTGAGATTAGCTATTGGATGCTTAAAATGGTACCATACTTAGATGCCCGTCTGTGTCGTTCAACTCACCAGGAAAGGTGAGCTGCGCTTGGGATATCCTTACCGTTGGAGGCGCCGCTTCAGCTCTGTGCAGCTCTGATTCGTCGGATCATAGGTCATAGATTTGTCGATTCGATGGTTGTCATATTTTTAGAAGTCCGAAAGTCCTGAATTTGACAGGGATGCTGTGCACAGAAAATCTGACGAGGCAAGCCGATGATTGCTACACGCTGTATCTCCACCCTGAGTGCTACGAATCTTCCGTCTTCGGCATCAAGGATAGCTGTATGTTGCGTGTTCTGCCAAAGCACTTGAACATCGGACTGACTCCACTTTTTTCGTGGCATGTAGTGAAGCAAAGTTGTTCACACTGAATGGAAGACATTGCATCGGAAGAGCCTTGATCTCTCAAATTGATTGGTACATGCAGTTGGGGTTTTAAGATGTCAGAATCATTGGGCATATAATATCATATAATTTAATATGTATTTATTGCCTAGAAATAATTAATGGCACAGTATGGCACAGTCTCTTTCCGCAAAAAACAACTTTCATTGCAGGAAAAAGATCTGCGCAAGAAAATCTATGGATATGAAGCGTTGAACAACACTGAGCGAGCTCGCCTCTGGAAGGTGGGTACACTGGCGTGTGAATGATGGCCCTCTGAGAACTTCATTGGTTTCTGAGCATATCAAATATCATCAAGTGTGTATGTAATATCGGATCAAATCAGATTTATGCAATATCTAAAGATGGTTCACATCTAGGAAATGTACAAAGAAAAGAGAGAAGCTGATGTGTTTGAAGCCCCAGAGCTGAGTGTTATCCATTTTTTCACCCCAGGAGATGCGCAGCGAAGGGCGCATGGCAAAGGCAAACAAAGAAGGCCTCTAGACGCTGCAAAGATCTGAAAAGAATGGCTGGGGTGGGTCACAACTTGACTTCATAACTTGTGTTTTTCTTTCCGCCGATGGATTACACTACACATTATATATATATATATATATTCCGTTTCAGTGAACATCCATGAGTTTATGGGAGGGAATTATTCACTACAGTGTCTAGTTGGACACATTTCGACGGCGTGATTGTAATATTTTGATGTTGGGAGGTCTTCCAGGAACCAGAAAGGGGCGTAGAAATATGTCCAGAAACGAAGCGAAGAGGTCTACAAGCAACAAATAACAAGCGAGCAACAACCAGCAAACCAACCAATAAACATCCAGCAAACATCAACAAACCAGAAAAATTAAATCCCCCAAGATTCTTGGATTAAGATAATCCAAGCATATCCAACCAACCACGCCAGGTGCCAACGCCACGGCGGAGTACTCCAGTGGCTCAGTAGGTGTCGACACCAAGAGTCTTCCTGAAGTGCCGGTGCCCAAGGAGCGCAGTGCCCGTTGTTTCCACAGGATTTCAAGGCCGATGGCCGATGACCGTCCTGTGATTTTCTGCTATGGGCCTTTCATGAGCCCAGTTGGTGGGTTTCTTCAGTGATAAACCTACCAGTGCCCAGTTTGAAACCCCAACGGCAAAGTGATAAGCCCAGTTAGTCGCAGGTCCGGTCCAGTTCTGGGCAGTATGGGATACCAACACTGGTTTTGTTCGACTTACGATCAAGGTTTGTGGGAACTTAGAAGAAGGCACGGTTTCACTGAGCTTGGAGTTGGTCTCCAGATTGTGATGCAGGACATGGCAGTTCCTATGCTACCATTCCAGAAAGAAGGCCGGAAAGCGAGGTTTTGGAGAAGCTGACTAGCTTGAGAGACCACTTTAGACATGGAATTGATTTTCAACACGAGCACTGCCTCATTCTACCCCCAAAATTCGATGGTTCATCGTCAGCTTTTCCATCAATATGACTCTTTTAGGGACCCCCCTGGTATCGCCCCTTGACGAACTCGTTCGAGATCTGTGGCAGGTCTGGCTTGGATGTGTCAGCAGGAGGAGAGTAGTGTGAGGGGTGGCATTTTGGCGGATGAGATGGGCATGGGAAAGACCATCCAGGCTGGTCGCACAACGAATGGCTGGAAATCGAGAGCATGATTCATGCTGATGCCACATAACTAAGCCACCTAAGTAATACTAGACATAAATGATGATGATGATGATTATTATTATTATTATGATGATGATGATGACGATGACGATGACTGCTATGTCCCATTTTAACTTGTGTGGATGAACAATAAACAGATAGATGGACGATGAATATGCGATAGATTCTCATGACATCTCAGAAATGAACAGTAGAGATACACAGAAAGCTGCGCATCGTTGCAGGCCATCAGCCTGCTATTGGCTCGACCTGTCAAGGGACCAGCCCTGGTGGTGTGTCCCATGGCAGCGGTGAACCAATGGATGAAAGAAATTGCGCCTTGGACCCCGTGGATGTCTTGAAGATGGGCTAATTCTGGAAATAAGATGTGGTTATGATAGTGGATCTGGGATAACACTAGTTTTGCATCGTAAAATTGAGTACTCCGATTCTTGAGTAGTTGTTATTGTTTTACACACTATATACACACTATATCTGGGGCTGTGCGGCGGCCATCAAACGTCAGCCGGGCCATTGATAGTCGCGCACGGATTTCGCTCAGGAGAAGTTCACCAAGAAAGGCCCGTCAGTAAGTGATTCTTGCAAAGCTGTCATACTTTCCCAGAATAAGGTTGCCCTTTCTTTCCACAAGCATTGACATTTTTCAGTGATGCATTTCTGATCCGCTCCAATTTGGGGAGCTGAAACACAGGCACTCTCAAGACTTTGGTCTACCATGGCAGTGAGAAGGGACGAGTGGCAACGCAGTTCAAGAAGTGTCGCTTGGACGGCAGCGATCCATTGGTTCCAGATGGTTTCGGCAGGTGAGAGTCGCACTTTTGCACCCCAATGCCCAGACCTTTGTTCACTGTGGGCAACCCAATGCCATAAACATCCATAAACCTAGCATTTTGGTGATGGTTCATAGCACCCCCTTAGAAAAATGGTGATGATTTGGTAAAATTTCTGGAGAAGCCTTGGAGGTGACGTGGTGATCACAACGTACCAAACCTTGGAGCCGCTTGGCCACGATGTGCCACGATGTGCCACGATGGGAAGCCATGGCAGGGAGTCATGGCACGATGGGATGAGTCATCGAACATCCCCATGATCTCCATGATTCGGACTGAGTAGATGGCAATTATAGGATATTCTGATTATATGTTCATGAATTTTTCATCATCCCCATGGATGATTTTTGATATACCGAGATATACCCATTAAAAACATATTCCAATGATTATATTTTGATGGGGATTAAAATGGGTTGATCATTGCCATTTTTATTCATTTGTCTGATTTCACTCGAGGTCGGACTACCGACGCGAGGCGCACAAGCACCGAGTCAAGTGTACTTTGGTGCTTGCTGAAAGGGACTTGAAAGGGATAGGTAAAACATGGAGAAACGTGGAAAATCGTGGAAATACACATGGAAACACATGAAAAAAACATGGACTTTTCACTGATGTCACAACATGTCACAACTGTTCCAACGGCAAGCTAAAGTCGGGCAAACTACTGCTGTATCTGGAACCACTGAAGATCGGAATTGAAATGAATTTTGATATCTTCGATCCTTCAAACCAGTGGAATCATCATGAATCATCGATGGAAACGGTTTCTCGGCCGATGTGCAAAACCAAGGTAAGTACTGCGGAAAACTGTTCATGCCAGAGCACCTCGGTGTGCAGTTTTTCCATCACTTAAAATCTGAGTTTTCTGGAAGAGTTTGGGATTGCCGACTTTGGACGAAGTTGGCCATATGTTGGCCATTTTCCCACTTTTTCCCACATCTTTTCATCATGTTCCATCATTTTCCATCAATTTCCCTTGTACTCCACGTGGATTACCGCGATCGAATCCTGACGCCGGCCCAGGAAACTCACCTTCCACCAGCGCTACTTCTGCGGCCCGAATGCGGAGAAGACCAAAAAACAGCAGACGCTTGGAGGGAGAACAGGATTGGTTGCGAGCTTTCAGTTGATGACTGGAAGTTTTTTGCATCTACAAATCTCCCAAGGTCTTCAATGATTATGTTCTCACAATATATTCTTTAAAGTCAGAGAGAGAGAGTCAGAGTCAGTTCCCACGGATTATTGGAGCCATTACTGTATATTTTAAAGCTAAAGCCATCAAAGCTGAGAAGTGATCAGATTTTGATCGCCAGCTAAGGAAGACCGCAGCCAAAAAGGCCATGCAATCCATGGGCATTGGCAATTCAAAAGCTTCATCTTCCACTGATGCGCCACCCACCATCACCAACATCTACCGCAGCTTGGCTACGGCTGCGGCTACGGCTACAGTTTGTTGTCTTCGGAGGGTTGGAGCATGTTGGAACCATCATTTTGGGTGGCTAAGTGTCACCAAGGTGACTTCATGAAGCAAGCTGGTGTGACTGTCAAGTCCAAGGGCTACTGGAATGCTCCTTGCTGAAACATGGTGGAGTGTGCCAGTGATATGGGCGACTTACGATCTTCCTTCCACCAAGCTGAAATTGGGAAGTACTTGTACTTGTAAACATTATGTGAAAAAGGGTTGTCTGAACCAACTGATAGTGACAACGGACTAATCTGGCTGAAATATAGCAACCTCACTGCGACGTCACAGTAGACCATGGCTGGTGGGGGGAATCATCCCAATGAGGCAGACTATATCCCATTAATTATAAGTGGCAGGAATCATCACAATATATCACAATCATAATAGGGGGGATAATCCACATCCCATATACCACAATCATATATGGGATTATCCCCCCTATTTGTTTTTTTGGGAATCCTCCCACTTAAATGATTTTCCTCAGGTCATGAAGGAAACCCAGGAGAGGTTGAAGGCTCGATGTGCCGATGTCGGGGTGGACCCAGTAGAATGGCCACAGGCCCGCCATCTTTATCCATCTTAAAGTGTATCAGAAATAAAGTAAACAAATAGTAAACATACATACATACATACATACATACATACATACATACAATTTTTGTATATGATTATACATATGCGGTACGGTACCATGTTTATTGTCTTCTCTTCATTCTTGTGCTATGTTCCGTGGTTCAGGGCAGCTCCTCAAGTTCCTCATCCAAGGCAGCCCTCGCCGGATCGCTGGAAGAACTGATCTCCTGCTAGTTTAAGTTCTTGGATAATGATATTATAGTTTTGAAGATTATCCATGATTTGTCATGGCAGACTTCATGAAACGCACAGCAATTCTCATGTTTTGCAGCTACACAATTTGGACACGGGCATCCTCAAGTCAACGCATTGTCGACTTTGGGCGGGCGAGTTTGGACTGCATAGCGAAGTGAGACCAAAACCACCGCGACGCCAAAGTCTGCCTGTCATGTTCTTCTACCACCAGTATGACAATCACCATCATGACAATCACCATCACCACCATCACCACCATCACCACCATCACCACCAGCATCACCATCACCATCGCCACCAGCATCACCATCACCAGCATCACCACCAGCATCACCACCAGCATCACCACCAGCATCACCACCAGCATCACCACCAGCATCAGCACCACCAGCATCACACCAATCAGCATCACCATCAGCATCAATCATCATCATCATCTTCATCATCATCATCATCATCACCATCATCACCATCATCACCATCATCCAAACCACCACCACCCACCCACCCCCCCCCCACCACCCAACCACCCAACCACCCCCCCCCCACCCAACCACCCACCCCAACCAACCACCCACCACCCAACCACCCAACCACCCAAACCAACCCCAACGACCCAACCAAACCAACCCAACCACCCAACCCACCCCCCCCCCCAACCACCCAACCCCCAACCACCCAACCAACCACCCAACCAACCCAACCACCCAACCCCCTCAACCAACCACCCCACCCACCCAACCACCCAACCCCCCAACCACCCAACCACCCAATCCACCCACCACCACTCACCCACCACCCACCCACCCAACCCACCCACCACCACCCACCCCCCACCCCCACCACTCTCACCACCCACCACCCACCACCCACCACCATCATCACCACCACATCATTTTCGTCGTCCTCATCATCATCATCATCATCATCACCATCACCATCACCATCACCATCACCATCACCATCGCATCACCATCAGCACCACTCCACCACCACCACAACCACCGCCACCGCCACCACCACCACCACCACCACCACCACCACCACCACCATTATCATCATCATCATCATCATCATCATCATCATCACCACCATCATCACCATCATCACCATCATCCATCACCACCATCATCCATCATCACCACAATCATCATCACCATCATCATCACCATCATCATCATCATCATCATCATCATCATAATCCTCATCATCATCATCATCATCATCACCACCATCATCATCATCATCATCACCATCATCATCATCATCATCACCACAATCATCATCATCATCATCATCATCAAAACCACCACCACCAGCATCATCATCATCATCATCAGCAGCATCATCATCATCATCAGCATCATCATCATCATCAGCATCATCATCATCATCATCATCATCATCATCATCATCATCGTAATATATCATCATCACACCAGATTTTCTTTTATAAATAGCATCATTACAACCATCGTCTGATCGTCATCACCATCCAGCGCAGGGTGGAGATGATGTGCTCAGCCGGGAGCGTCTGGCACTGTTGGACCGCAAGGAGGGCGGAAATGGGCCCGGGGTGCTGATCTTTGACCGTTGAAAAGGATGAACACATGGGAAACCCATGGAAAACAGAGGTTTGTGGATCTATGAAATCAATGAAATCGATGAAATCTGTGAAATCTATTTGAATGATTTTGAATGGTGATTTTGACATATCAGATTCAATTTGCTGGAGGGTAACGCCTTGTTTTGCAGCTATGTTACAACATTGTTGACAGGCTTACAACCACAGTTGCACCCTTGTGGCTGTGGTCGCTGCATGTTTCTACTTCCTGTTTTACCCAATTATGTTCGTGGATTTGAGGCCCCAGTTACTCGCACTCAGTGATGACCCCAGTTCTTGGACATGTGATGCTTGTGGTACTTGGTTCATTTTGGCTCATGATTCTTCACGACATTTCGAAGACCTAGTTCATACCAATGTACATAGTCTCACTGGTTAAAGACAAAAATGCTTTCCGAAGCAACCATTTCCCAAGATTTGCATTCTCGTCAATGTCGATGTCGTTGACATATAGTGAAGCAGGGTTCTTCCCCTTTAAACACTTGAGCCGAAGGAGTTGGTTGAGCTCTGTGACAAGAAAGGCTGGTGACATGCACGTGACAGCAACAGCAAACTTCTTGTAGGAGTTTGCATTCCATTTTCACCTCAATTCAGGCACCAACAAAGCACAGTTATTTTCGAAAATTTTCAAACAAATCAGGTATGCATTGCGCACTTCCCCAATTTTTCCCCGTTCGTCCAGCAGCTTTTGTAGGTTTGGATTCCACGGGCCGCAAGCCCGAGCTGGTGGATCGGCTCATGGATTTCGCCGTGCGCGGCACGACTAGCAAAGCAGAGGAGCCGGTGAAGAAGGCGGGGGCCGTGCTCGGCGCACTGGGCTGTAAAGGAATGTTCGGTCGTAACCATTAGATCACCATTACATCACCATTGTATCACAGTTATAAATGGGCTAACGCCCTGGTGCAGCCGACCCCCCTTTTAGGGTAATCTGCGACAGAAGGCTAGGTGTGACCTGGCTTTGACCTTCCTTTATAAATTGTAGGGTCCGTGGTGTGCACTGCATGTCCTTAGGTCACTCAGGAACCCTAGTCTTTTCTGAATAAATGACAAGACATTGGAACATCTCCTGATCTGTTCAGTCACAGATGAGGTTGAGTTCCGTGAAAATGGGGGACCCCTATATCCAGAGGTTTATCATCATCTTTCCCGTGGTTTACAAGAACTTGGAATGGATTCTGGGTACTTTGTAAATTAAAGCAACCCCACTTGAACCTCACCATAGATTATTGTTGGTAGCAGGACTCATTCCCAGATGGCCTAAGGAAAAATCTGGCTAGGGAAATATCATTAGAAATATTGCGGCCCTACTTGGGCGCCTGCAGCTGAACAGTGTTTGGCCGGGGCTGCCTTCGAAAGCTGCAAAGGACATGCCATGAGGTGCTTGCAGAGGCGGGCCACGGCCTTGGTTCGTAGCCTTCGGAAGCTGCAGCGGAGGGTTTTGAGCTTTTGAGGCTTTTAAATGTGCCACGTAGCGGTTTCGAAACCGAATAGAAACAGTTTGCGGGGCCTAGGGGCTCAAAAGCTGCAGCGATAGTTTTAAGCTTTTGAGGCTTTTAAAGGGTGCCTAAAATGCGCCACGTAGCAGTTTCGAAACCCAATAGCAACAGTTTGTGGGGCCTACAGGCTCAAAAGCTGCAGCGCAGAGTTTCAAGCTTTTGAGGCTTTTAAAGGGCGCTTAAAACGTGCCACGTAGCAGTTTCGAAACCCAATAGAAACAGTTTGCGGGGCCTACAGTCTCAAAAGCTGCAATGCAGGGTTTTAAGCTTTTGATGCTTTTAAACGGTGCTTAAAACGTGCCACGTAGCAGTTTCGAAACCCCATAGAAACAGGTTGCGGGGCCTAGGAGGTACCATGGTGCCGTATAGACAAGACTTCGAAAGCTGCAGCGGATGGTTTGAAGCTTGGTTTGAAAGGGTTTGGAAAACCTTGCAGTGTTTTGGCAGCGTACTTCGGCCGGGGCTGCCTTTGAAAGCTGTAGAGAACGTGCCATGAGGTGCTTGCAGAGGCGGGCCACGGCCCTGGTTCGTAGCTTTCGAAAGCTGCAGCGGAGGGTTTTTTGAGCTTTTGAGGCTTTCAAAGGGTGCTTGAAACGTGCCACGCAGCAGTTTCGAAACCCAAGTGAAACAGTTTGCAGGGCCTAAGGGCAGTGTACTTGGGCCATGGTGCTTGCAGAGGGGTCCATAGTGCTTGCGGGCTTGACTTGGCACATCTTGGCACCATCCTTCGGCCCTGGTTGGCGGCCTTCAAAAGGTGCAGCGGAGCGTTGTAAGGGCTGCTAAAACGTGCGACGTAGCAGTTTCGAAAGCCGATAGAAACAGCTTTGCGGGACCCATTGCGGTCCTACTTGGGCGTCTGCCGCTGAAGCTGCACCAATTTCGCAACCATTGGCAAAAAACGGAAGCTGCAGCCCTTGGCAGCCAAAGCTGGCACTGGTGGAGCCACAGCCCATGCCGCACACCTACGGTGATCCCAGGCGCCGCCCCGCGTAGGCCAAGGCTAGGCAGGGGTCGGCGGATATCACTATTATATGGCAATTGGATGCAATTGGTAAGTAAATGGTAATCATATGGTATAGGTGAAAGATGATGAAGGATGAAGGATAAAGGATGAATGTCCACCATTTTCGGCATGACAGAGGTATCCCTCGCCATGAAGCTTCTGACATCTGCCAAGGCCAAGGCCAAGGCGGGACAGTGGCGTCAGTGATTGCTATGGAAAATCGCCGAATTTTAATGGGGACAAGATCTAGACATGGGGAAACAAATTTCACAGCTTCGTGAAATCACCTTAAGCGTCAAAATGGCGATGTCTTTTCTATCCTTTTAGGACCCCTGTATGCAACACAGAGGATGACCCGACCAATAAGAGCAAAAGTAGCACCTTGAGGTCGGTCAACCACACACAAACTTGCTTTGCCCTTACCTTTTGGCAGTTTGATTGCTTGATTTTCCGTCTCAAAAAAATTGGGTTACATCCCAGAGAGTCTGGGTCGACTCAACGTTTTCCTGTGGAGCAGTTTTCCATTTCCAGTCCACGTGTCCAGAGGCTAAAACTGCAAGCGCGAACAAGACCGTGGGCAAAAGTTCCAAGATGAAAACTGCAGAGCCTGGCAAAGCGGGCAAGCGAATGTACCTCGGTTTTTCTTTTTGTGTGTTGGTCAGATTACTGGATATTACTGGAGATTTCTGCAGATCATGGCACGCGATAATACAAGATATCCATCATGTCCTCCGTCCTCCCAGCATCTCAAAGGCCCTTGCTTCTCCGAAAAGGCTCAACAGCGGCCTCCAAGTGCGACTTCCGGGCCTGGACAGCTTTTGACATACCCTGTATGATGATCAGAATCCATTATGGGAATCCCTAATAACTAACATGAAGCAAGTACAATGGAATGACAGGGTTTGGAGTTTTGAATACTGCTCACCTGTTTTCGTTTTGAAGCATTTAGTAGTTGCCTTGTGATGCGTGCAGCTCATTTGGCGCAGCTGTGTCGCAAGCGACGCTTGCGAGGTATCAAGGCGTTTCTCCCTTGAAATCCTCTGGCAAGTGGCAAGCCAGCTATCAGGTGGCTTGGCAGATATTCCAGGTGGAGACAAAGAACGATGACAGCGGCTCATATGGAGGTTTCCTAAAGTACGGGTACCCCCAAATCATCCATTTTCGTAGGATTATCCATTGTAAATTATCCATTTGGGGTACCCCTATTTTAGGAAACCTCCATATAGCTGGTTCTATTTTTTTTACCTACTTAGTAGCTGGAATGTACATCCAGGGGATCTGAAGTCATTTTTCCTCCCCTCGACGCCCCTGAGGGCAAATATTTGGGCTCCTTCGACACAGCACCTCTGTCGCAAGTGGATGGCAATTTGATGCAATTTGGCAATGAGGTTGGTGTTCAGGTCATCTTATGTTGTATGATCTGTACAATGATTTAAGGCTGCCAGGGTTTTCCTGATTCAATCTGAACTGAGCCATGCCCGAAAGATCCTCATTCCGAGGAGCTGAAAGCTGCAAAAGCTGTCAGAGATGCCGCCGAAGCAGCCGAGAGCAAGGGCAAAGGAAAGAAGGCTCCTCCTGGACTCGTCCTGTTTGAAACATTTCCCGATTACTCAAGGACGATTTGCAGCTTGTCAAGTAAAAAATAACACAAGAACAAACTGTAGTAAAGTATCATGTTATTTTCAATTGTTCATCATTTGTCCATCAGTTTTCCATCATTTTTCCATCATTTGTCCATCATTTGTCCGTATGTTCCGTCCCCATTTTCTGAATGGTTCATAGAATTGGATGATGGGAAAATTTACAGGAAAGCCCTATATTTGATGATAAAAACCATGGTTTCCTGTAAATTTTCCCTTAAACCAATCCATTGAATGGTTGGTGGCCCAGAGATTTCTGCCACGCCACAGGCTGCCGCCAGCGCGGCCTCCGGCATGGCGTGCACGGTAGCGAGCCGCGGAGCTGAAGCGAGCGGCTCGTCCTCGCGAGGCGGTGCGGTCCGAAAAATGGCAGGGGAGACACATGAACACATCAATTGATATTTATGGATCTTTAATGGATCTTTAATGGATCTTTAATGGATCTTTAATGGGTATTTAATGGATATTTATGGATATTTAATGGGTATTTATGGGTATTTATGGATAATTATGGATATTTATGGATTTTTATGGATATTTATGGATATTCATGGATTTTTATGGATATTTAATGGATATTTAATTGACCTCTATGGATATTTATGGGTATTTATCGATATTTATGGATATTTATGGATATTTATGGATATTTAATGGATATTTAATGGATCTTTAATGGATCTTTAATGGATATTTATGGGTATTTTTGGATATTTATTGATATTTATGGATATTTATGGATATTAAATGGATCTTTAATGGATCTTTAATGGATCTTTTATGGATATTTAATAGATATTTATGGATTTTTTTGGGTATTTAATGGATATTTTTTAGATCTTTATGGATATTTAATGGATCTTTAATGGATATCTAATGGGTATTTAATGGATATTTATGGATATTTAATGGATATTTACGGTCCTTTATGGATATTTATGGGTATTTATGGATATTTTTGGGTATTTAATGGATATTTTTTAGATCTTTATGGATATTTAATGGATCTTTAATGGATATCTAATGGGTATTTAATGGATATTTATGGATATTTAATGGATATTTACGGTCCTTTATGGATATTTATGGGTATTTATGGATATTTTTGGGTATTTAATGGATATTTTTTAGATCTTTATGGATATTTAATGGATCTTTAATGGATATCTAATGGGTATTTAATGGATATTTATGGATATTTAATGGATATTTACGGTCCTTTATGGATATTTATGGGTATTTATGGATATTTTTGGGTATTTAATGGATATTTTTTAGATCTTTATGGATATTTAATGGATCTTTAATGGATATCTAATGGGTATTTAATGGAT